AGAGGCGGCGAGATGAAAGCCTTTTCCTCCGAGTTTTGGAACCCCCTTCTGCACAGGAAAAGGTATCTTTTAGCCAACATTTGCGTCAATTTTGCGCTGGTAAATTAGACGGGTTACCGAATTTGGACTCTAACTTCCCGATTTGGACGTGTTTCTATCTAATCTCCGCACAGAAATGCAAACTCCGAGGCAAAAATTTAACTTTTCAGTAACTTTTCGCACAGCAAAAGATGGGTGAAAAAGGCTTTCATCTGTCCGCCTTCTTCAATCACTTTTTGTAACAGAAAAATCGCAGTTTGTCTGCAGTGCGGATAAAATCGCCGTTTGTCTGCAGTGGAGTCAGGTCCGTGAAATCTGGGTTATTATCCAAACTCAGCGCTCGCCGCGGCCAGCGCACAACTTCCGCCTTGTCACCTCCCATGTTCTCACTCGCCTTTGCTTGCGCATGCTCAGTCGTCGATCGCCATTCAATGTTTGTTTTCCATCTAACTCGTGCACTTAGGTAGCGACCACGCTTACTCTTGGCTTCTCCTGGTTGCTCTTGATCTCTGTCGCCCCTGTCGCCCATAACTAGCCCATAGGAAGTTTGCACGGAATGCTCAGCGTCGTATCTTCAAAGACTCGCAACTAGGGTCTTGCACATCTCTGACAAGTATCTCGACGAAATCCTGCTATAACCCTACTGACATACTTTGGTATGACTTGAAGCTCTTCTGAGGTCCACTCTGAGCTCCGTCGGGCTTTATCGCTATGTCATCCGGCTTTGGATCCACGGATCAGTCTTCTTGGCAACTACGAGGCCGAACGCATGCGTCTGCGGGCAACGAGCCTTGCATCACTGTCAGGCTCCAGCAAGCAAGCTAACTCCAAAACTTCCGTTCCGCCGGTTGTGGCTGGTTTGTATAAAGTGCTAGAGGCGACGCCTGAGACCCAAAGTACTGCCAAGCTCTTCACCTCACCAGTCGCATCGTCGGTCGCAACTTTCTCCCACCGCACACGTCCTCGCCCCCATAATGGTCTCTACTCTTGCTATCGGCCTTGGCCTCTGTCTCGGCTTGTCCCACCGCGCCAACGCGCTCTCTGCCGACGGCAGTCCCTCGTTCAAACCCACAGCCGGTGCAACCTGGAACATCCAATACGCCACCGCTCTCGACCCCTCCACCGTCAACTCCACCTTCTACGCATGGGACCTCGACATGGTCGATACCCCGCAGTCCACCTTCGACGCGCTCAAAGCCGCGAACCACGCCGTGATCTGCTACTTCTCCGGCGGCTCGCGCGAGAGCTACCGCACGGACGCGGGCGATTTCCCCGCGGCCGCGGTTGGGAAGGTCATGGACGGCTGGCCGGACGAGAACTGGGTCGACACGCGTAACAGCGGGGTGCGCGATATCATGAGCGCGCGCATCCAGGTCGCGAAGAGCAAGGGGTGCGATGGGGTGGACGTGGATAATGTCGATGGGTACGGTAACGATACGGGGTTCAACCTCACGCAGACGGACGGCGTCGACTACGTCAAGTTCCTCTCGGATACCGCGCACGCTGCGGGCTTGTCGTACGGGCTGAAGAATGCGGGGGATATCGTTCCACAGGTTGTTGACGTCGCGGAGTGGGTTGTGAACGAACAGTGTGTGCAGTACGACGAGTGCGATCTGTACCAGCCGTTCATCAAAGCGAACAAGCCGGTGTTCCACATCGAGTATACGGACGATGCGACCGCGTCGCCGGACTTCGTGAAGAAGAGTTGCAGTGGTGGTGGGACAGATGGGTTCTCGACGTTGATAAAACACATGGATCTGGGCAACTGGACGACGACATGTTCTTAGTAAATTACATATGAAAGGCAATGCCTGCCTTCAGCTTTGTGGGATGCAGCACGAATTCATAGTCGTTCTTAATTCTAGGCTATTTTTGACACAATGATAAGTTTCTCCATTCAACATAGCTCTAAGCTCTGACATTTATGTGTTGTAAGATTCATAGCCCGCTGCTCGCTACGATACACAAAGCATTCACACAACGCACCGCAATGACCACCGTGAAGTTAGATGAACTGCTGTTTGATTTAGGCCTGTGGTGTCCCGGAAAACTTGACGAAACAAATGTGTTTCCTGTCGAACGACGCACCTGCCTGTTAATACTCCGGGGAGTCGGTCGTGCCCTCACTCTCGTACTCTCTGATAATGCGATGCACGTCAGGCTGGAAATAATATGAGGGAACGCAAGTCCTCGTTGTACAACGGGAGGCTCGGAGTCGCAGAAAGCAAAACTGGCTAAATTCATCACAATAATAATCGTTAACTACTCTTTACAAGTTCCTTCACGAAGAAGAACAGCATCCAAAAATTGTGACCACCAGGATCAAAGATTACGCTTACAGCGTACACCACAGAGAAAGACTCGGGCTATCCAACGTGCTCGTATATACACATGCCATCTCCTCGATACGCACAGACCATCAGCCTCCATACACCCGCAAGCAAATACCCCCAAAGGAAACAGCGTCTGTCGATGGGAAACAGTGCCAACCTTGGGATATTTTGCCGAATGGTGCGACAAACCAATACCGCGATATGCCCCTACTTCGGGTCCCCGTACCGCTGGGCAGATTCTTGTGCGTCCACCCGAGCAGGACTATGACCATCAGTTGCGAGGGATATCGTAGGCATTGTATGTCTGATACAGAGCATCAGGTCTATGGATTGACGTGGACCGCCGCATCTCGCAGATAGCGAGCGCGCGCTCTGTTGGGGTGCACGGTGCGCGATAGAGACGACATGCACAAGCGTATCGGGAACGACGAAGCTGTTGGCTGTCATCATCAAAAGTCACCGTTCGAAGTACACCCCTCAGAGTCCAGCTGTTACGCCGGAGAGTTAGAACAATGGTGCCGAGTCGATAGAGGTAGATCGAGAGAAAGGAATCGTCAAAGATCCTCTGTGTGTCGAGCTCCGTGGCCTTTGACCTGGCGATGCAAGTCTGAGAGGCAGAACGCAAGGTTAATAAGAGGAGAGCCATCGATATGATCCCAAAGTAAATCGGTTGCGCTATCGCTGAGAATAGAGCTGCCATGTATGCGAACCTGAGAGTTCTTCGCAAGATCAGCAATGTGGCAAAATGAGCTTCGATATACGCACAGAAAACTCTATGTGCTGTTTCAACGAGGAAAACGTAAGTCCCAGATTGTGCACCCGGTTTAGCCGAGGGCTCTGGCTAGCGCGAACCTCCCAGGATTTCCCCCTCGTGTGCACGTAGTGCACGTCGCATGGAGCATGCACTTTTTCATATACGATGACATACTCCCGAGACAAGGACGTCTGAGCCAAGTTCTCGTTCGAGATCAGCAAGGGAAACCAGGCGTCATAACAGCGACCCAGCGGCACCCTTGCTGGCACTTTTCAGGAAAGCACTCTGCGAGAAAGAGAAAAGAGCCCAGGAGAAGCGATGATCATGCATCGCCAGCACCCATCTAGATGAAAGAGGATAAGGAAGCCTTGAAGGAAAAGTTCGGACGAGCAAAGAAGATCTCCTTTATGGTCGTTCTCATTTCTTCCCATGAAACCTAAAGCTGGATCCGCCGACGAGGTCAGCGGTGCTGGTGCGCGTCTAGTGAGTTGAGTTGGAGCCCTGATCTTACGTACCCTGTTTTGTGTTTGACCTTGACCAAATCCCTTCCCCATGGCTAAGAGAGTTTCAACAGCAATCTTACGGTGATATGTATCTCGTTTGCTATGGTTGAAGGTGAGAGCAGAATGGTGCCGTTGACCAAATAAACAAAACGTTTCGAAAGGTTGAGGGTAGCACTGCCACCCCTTGTCAGGTTGCCCTCTCGCGTCACGGTAGCGATACGCACGCGACGGTAATTGTCGATTACGCCCAAGCACGGGTCCCCAGGATGCAACGTTGATTATCCAGGTACCACTCCTTATCATTACCCATGCACCGCTGCCTATGCATAGCAGAGATCTTGTCCTTCATATGTCACCAAATCCGTCTGGACCACGGCAATGCAACCCTTGCAGCTCTCGCACAAACATGCACGTCCCTCAGCGACACCGCCCTTGACGAACTTGAATTCTATGCCAACATTAACTCTGATGATTTCTTGTGCTGTCTTCACGGGGATTTGGTAAAGTTTGATCCGGAACGGAGCCCTACCAGGCGTTCCGTTTCTTTCATAGTATGTCACCTTAAGCTTGTCCGACCCGGAATAGCTGATTCCAGCGTCTGGATGTAGGACCTCCTACGGCCCATCCGTTGGAGTGACTTAGAGGTCGTCCGGCGACACGGAAAGCGCGTTCTGTGTTTGACTTATGATCATACTTTGACCAACCACCGGATATACCTCACTCAGGAACTCCTTCATGTCTTGGCGAATACTAGTTATCGGCTGTTTCCTTCGCTTAGGGTGCTATCCTGGCGATTTGGACCTCCACTGGACGAAGAGACGCTGTTTGTTGGTAACCTTCTCGTCCCCACACTGAAAGATGTCTCATTGTCCCAATTCTTCGAGCTTGTGCCCGCGATCGTCCCTCGCCTGTTCCAGATCGCTCCTTCGATTCAAAGCCTAACTCTCAATCCTTACGACAGCGCAGTCTTCTACGATACCTTCTCCTCTCTAGGACAATGCTTGATGGGAAGGAAAAGCCTGAAAGAACTCTACTTTGACTCTGACTTGCGTGATATTTACTCGCAGCTCCTGTCTGTCGTACCTTCACTACCGTCCCTCGAGACTTTACATTTAACGTCCTCCGAATGTATCGAACGCGACGAGATTTTCGAACCTATCGAACAGGAGCCTAGTGTCTTTTACCCAGAGGCAATAACCCCGTTCTTCCCCGCTTTACAGACGCTTTTCCTAGGCGGACCATACCTGCACATTCTACAGACTCCCAACCGCTTCCGCAGCGTCACATCTGTCGACGTCATCACTGGCAGGCCAGAATATGAGCCGTTCATACACGGTCTCACCATGAGCCTACCCCATGACATCCTCACTTCGCTAACAATTCGCAACTCCATCGACTGGGATCCCGCCACGGATTATGCATGCTCTTCAACGGTATTTCGTCCATTGGCTGTATTCAAGAACTTGACACACTTCGTCCACGCGAGCAAGTGGCCCATCGCGTGGTCTGACGCGGGCATCGACGAGCTGTCCGGGTTCTGGCCGAAGTTGTGCAGCTTCTCGGTGGACGCCAATCCCGCAAGGACCCATTTCCTGTGCGAAGGACGGCTTATGAACATTCGCCGGTTGGGGATCTTGCTCACGAATTGTCCGCTGCTCGAGGTGGTGTGTGTATACCTCTTCGCGATTGAGCTCGAGGAGGATAAAGTGGAGCAGATCGACCAGCTCCCGAGGCACGAACGTCTCGATCAGCTTAACCTTTTTTGCTCGCCGATTCAGCCGGAAGCGGACGAGGTGGCGAAGCTGCTGAAGCATATGCTTCCTCGGCTGAAGTCGCTCAGCCATAATGATCGGAAGCTGGCGACGCATCCATCTCGTCCCCTAGTTATGGAGCAATGGCGAGAGGTGGCGAAGAGGGTCACTGGGAAGTAACTTAACAAGTAAGTGGTGAAGTGTAGTCTCCAACTTGGGCATAAGTTTGCATGGTCAATGCTACCGCACATGTTCATTTCCTCGAGTGTCACACTTTGATACGTGTTGTAAGCTACTATCAGAGCTAGTCGTTAGCATTACATTCCAGTCCATCGATATATAACAGCATGTATATGGCTTTGGATCGTTTAGAGATCGAACGGCTACATATGTAGGTGACGGAGCACCGGGGCTCGGTCTGCGATGGTTTAACGCGACCGACGGTGCGTTAAACACCATACTACACCTGTCGGATGGCACACTAGGCCTCCCTGGCGAGTGTTTAACGAGGCAATGCAATAAATCAGTTTCTCGCATATGGGCAGACTTGTTTATACATCTAAGTGAATGTGGATGTTCTGAGCTAAATTACGCTCTAGCATACAAGCATTAAATAGTCAAAGTCACCACTAGTGGCCCTGGATCAAGCTGAAGTACTTCTGAACACCTGACGATCCCGCCACAATAGCACCCACCACACCATCTGGCCGCACGATGACGACTCGGGACTCGTCCTTGATGAGATAGTGGGTACGAGCGTAGTTGTCTTTGTCGACAACAACCCTTGCGGATGTGACTGCACCGCCTGAGCTGGTCGATGCGGGCAGAATGATCACAGTGCGAGAAATAGCCGAGTAAGGCTCGAGCGCCTTCTCAACGTCGGCCGCGACCAGGACGTCAGGGGCGAACACCAACGCGGTATGATGAGTGGGTTTGAAGATGTCGAACAGCCTGACCGTCGCACTTCCCTCGATGAGACCAGGCGCATCGGGTGCTCTGTCTCCAGCGACCAACTCGTCGCTTCTGTCGAGTTGATATGCGGGTGCAGGTGGGACTCCGGCAGAGAATTCATCAAGCACGATTGGACTCGTGCGGTAGTTCACCCCGAGCATGAAGAGGATCCTACCACGCTCCATGGCGCTCTCGACGGTTCCGCGGTTCGGGCCAAAGCTCTTGTCGAGGATGGCAGTGGTAATGTTTAGCATGTGAGCGATAACTGGCAGACGTTCGGCCGTGTAGGTGTCGAGGAAGGAAAGTGGGGAGATTCCTTTTGCTACGAGGGCGATCTTCCACGCGAGATTGAACTAAGCAGATGGCGAACACAAATGTCTCAATGAAAATGCCTGAAGAACCTATGCGAAATGACGTACGGCGTCTAAAATTCCAGAGTTGAGACCTTGACCGCCCGTGGGGCTGTGCACGCTTTGTAAATGATTAGCAGGCAAACGATTAAAAACGGTCATATCCTCACTGAGCAGCATCTAGTCGAAACCTGTTAACTTCTTCAGACAGGAAAGAAGGGACGATGAACTCACCTCCAGCAACAAAGGCCCTTCCTTGCCCAAACTTGTCTACCATCCGAATGTTGGGTCTTTGAAGAGAATTAACACATCAATGAAGAGCGACAGCACTTTTGCACATACCGAAACTCGGAAATCCAAACCAGCTCCAAGAATTCAACGGGGGCATTAACAGTTTCTCTGATAACGGAATACAGCGCCTCCTTGTCTGATATCAAGGCATCAACATCGTACTTGTCTCCCACAATGAAGAGTTGCCAGCCGTCTCCCCCAAGAATCTCGTCAGTGGGGCGGAAAGAAACGCTGTGAGGCTCCTGAGTAAATCAACTCGGTTGTGACATAAAGTTAAGAACATACAAGTGTCCCGTATCATTGTTGAAGAATTGCCAACGCTGAACATACACCCGTTAGTCTCGTATGTGAACTATGCTTCGATTGAAAGCTCACGTCTCTCGATAAACCAGGACACTTGAAACGAATGTCACCAGTCACGACTCTGGTGGTGTCACGAGTTTCACCAAGGAAGGTCAACCCGAGCTGCTTACGAACAACACCTTCAAAAGCACATGAATCCCCATAACATCTTATATGCAGTAAAGATCGAGAGCTTACCCCGGGCGCCGTCAGCACCAACAAGAAATTGAGACTTGATCGTGCTGGCCGTCTGTATGTCACCATCTTTGGTCACGACTTGCGCTATCACGCCTTCTTCATCTTGTTGGAAAGACCGGAGCTCCGTTCCGTACTCGACGGTGCAGCCAAGCTTCTGCAGGTGAGATCTAAGGTTTCGCTCTACGTTGTTCTGACCGATGATCTTTGGGCTGCTCTGGACCATACAAAATATGTCAGCGGGTAAACACAGCTTGATCTCCAGTGGACACGCACAAAGGGGATGGCTGGCGTCGGCTCGTAATGCGGAGACATCCGGAACTCTTTCAAGACCTCTAGATTACCAATGGTATGCGTCTGCATGAGTGGGGCCAGCTGGCCTTCCCTGTCAATCTCGGGCACACCGAGGAAATGGTATGCTTCAAGAGTGCGGGGCTGCATGCATCGTTGAAGCTCTAGTAATATGTCCGGCAAGTAGTATGATGATGAGTACTTACGAAGTTGCCTGCTCCACGTTGGCCAATGTGCGGACCACTTGCTTTCTCAATGATCCGAACAGAAATGCCGTTGTGAGAAAGTGCCAGCGCAGTGAAGAGGCCCACGGGGCCAGCACCGACCTTGTTTCATGTTAGCAACAGCTCGTATCTGTGTATGAACTAGAAGGGGCACATACAACGAGCACCTGAGTTGAAGTCATAATGAGCAAATCTGTAGAACTGGGTGTGTAATTTTGATTTAGAGGATGAGGTAGTGCTGATACTGTGTCTGACTGACCAAGGCGTAGCTGGCCTTTTTATATGAATCCACCCTCCAACTTGAAGCAGTCTAACGGCTGCAGACTCAGAGGCCCCGAGAAGCTCGTCGGCGGAACATGTTCAGGGATCACGATTTCAGTGCCGAGTGTACGCGTCCCCTAGTATCAGTCATACCAGTGAGGCAGCACACGCGGGGTCGATCGGGAAGGATTCGTCGCATTGATGCGTTGTCGCTATGTTATCAGATAATTTAACAAAGTCAGCTGCCGGGCGTACGCGTCTTGCGGTGCTTCCGCAGTAATGAAAAGGTCCGAAAGGGGAACTGAAACTCACGGTGCATCGGGTGGTATAAGAATAAACCGATGTTCTACGGTGTTGCTATGTTATCAGTAAGCGAGCAAGGTCGAAACGCTGACGGAGGTTACAATGCCCCGCTGACGTTGGGCTTGCTGACATCCTCGGTGCCGACTTTGCTGTGCAGACTAGTAGATGGGAGGGGACTCGGATGAGTGCGGAGGTTGATAGTTCGCAGAACGACTAAGCATACAGTCGCCAAATGTATCACCACAGCATGCGGCAGTGTTTGAGACAAGCCGTAATGCCTCTCGAAGTAGCGCCGCCTTCAGGATGGTGGACTTGGATAAGCTACGGAAGGTGACAACGGTGTAAGTCCACATCGTCGAAGCTGAGGTTGAATGTATGCCCTGGTCGTTACAATGCTTACCAGACCTTCCCTCGAGCAGGGGTCGACAGCTGGATCTTCGTTGAGCTACTATGCTCAGGTGGTTCCTCCCCAACAAAAAGTGGGCGAAAGGAGGAAAAGGAAGCACACGCAAGCGAAAAGCAAGTCTCGTCTAGATCGGAACTCGGAAGTTGCGGTTAACTGCGTCCTTCAACCCGAACTTGAAGGTTTCGAGACTCAGCCAAGAGACTTTCATAGTCTACTCCTCGATCCTATTTCGCCATTATGTTCTTTCACAGCTTGTAACCCATAGCATCCATGCATAAGGTAGGTGCATGTTACAGGAATCTGTGCGTGCAAGAGTCGGTAATATGTATCGCTTTAGTGCTGGTCAAAGTAATACAATTCCACCAAGCTTTCACTTCTCTTGATCAGGAGATGGATGAAGGCTTGCGCGGAGCACCATCAGATTCACCCATCCTGTGAGGTTATTTCTCTTTTGCACTTGAACGAGTGGAGATGGTATAAACTAGACTACATACACACCGGCAAGAAGTAAGCGAGCGACGTCATCAATTCTAGTGGCCCTGGATCAAGCCAAAGTATTTGTGAACACCCAACGGTCCTGCCACGATTGCGCCCACCACACCATCTGGTCGCACAATGATGATTCTGGGCTCGTCCTTGATGAGATAGTGAGTACGGCCGTAGTTTTCTTTGTCGATGACGACCCTTGCGGATGGGATCGGAGAACCCGAGCTGGCCGACGCGGGCAGAATAACCACAGGGCGAGCAAACGCAGAATAGGTCTCGAATGACTTCACGATCATCTCGGCTGCGACCTGGACGTCAGGGGCGAACACCAATGCGGTATGATGAGTGGGTTTGAAGATGTCGAACAGCCTGACCGTCGCACTTCCCTCGACAAGACCAGGCGCATCGGGTGCTCTGTCGCCAGCGACCAATTCGTCGCTTCTATCGAGTTGATATGCGGGTACGGGTGGTATCCCGGCAGAGAACTCATCGAGCACGATGGGACTTGTGCGGTAGTTCACCCCGAGCATGAATAAGATTCTACCGCGTTCCATGGCACTCTCAATCGTTCCACGCTTTGGGCCAAAGGTCTTATCTAGGAGTGTTGTAGTGATGTTTAACATCTGAGCAATGACTGGCAGACGTTCGGCCGTGTAGCTGTCAAGGAAAGAAAGTGGGGAGATGCCTTTTGCCACGAGGGCAATTTTCCACGCGAGATTGAACTAGATGAGAGAGCCATAAATTTGTTAGCAGAAAGATGTAGAGAATTGAAAAGACTTACGGCGTCTTGAACTCCAGAGTTGAGACCTTGTCCGCCAGTAGGGGGATGTACGCTTGTCAATGATTAGCAAGTGAGCGATAAAAGATGACCGTATGCTCACTGAGCGGCATCTGGGTGAAACCTGTTAGTTCGCGTAAAATAAGCGACGATGAACTGACCTCCAGCAACAAAGACCCTTCCTTGTCCAAAATGGTCGACCATCCGAATATTGGGTCTTTTGCGGTGGTTATTACGTTGATAGAGAGTGGGCAACACTTTGTACATACCGAAACTCGGAAATCCAAACCAGCTCCAAGAAATCAACGGGGGAATTGAGTGTTTCTCTGATAGCGGAATATAATGCCTCCTTATCAGATAGTAAGGTATCAACACCAAATCTAGCTCCCAAAGTAATGAGCTGCCAGCCGTCTCCACCCTTGATCTCGTCAGTGGGACGGAGAATAACGCTGTAAGATCACTGAGTATTAATACACGCTATTTGCATGGGACAGCTGATGACATACACGTCTCCCGCGTCGTAGTTGAAGATTTCAAAACACTAAGCTCACACCCGTCAGTACCACATATAAGCTATATTTTCAATCAAGAACTCACAGTTCTCGATAAGCCAGAACACTTGAAGCGAATGTCGCCAGTGACGACTCTAATAGTGTCACGAGTCTCACCAAGGAAGGTCAAACCAAGCTGCTTGCGAACAACACCTAGACGAGCAAGGAATTGTTGGATGGCCAATGGATGACAATAGAAACTGGAAACTTGCCTCGGGCTCCGTCAGCGCCAATGAGGAACTGAGACCTGATCGTGCTGGTTGTCTCTTTGTCGCCGTCTCTGATCACGATTTGCGCGACTACACCCTCTTCGTCTTGTTCAAAAGACCGGAGCTCCGCCCCGTACTCAACAGTGCAGCCCAGTTTCTGTATGTGAGAGCTCAGGATACGTTCTACGTTGTTCTGCCCAATGACCTTCGGGCTGATCTGAAGCCACGTACATGACATCAGCGTGAATCATGGCTTGAGACTTCTACCAACACGCACGAAAGGGATGGCTGGCGTCGGCTCGTAGCGCGGGGTCATCGGAAGTTCTTTCAAAACTTCTAGACTACCAGCGGCGTGCGTGTGTATGAGTGGGACCGCTATGGCTTCTCTGTCAATTTCTGGTACGCCGAGAAAATGATACACTTCTAGAGTGCGTGGCTGTAAGAAAAATAAGAGAGTTAACTTGTACGCTAGAAACCCAACATGTACTCACGAAATTGCCTGACCCACGTTGGCCAATGTGAGGAGCACTTGCTTTCTCAATGACTCGCACAGAGAGACCGTTACGCAGAAGTGCCAACGCAGCAACGAGACCCACGGGGCCAGCACCGACCTTGCTCCATATTATTAATTAGTAGCCAGACATAATTAGACGCGAACCAGATAGAACACGTACAATAAGCACCTGAGGCGAAGCCATCATCAAGAAGTTTGTAGAATTTGGAGAGTGATTTACGACGTAGTTGTGAAACTGCTGGATGGACCAAGACTTGGCCGGTCTCTTATATGAGTCCATCCTCCAAGCCTTGTAACGCCTCAAGAATTCAGAGTCCCATTTAGCTCAACAACTACACATGTGGTGCGCCTCCGGGTGAGTGCGTTTGCGTTGATCAGCTCGGGTAAATGGATAGATCCCATCACGCCAACAATATGTTGCCAAGTAATCAGATAGGCGAACGAGCTCAGTGAAACTGACCTACACTAACGTCCCGAAAGGTCCGGAAAATGTTTTGCTCCACTGATGTTGTACTTTTGCTGTGCAGAATCCTGGATTGAGAAAGTGAAAAGGGTACGGGAAATAAGAATATGCAGGACGATCATGTCATCGACAAATGTGCAGCATTTTTGAGGCGTTATAGGGTCGTTTGAGACGAAGAGCACAAACTTCAGAATTGTGGCTCAGCTACAGAAGTTGACGTGAGTCCACTATCAAAGGGTAAGGAATGAACAGACTTGAACTATGCCATGAACGGCTCAACAGGGTCTGGTCATGGATTGCTATGGCTTCTGACTTGCTCAGCTTAACGCGTGGTTCACGAGGCGGGATCGAGTCCGCTCAACGTTCAACTCCGCCTAGTGTGGCGGATGTCGGACTGTCGGCGCTTGAAATTTACATTTCGGCTTCTTCGCTTTCCTCCGACGTCCTCCGAGTCATCTCTTCCGACATGAAGTTGGACCCACAGTCCCCTCGTGCGGTGTTGCCACTGCGAAGCAACGCGTGGTTTTCGTTACAGTACATGAATTGTCGCGCCACCGCCATCGTCTTGAATCCCTCACTCCAAAATACGCCTCTTGACCATTGCCTCACGCCTCCATGTTACGCCACACAACGGAACCTCAGCCTTTTGCTGGTCGTAGGTTCTGTCTCGCTTTAGCGCTGGTCAAAGTGATTCCGCCGAGCTGTCGCTTCTCTATTGTTGAAGTAGGCGACCCTGAAATCCAACCACCTGGCCATCACGTATACAGCATCCTCATGTCGCCTATATGAACTCTGCTTTCTGCGTAGACGCCTCTCACCTCGACTTCGCCACCTCTTTTCCCAGCTCAAGTATGCCCAAGAGCATGCCTCCCAGGAGCCCCAACCGTCGTTCAAGAGCCACTCCGTACAAATTCCTACCGCAGGAGCAAAGCCCCAAGAACGACGCCACTAGGTCAGACCACCAGCCTCTCGGGCCGCATTGCTCAGCAGTAGTAAGAGTGGCGCCGGTTCTATGCCATTATCCCACATTAGTGTGTGGCTCCGACGGCTGGAAAACTGTGCCCAAGCCATTCTACGTGTATCTTCCGCTATCTCCCCAGGACGCGTTCTTCTGCGAGAAGCTCGGGATACCCCCTCGCCACAGCATCGACCTCGACCTCGTGGGACATCTTCAGGCGACGAGGGCCATCCCGCAGGTCTCGCTCTGCCATCTCCTCGGGCTGGCGATCAAAGGTAGCGCACGCGGTCGCTTGCTTCTCGACGACCTCTGTTTCGAAGTTGCGGATCACCTCGAGAAGTGGAGAGATTCTCGGTACAAGACGCTCAACAAGGTGAATGCCGCTCACCTTCATCCGTCATGCCCGTTAAACGCCTACGGATGATCTCCACCAGATATCGGTCAGTAACTTGTTGGGCAAATACAACATGTTCTACAGGATACCGAGGCCCGCTGATGTACCTGGCCGAGGGAACTACTGGGCTTTAGACGTTTCTCGTGACGGGCGCAAGGACTATGTGCCGCGTGCCGCTCGATTGAAGGCAAACAACCAAAAACTGACAAACGCGCCGAGGGGTGACGGCCAAGCAGCCGACATCACCACACTCGCGTCAGTGTCAATCTCTGCTCGTCGCCCTTCGAATCCTGAAGACAGTCTGGAAACCTTTGTGGGGCTGGACCCAGTGGGAGATGATAGTCAAGAAACAGAGGTAACCCCCAGCCCTGATCCCTTTCATCCTTATCATCCAGTAGGTCTCGGTATCGGATCCGGAAGTGATCAAGCACATGATAACGGTAGAGAGCTTTTGGACGTGATCTTCTCGACTGGGGGATCTGGATTTGGTCATGCTTCCCATATTTGATACTTGCTTCCAGTTCTCGCGTCTATATCGACTCATCCTGCCTCGGTATCCTCTATGGACTTGACTCGGACACAGCTTGTGCTAGTTCTGTACTTACGAATTATGATGAATACCGTTGTAACGCGCAGAGAGTTCTGGGAACCAGCCTATTTTTTCAAGGCAGGTCTGGGTTTACGGAGAAACCACAGCGACAGTTCCAATGTTTACGAGCCACAAATCCGAGGCAACTATGGTGACATGAGATATCGTACAAACTGTCCTTGTCGTTCAAGATAACCTTCAACATACTGACGGCGCGGACATTGGAGCAAATAGCGATGATACGAAAGAGTTTCTATAAGTGTTCAGAGTGAGAGCGGTATCATAATGGGAGCTGCATGCGCACGCTAACGCCAGACGGTGCCGCAGCCTACACGCGGCGCCTGATCCCGACGCGACATTCAACAGGCTTGCGCAAGAACCCCTCGCGCGTGTCGAACTACAGCTCACATCAGCCACCCACCATCACAAACAAAGAAACCAACGCACCGGCTTCGCCGCATCCTCCAACACAAACGTATACCTCCTCAAAATCGACGACACAATCACCAACAGCTCCATCGACGCCAAGTTCCTGCCCACACACGCCCGCGGCCCAAACGAAAACGGGTTAAACGCCCTCTGCACCGCATCGCGGCGCTCCTCCTCCGCCCACCGCTCCGGGCGGAACGCCTCCGTGTCCGCGCCCCACACACCCGCGTCGCGGTGGATCGTGTAGCTCGGCACGCTCAGGATCGCGCCGGGCGGGAACCACAGCCCGCGCAGCGCGAGGCCGCCCTCGGGCGCGATGCGCGGGAGCCCGATGGAGGATGTGCTGTGCAGGCGGAGGGCTTCGTTGATGACAGAGTCGAGGTATGGGAGGCGTTTTACGGCGTCGAAGGTCGAGACGGGGTCGTCGTCTGTGCCCAGGGCGTCGTCGAGCTCGCGCTGGAGCTTGGTTTGGATTTCGGGGTGCAGCGCGAGGTAGTACGTGATGGCGCATGAGGAGCTGGAGGGGTCGCCGGTAAGAGTGAGTTTGAGTAGAAGATAATACGAACGCACTTGGAAGTAGTGTCGGACCCAGCAATGAGCTGCGTGAGCGCCTCCGCCGTGAGCTCCTCCCTCCCCATCGGATTCCCCTCGTCGTCCTTCGCCTCCTGCAGCCGCCTCAGCAGGTCCACCCTGTCCGACGGCTCATTCAGCCGCTTCGCGACCGCAGCGACGGCGATGCCCGCAAGGTTCCTTACTGCCTTGCCGCCCTTCCTGTACCACGGCACGAAGCGCTGCATGAACGGGCGGATGGCAGGCGGGAGGACGCCCATCGCGGCCGAGTACTCGCCGCGGTCGTTCAGGATCTGCACGGCGGGGATGTGCACGACCTTGATATTAGACGCGGACGAGCCGTACGCGGACATGGCGTCGGCGTGCGAGACGGCGACTGGGGCAGAGTCCTTGGCGGAATGGATCATCCCGAAGGGGGAGCCGAAGGCGAGATCGCCGATGATGTCGAACGCGAGGTAGTTGTACCCTTCGAGCAGCGACTGAGACCTTGAATCGTACAAGCTGGTCAAGGAGGACTCACAAGGCAAACAATCCAACCACAGTTTCCCGCCCCGCCCCTGCCAGCCCCCCTCGCCCTCGTCCCCGCTCTCTCCCTTCTCCGCACGCGCACACAGCCTATCCCACTGCTCCATGAGCTGCCCAACGTACAGGCGTACATGCGGCTCGAACTCGAGCACGTTCTTCTGCGAGAAGATGCCAGACACAATCTTGCGCTTGCGCGCGTGCTGCTGCCGGTCGCGCGTATTAAAGAGGCCACGGTGGATGGAGACGAACGCGTCGTAAAAGTCAGACTTGAGGCTCCCGTTCCCGTGGGCATACACGACCTGGAGCGCCTCCGGGTCCGCGACAGAGACGTGGTTAGGGGCGATGCGCACGACGGGGCCTTTATATTCGCCGCCGCGCGCGTTATGAGTCAGCAAGAGATCGGATTGAACTGGGAGGAGGAGAGCGCACGCACCGTATTTCTTGTGCAGCTCGTGCACGATCTCGGACCGGTGTCCGTGTGCAGACACCCAGCCGAGCCACGCGTTCGAGAACTTGGCGAGGAACGGTCCGGGGATCGAGCGCTGGTGATACGGGTCCCAGAGCCAGGGCACGAGGAAATAGAGCAGCAGGCAGACGGGCACGCCTGCAGCAAGCTGGCTGGGCGAGATGCTCCTCAGGCGGTCGAGGAGCGCGTCGAAGTCAAAGTTGAGGTTGATGGGAACGAGGTCCTTGAGGGTGGCAATGACGCTGTCCATGTTGTGCGATTAGCTGGAAGGTAACGTAAGACTGCAAGGGTGGGGACTGGGAGTTTGTGGGCAAAGGAGGGGGAGAGGAAGCGCTCTTTACGTGAACCTCTGCAGGCACCAAAGTTGGAGACTCTCAGCCACTGACGTTCTCAGACAGGGGGTAGCGGCACATACCAACTAAACCAATCGTAAAAGGTGGGCAGTCCGCTGTGTTGCCTCCGCTGCGAGTCGTCGTCGGGTGGCTGGTACAACGAGCAAACGAAAGGCATGCGGTTGACTATTAAATAGTCGGCCGGATCCAAGAAGGAGCGCCCCCATGGGACTACGCAGGGCGTCATGGGTAAAACACTAAGTCATCCTTTGGCCCCGCCCGTCGGTCCAGTCCGCGGCGTGCGTATCTGAAGAGCATCCCGTCCGACACGAGCAGGTCTACTTGGCGTGTTCGATGTCGGCCGTCGAGACATGCAGGTGTTATTATTGACGCGAGAAGATCTGCAGAGCACATCGCCTCTTCATTCATTGCTTGGCTGTGATTGGCCTGCCATGTCGCCGGGCTATGGTTGTCCCGCAGACACGTCGATCTGGAACACTGTTACTCAGTTGCGCTCTGTTTCGATGTGTCTTTTTCGTCGGATCTGTCGGCTGTCTGACCCTGGCAGAACGGAACCAAATTTACCCCATACACGCTTTACTGGACTATCCATCTAGCAGATGCATCAATTGGGTAAAAACAAGTACATGGGTGCGTCAAGGTGAGATACAACAAGCGCAAAATGGGTACAGGAGGGGCCGTTTCGTCGGTGTCCGTGTGTAGAGTGGGGAGCTAACATACAATCAGCACGGCGTATGTGAGAACGAGATTAGGAAGCATGACGTGACGTATTAGTACAAACTACTTGCAATTGGGCCTGAACATAGGCGCAACAGATTGAGAGAGCAACAAGAAACCAAGAAAGCGAACACGACAGATCAAGAAAATGACAAAGCAAGAAAGAAAACAAGAAAGTCCCAGAGATAAGCACGAAACACAGATTTTGCGGTATGTCACGAGTAGAATGATGAAACACGGAAGTCGTCCACGAAAGAGTAAGTGTGCACAGCACCTTCCCCGATTCGAAATTAGCCGTTTTACGTTTTCGTTCCCGAATCAAGTCCGTGTCCGATATCCGAGGTCAACGTTCAACACCCATCATTCACAGTCCAGCCGTTCCCTGCACAGCGGACACGTCCTGCTGCTCGCGAGCCACACCCGCACACAACGCTCATGGAACCTACATCGCAATATGAGCACGCCATCGCGAAAGGGCACCATCGCGAAAGACAACACTCACGCATGCTGACACTTCATCCCCAACACGCCGCGCTGCCCCTCCTTGAACTGCGACATGCAGATCGCGCACCGGTCCACGCCAACGCCAAGGAGCGCCAGCTTCAGCTTCACCCGCCCGTCCCTCATCACCCGCCTCCGCTCCAGATCAACTCTACCCACAAGACACGCCGCCAGCGCCGCCTCGATTCTCTCTGCCCTCGACACTCCCGCTGCCTCTCCCCCCTGCCCCCGCCCCGCCCCCTCTCCACCACCAGCTCCCCCGGGAAAAGAACCAGCAGCAGCACGCTCATCGCCCAGCGACGAGTGCAGCCGAGCGGGCCCAAGCAGATCCGCGATCATCAACAGCGCCTATGATGAACGGCGCAGACAACGGCGACGACGACGGCGACGCTCTCGCTGCCACAGCAGCAGCAGCAGCACCGCACCCGCCGCGGCGACGGCGGGGCGGCTGGCTTTGATGACCCGCTGCAGCAGAAGCAGAGCCGGCCGCGGCCGTCGCGGCCGCCACATCGCGCCGCTGCTTGTTGAGCATCAAGTGGCCCTCGCGGTGCGCGGCAGGAGCACTCACTTCGTAGTCGGATCCGTCCGCCCGCGCACCCGGGCCGGAGCTGAGCCGCGCGAGGACGGAGGCGACGTCTGGGCCGTCGTTCGCGCTGCCTTGCAGACGCGTCGAGTCATATGAGCCGTACGGCGTAGACTCGTACGAGGCTGTCGCAGAGGCGTCCTCGTCCACCTCGCCTTCCTCATCTTCGGCTTCCCCGTCTGCATCCGCGTCATTGAATTCGGCAAGAGCTCGTTCCTCCTCTTCTTCCTCTTCCTCTGCCCCGACCTCCGCGTGGATGGGCAGCCGCGCAGGCACAAGCGCGTTCGGCGTCAGAACAGCATGCGCCGGCAGCGGCGTCGACGGCGCAGAGAGAAACTCGTCCACCGCATCGTCCGCGCCGTTCGAAGCCAGCGACAGCCTCGAGTCGTGCATGCCCGCATGTACACCCCTGCCCACCGGCAAACACCCATAGGGAATGGAGGAAAAACTGTCGCGAACATGTCTGCTGACACCGTGCCCATCGCTGCCCGCACCAACCCCAGCCCCAGCGCTAGGGCTCCCGCTCCGCGTACCAGCCATCCACGCAGGTCCACTCGTCGGCGTCGCAGGCTCCGAGCCCGAGTCATAATCCTCCTCCTCCTCATCGTCGGGATCATCGACCGGGTCTTCGTCCCGGTCACTCGGCCCGTCGAAGGCGACGTCGAAAAGATCCGGCGGGAGCGGTGCGCCCGCGCCTCCTCCGAAGCGCGACAGTGCCGGATGCGCCGCGAGCTGCGAGTCCTCGCTCAGGTCGATGAGCAGGCCCTCTGGCACACCCGAGCCCGAGCCCGAGGCTGATGCGGGGCCGAACGTCGAGCTCGAGGCGACGTGGCCATCCGCATTGGCAATGAAGTTAGTTCGCCCTTTAAGGAACTGTACAGACGCGCTCGGGCGCAGCCTGACTTCGCCCACGCCGGCGCCCGTGCCGATGCTCAGATTGTGCGCCGACGCGCTCGGGCGCAGCCTGTGTCCGTCCACCATCGGTCCTGCGCCCGTGTTCGTCCGCGCAGCGAGCCACGCCTGCATCGGAGACGGCGAGCACGCCAGCGGCGAGCGCGGCGGCGTCACCGGCAGCGGCCGGCCGGGGTAGTGCTTTCTTGGGCTGGACGCCGCCGACGAGCCGAACGAGGTCATCGAGGCTGCGAGCGAGTGCGGCGTCGGAGGCAGGGGGAGAGCAGACACGCCCATCGAGGGCGTCGACACAGCAGACGCAACAGTAGAGGACGACGCCGACGCAAGCGCCGACGCGAACGACGCAGAGCTGAACGTGGACGTGGGCGTCGACATCGTCGCTCCCTCCCCGTCCTCAGCGCCATCGGGCATGAGCATGGGCGTCGACAGCGGGATACACGTGCTCGGGTCTCGCGGCGTGTACGGCGGCGATGCGTCCGCATAGACGGTGCTGTACGTCGGTGTGCTCGAATCCTCGCGCTGCACGCTACGTGCCCTGGCGTGCCTGTCCCGCGATCTCGGACTCAAGTTGGGATCTGAGCTTGCGTCCAGCTCTGGGCCAGGGGCGAAGCCGCGTTCCAGGGCAGGTGCGCTGTTAAACAGGGTAAGGGTGTCACCTTGCGGCGTCTGGGCCCGGGGGATCTGCGATGTATGTGGGGTCTGGGGAGGGAGCTGCGGTTCCTGCGGAGTCTGCGGAGCCGGCTGAGCCGCAGGAATCTGAGGGCGAGGAATATCCTGTGGGCGGATCGTCGGTGTTGTACGGATCGCAGACGGAGGCGCGAGAGGGTGATCATGGATAGCTGATTCGGACCGCGAGATAACATGTCCAGTCCGAATAGGAGAGCACGAACGCTCGGCGCGCCTCGCGATAGCCACAGAGGGATTAGAGACAGGAATGGGCATCGTGCGTATTGCAGAGGTAGGACTTGAGAGAGAATGCATCGACTGCTGGTCGCTCGCCCTGTCGAACTCGGACCGCGTTGGGCTCGAAGGATGCATTGTCCGCTTTAAGAAAGGTGTCGTGCGTTCCCTTGCTGCAGCCGCCGTCTCGCTACCGTGCCCGACCTGCGAAAGCGACACCGATGACGCCTGGAATGCAGAGCGATGAAGCGAAGGCGACGGTGGTGCACTCGCTGGATCCGCTCCCGAACCACTGAACCGTGTCGGGGAGGTGTAATGTCGCATGTGGCCCTTCGGCACAGCGGGTGCAGGCGCAGGCGACGGGGACTGCTGCGCGCGACGTGCTTCTCCTTGACCAAGCGGCGACGGATCATGCCTGACCTGACTCGAGGAACGGCTACCTCTTGGGCTTCCTCCTTCCAGCTCTGCAAATATTGGCCGAGCACCCGGCTGCGGCGCTGTCTCCTGGAGAAGGACACCCCTAGATGAGCGACGCCGAAGTTTGGACATGATACCCATGTTTCCCTCATTGAAGTCGTAAGGGATTCCGTCAACGTCCTTGGGCAGCACTTCCCAGTCCTCGGAGGGCTCGGATGAGGTAAAGGGGCAAGTGGAGGCTGGTACGCTACCGCGTCGGGCCTTTGCTTTGCCCTTGACATGCGAGAGAAAAGACGAGCCCTTGCCCGTGTTACTGGCAGGTGGGTTTTGGGCTCGGGAAGAGGCGGCGCCAGCGTTGCCACGTTCGGCCAGCATGGGCGAGCTACGATTGAATGTGTGACCGCGCAAAAGTGCGAGCCTGGATGTGCTAGGCGTGGTCGGAGGCGGTTGTGGGGGCGATTGAGTGCGGAACAGCGTACGCATGGTTCCTGGCGTCGATGGAGTCGTCGCAGCCGTGTTCGAAGCTGAGGACACTGTAGACGTCGACTGCATGGATGCGTGCGAACCGGCAGTGTTGTGTATGCTGGAAGGGATCTTGACCGAGAGCTTCTGCATCAGACGTTTTCGAGGACTAGCAGATTTCCCCATTCCCTCGAGCTTTTCCAGTTGTGCAAGAGTCGGTGCATGAGAGGAGGCCGGAGTGTCGGGCGGCGACGTATTCTTCTCGCGTTCCTCAATGCGACCCTTCTCTTTCCGGACGGCGATGCTAAGTCCTGCAGCTTCACGATCCTTCTCCCAACGCTGCGACGGGTCGAGGTCTACCATCTCATACCCGCAGCTGGAGTCCGAGTCATATTCCTCTGCATCAGCAAATTTCTCTTCGTACCCGTAGGTGGGCTTAGAAGAAGAAGAAGAGGGTGTTGGCGTAGGCGAATCACTGCCGATGCTCTCTCGAGGAGACGACGGGTCTTCAACGTCTGTCGGAACCCGCGGAAGATCGGGCCGAGTGGATAGGGGAATGGGCGGCGGGGGACCATGGGACTCGATGGGCAAGGACGTTGCAGCAGAACGGAAAGACGCAACGGATGGTGACGGGATCTCCTGGGAATGGTGTGGGTTCATATCGAGCACGTTCGGTACGGCCGTCGTCGCCTCATACGACGGCGGCGGAGGATCTGGGGACAGAGTATCGTGTGAGTATATGCGCATATAGCCACTCGTCACTTCACCAAAACTCACCTGCGTTCTCTTGCTGCTGTTGCTGGCGACGCCTCTCTCTCGCCTGGCGCGTGGCTTTGAAGGGGTAGCCGAGATTAAAGCGGACCTCCTCCTCGCGTTTCTCCTCCCGGCGCTTCGGGTTCTTCCCTTTGCGTCTCCTGCCGGCGTTGTCGGGTGGAATGAGTGTTCTCCGACCATGGTGCACCACCTCGTGTGTCAAGTAAGGAGCGGGCTCCCTGCCTCGTTCCCTTTCCCTCCCCAGCTCTGCCCGCTCGACGCGTTCAGCGCGCTGCGTCGCTGAAGAGGACACAGACGTGCTGGATGGGGTAGCAGATGTCGGACGTGACGAAATAGGAGAAATCCCCGGACGGGCTGGCGAGCGCGAGCGTGGCCGAGGGCAGTTGCCCATGAGTGAGTTGCTGGCAGATGGCGGCACGAGATGACGAGCTGAAGCCATAAACGAGCGCTGGTGGCTGGTAGTGGCTGGCAATGGCTGTGAGCTATCAAGCTACCCAGCTCGGAGTGTGATGTGAGGCTCAGGCAGGCAATGCACAAGAATGAAAGGCGAGCAGACTGCGCGAGTCGAGTGAGACTTGACCAGACTGGGTGAGGCAGCGAGGAGACACCAAGCAAGCTGGAGGGACATGGACATGCCCTTGCCAGGAGGCTCCTCTTTATGAAGAACAGCACCCGCGGGCCGACACAAGGCATCATCTCATCACGTGCGGACCCCAGATCCCACCATCTCCTCGACCACTGACACTACCCGGCGCGTGGCCCACAATGCCCTGCCGTCACAGGCCAACTCGAGACTGCCTACAGCGACTACAGCCCACTCAAGAACCTGCACGCCTGGGACATTGATGTCGAGGGTTTGCGGTCCCTGTAGCTTACAATTATAGCTTACCCTTTCTTAGAATCCAATCATAGCGTTCACACAGACAAAGTTAGAGATCTCCTCCTCGGCCTCGCCCCGAGCAACGGGGCCAGGCAAATTGTTTCATTAGACTCAGCTGGTCAATATAAGGGCAGCGATTGGCTCAAAATCGACCCCCCACCAAACCAGCCGTCTCCATGGGTCGCACTCGCCATCGCCAAGGTCACCAGAACGACCACGCCCCACCCCCTCCTTCTCTCCTCTCCTTCCAACTCCATCGATTGGCGCCACGAATCGACAAAATCGACTCCGACCTCTTCTTTGCCAGGCCTAGAAGCTCGTTGGCGCTAACCCTCTGCCTTTCTCCAATTCCATCATCCAGAGTTCTGAAACGCATTCCAAGCCTCACGTTCCAAGTCTTGCGAACCAAACTCCGACAGACAAGCTCTGGTACCGGGTCCGCAGCGCCATCGATAACGGAAGAATGGTACCAACGATAGCCAAAACTCGTGATGGGGTCAAAGAGCGGCAAGCCGATACGTGTCCGAACGCGGAAGAGTAACAAGGTGACGCGGAACGAGTGTAGATGCCGGCAGAAACATGCGCATCCAAGTGACGACTGGCGTAGGAATGGAAGCTGCTTTTAAGGTTGGATGAACGACCGGGTCACGTCTGTCGATTGGAAGACGCTTCCGGGGCGCCTCAATTGGTGGGTCGTACGACTTTCAAAGGTCAAGTGCCAGACCGTCGCAGTCCGTAACTGTGCCAGCCAGGCTTCAGCCGGAGTGCATGATCACCTTTTGGCGCCTCCCGAAGCACTGCATGAGGTTTCGCAGGGCTGCGTTGGCTGCAGGCCCAGCAGCACCCATGCCGAAACTCGCTGTTTTCGAGAGGCAGCTGACGCCTTGCCCAACGAGCGTCCCCAGCCGGAAGCAACCCCCCTTCCTCTCGTTCCGCTCTTGGTACATTGCAGCCAGTCGACGAGCTCTCACGCGCGGATGCTCGGAAAGAGGAAGCGCACGGAGCCCCCAGACGTGAGTTGCACCCCCACTCGTCCTTGCCTTTGCAATTTTCGCGGTCTTCGTGGCATTGCCGGACCGCATGTCCACACGCGAGGCATTCGAGGGCTGGCTCGCTGGATTTGAACGGACGCCGAGAACGTCACTGTCGGCGCGTCTCTGCTGCATCTCTACAGGGCATCCTTGATATCCCTAGACGTCAATGAGCATCCATGACCACACCACTTGCTCTCAGCACGGACGCAACACTCACCCGATACGCCACGTTCGAATTATACGCCCACGAGGACGACGCCACCCGCAGGTCTGTTCGTGCGCCGGACACGTGCGTCTGAGGCGCAGGCAGGAAGGCCTCCGGGCAATTGAAGGAATTCAATTTGTATTTCGTCTCGTTTTGGTTCAACAATCCTTGTGCTTTCCAGGCTACGTTCTCCTTTTCGCTCGTCCATTGAGTGCGGGCGTAGGGGTCGAAGACCGGCGTAGACGCCATTCTCGAATAGGACGACAAGGGCGAGCGCCCGCTTGACCCGGCTGCGCGGGGCCGATAGGCTATGCCACTGGTCAAGGGCAGGGCGGAGAGTGCGGGCCACCGCTCGGACCTGAAGGTATCCGGAGCGTTCGAGGAAAGGGGAGACCCGTAGCTAAGTGGGGAAATAGCCGGGGGTTGCAGATGAGGGAGGTCGCTCGGATAGACTGGTATGATTGGCTGTTCTGGTTCTCCTCTGGCGCCGATGTTGACGGGAGGCTGAGCAAGAGCGGCGACAGGGGCAAAAGCGGGTGTGTATGCAACGACGCCAACCGTAGGAGTGGGCGTGAAGTTGGTAATGGACGCGACCAGGGCCGGGGACACAGGCAGGTGTCCGAAGCTTGAGCTCGACACCTTCACTGTCATCCCCTCGTCGCCCATTCTTCCGACTCCCATGCTCATTGGCTCAGCAGCGATGGTATCGTCGCCCATAATCACGTCTCCTTCCGCGTCATAAGCGGTGCATGCAGGAGCGGCGCGCTGGGGAAGGACAAGGTCGACTGGCATAGGATCGATAATATCGCCTGACGTGTCCATCGCGTTCGAGTCTGCACATGCGTCGTCCTGCCTGCCGACCACGCTCATAGCCATCAGGATGTCTTCGTGGCCGTCATGGCCGAACGCGGTGCTCTCTGCCATGGGCGCCTGGGACTCAGTAATCTCGTGTGCCAGGGCGACCTCGAGCGTTGTGGTAACTTCAAGCGTTGGAGCGGTCGGGGGTGTGACGACCCCGGCGGCTGAAACGACCTGAAGCGTTGAGCTGACCTCGGGCATTTGGACAATCTCGAGCATGGGGGCAGTCTGGGGGGTTGGAGCAACCTCGGGTGTTGGAATGACCTCAGGTGCTGGGACGACTTCAGGCATTAAATCAACGGCAGGAGTTGGGGACACCTCAGTCGAACGCAGAGAGCACATCGTAATCCCGGCCTGATCCTGCTTGTAAAAGAAACGCAAAGAAATAAGCAAACACGCCAAACGCAGTGACAGGAGTAGAGCTTACCTCTTGTATTTCCGCCGCGATGATATGCGTATGTTCGGGTGCTTTCACTCCTAATAAATCCGCCGTAAAAACGTCGACAATGTCGCATGACTTCTGAGGTGCAGGAACAGATGGTACGGAAGACGGAGAGAGGATCGCTTCCACGGGGTCGGAATAGTGCACGGAAGTGGAAGACACCTTTGCGAGGCCAGGAAGCTCTGCAGAAACTTCGAGCTCTGCTAACTGTCCCTGCGTCGACGCGCTTGGAGACAAGGTCGTCTGCACGTTGTTAGATTGAAATGAGAAAGTAAACGTCGGAGTGGGCTTGTCGGACTGGGCGTGAACAGAGTGCTTGAGTGTCTCAGGATGGGCAGGGATCTGTGGAGTATTGACAGATGCGACAGGTCCCGCAGCAACAGACTCGCCAGCATTAGCAGGAGCTTTGACAGATAACCCCCGGGATGGCGAAGTTGGCTTGGCGGTAGGGTGGATAGCTTGGGCGGAGCTAAGCTCACAAGGCGTCTCAGAAGCAACAGCCGAGCTGGCCTGAGTCTGGGGTTTCTCAACGGCCGTGGAACCGACGGAATCCGCATTCGAGTTTTTCGAAGGGCCGGCAATCAACTGTGCCACAGCTGCATTGTGGGCCTTGTTCGCCTGGAATCTCGCGAGTTTCTTTTCTTTCGCTGACAGAGGACGGGGAGACAAATCCGCTGCCTGCGCAGGCATATAGGAGAGGGTGGGAGATGTTGCAGGCGAGCGCGGGGTAGCAATGACGTGGGCAGACGGCTGAGATGCGTCGGTGGTAGGAGGAGGTGTCGCGGGGACTGGTGGCTGAGGTACAATGGTGGCAGGGGCGGTTGTGATAGACGTAAATTGCAAAGACGCAAGAATGGAAGCGCCCTCGAGGTGTCTTGTAGAGTGAGCGGTTGGAGAAACACCCACAGACTCAATAGGCTGCGCAGATGATACAGACGAGGTAGACGCTGTAGGGACGGCGTAGTCGCAGGCCTGCGTCCACTGAGTAAAGATGCTCGATTCCGTGTTAGCTGTCGCGGTGTCTTCTAGCGTTGCGATAATTTTGAGGAGGATCTGGTTGACACTGAGCTTAGCGAAACGTCTAGTGCCAAAGGTGTCAAAACCAACCTCTTTCTGTTCGGGGGTATAGCCCGCCCAATTAAAGTCGAATACAGTAGCCGTATTTCTCGGAGCTGCGTTGCCGGGGTTAGAATTCCCCGAACAATTGACCTGATCTTCGATGGTTTCGGCGGGCGGCGAACCCAGGCCAAAAGCGTATTGGGACGGATCGAGGGTCGACGGTGTCGACGGTGTGGCGTCATGGGTAGCTTGCGACACTGGAGGACCGAGGGCACCGTCTAGGGAAGAGTAGGCGGAGCTGGGGTAAGCCGGGGCTATGCCAGAGTTGACGTCGCTCGTCTGAGTGTACATCAATGTGGGATCGTAGTATGGGCTGGTTGGCGTGACGTTCCGCCCAGGAAGATCTGTGCTGTATCGACCGTCCCAACGCTCGAAGCTGGATTGCATCTCGGGCTCGGGAAGGGCTGAGTAGCTGATAGAAACATCCTGTCCCGCAGCTAGTGCAAAACCCAATAAATTAAGCTCTTGTGCTGCCTCGTTCAAATCAACATGGGAGTTCTTACCTTGTGACGCGGCGATCGGAACGGTGGCATTCTGGGGAGTCTCTCTAGGCAACTCGTCGGTGGCCACAGGGGCATCTGTTGCAGCCATGATGGGTGGCTGGGACAGCGGGCTCTTGCCCATCCTGGTAAGATAGTCAGGAAACCACCGACGATGACGAGTGTAGGTGTCGTCCACACCTCGAACGTCTATGCGGAAGTCCCGCCATGGGTCGCCTAACAGACTGGGCGATTGCATTGTTTAGGATGTTTGAGTGGGACAATGGGTTGAACATGGTGCGTGATGAGAATCGGTATTGGTGCAGGAGTGGGGGGAAGCGAAGAAAATCGGAGAGCGGAGTCAAAGGGCAAGCTCTTGTTCGCCCTTTTATTGTGGACCATTGTGTATCCGAATTTCTTTGACAGGATCCTGTGCCGTTTCTGCACTCCGACAGGGCGTTGAAAGGGGAGCGCAAAGCCGACAACGATCGGCAGCCAAACAAGGACAAGTTCCATTCTTGGACCCGCTAAGGCTTGTATGGAGCAAAGCAGTACAAACATTGAAAATAAATTCTGAAATTTACCAAAATGCACCAAAATCGTTACCGTTTACGCTACCACTTGCTTGATTGTGATCAAAGCCCGCTGATAGCATAGCATATGCCATGAAATGGGAGGGCGCTTTGCTGCCTGGCCAAGCTGGGTATTCTGACAATCAATTTGTGCTTTGCCGCTGGAGAAGTTTTTTTCCCGATGTGGGAAAGGCGGAGCTAGGGTTAGGGGAGGAGCGGTGGCGTGACCTGGTGGGATGTTGGATTTTCACGTGATGGTTACGTAACAACGCGCGTTGGCGAGTTCGGTTTTCTGAACTTGGCAACCTCCCGAGCGTCCCTTGTTCTCCTCCTCCTCGTCGTCAACAGGCGTTAGGCCTCAAGACCATACCCACCATGTCCGCCCCCTACGTCGCCCGCGCAACCCAGCCCCAGCTTCAGTCCCACCACCAACCACGCCGCCCCTTCGCCAACAACGCCAACATCAACGCAACGTCGCCCCAGCCCAAGGCTGCCGCCATCCCAGACAAGGTCAACAAGTATGCCAACGCAGCACCTCCGCTTCCCCGACAGAATAGCAAGACCACCCCGCCATCTCCACCAAGGGTCATCACAGACAAGAATCGCCTCGTCGAGTTCAACCGCATCGGCTTCCTCGGAGAGGTTCGTTCTCCGTCTCACATACGCTGGTAGCGGTGCTCAACTGTAAATCAGGGAGGATTTGCCCGCGTTTATGAGGTCAAGGATGCCCGCGGTTCTCGTTACGCATGCAAGGTAGTCACGAAAACATCTCTCAAAACCAAGAAGGCTAAAACCAAGGCATGTTCAACTACGGTGGAGCTCATTGATCATGCGCTCACACGTTTGCTTGTATAGCTCTACGCAGAAATCAAGATCCACCGCTCCCTATCTCACCCGAACATCGTCCGCTTTGCCGACTGCTTCGAGGATGAGGACAACGTTTACATGACCCTCGAGCTTTGTTCTTCCGGATCCCTCATGGATATGCTCCGTCGCCGTCGCCGCTTCACCGAGCCTGAGGCCCGCTTCTTTATCGTTCAGCTCATCGGAGCATGCAACTACATGCACACCCACCAGGTTATCCATCGCGATCTCAAGCTAGGCAACCTCTTCCTCGACGCCTCCATGAACATCAAGGTCGGCGACTTCGGTCTCGCGGCTCTCATTGAAAACGAGGGCGAGCGCAAGAAAACAATTTGCGGGACGCCCAACTACATTGCACCCGAGGTTCTTTTTGACCAAGCTAATGGTCACAGCTTCGAAGTCGACACCTGGTCTATCGGCGTCATTCTGTACACGCTCATCATCGGCCGCCCGCCCTTCCAGACTAAGGAGGTCAAGGACATTTACACGTAAGTTTTAACTCCGACTTGGTTGTATTCTCAATGCTTAATCGACTCACCAGCCGCATCCGTGACAATGAGTACGAGTTCCCTTCCGAAAAGTACATCTCCGGCGAAGCCAAGTCCATCATCACCCGTATCCTCACCCCCGACCCCTCTCAGCGCCCTACTCTCCTCGAAATCATCGCGTCTCCATTCATCGAGCAGGGCATCATTCCCGGCTTCATTCCCATGTCCGCTCTGGACACTGCCCCAGACTTCCGGTACATCACCCGACAGATGAGCGCGGTCAACCTCGCCCGCCTGAAGAAGTCTGTTCTTCTCGACGGCGAACCTACCTCTATCGCTCTCCCCTCGGCACAATCCCAGTCATCTGAGGCCACCTCCGTCAGCGTCGCAGAGCTCTCCGATGTGAACGCCCGCGCTCGAAGCCACACCACGAGCCTTGCTCAACAGGAGAAGGAATTCCAGAAGGCCGTCCAGCCCGGCTCACCCATCTCCGCCCTCCTCAGCTCCGCTCGCCAGCCGCTCGTCATGGCGAACACCGATGGCCGATCGGTCACCAACCCCGGCAAGGAGTCTCCGCTCTTCCGCAAGCTTCAGGCTGCCCAGAGACGCGACACCAAGTCTCCCCTGCGCAACGTGCGCAACGCTGCCGGGCTCGGTGATATCGAGGAAGAAGAGCAAGCGCGTCAGCCCGGCGCACGCGAGAAGGACTACGAGATGCAGCGCGCCAAGGAGCTGCAGAGTCAGAAGGCGCGTATCGTCGCGCAGATGGCGCCCCATGTGCAGCAGCAGTACGACGACCTCGAGAACATGCCGCCTGGCGCGTTCCCTTCCTCTACGTCTCTGAAGCGCGACGGTAAAGGCAAGGAGCGTGAACGCGCTCCGTTCGACGCCGCTGTTGCTCGTCCCACCGCAGCCCCGAGCGCACCGCAACCTGAGTCTCAGAAGCTCAGTGGCTTCGATGCAGCAGCGCATACTCTTACGCAGGCGTTCGATGCGAAGGCGGCCGGACGTCTGTTCCGCAATCCGGCGCTGGATGCGGCGCTCCCAGATGAACGCGTGTTCATTGTGAGCTGGGTGGACTACTGCAACAAGTACGGCATGGGCTACGCGCTCACAGATGGCGCCGTTGGCGTGCACTTTAACGATAGCACGACGCTCGTTTTGTCTGCTGATAAGCAGTACGTTTTTTTCTTCTTTTCTTTGTTCTAATGGTTACTGATTCACCACTTGTACAGACACTTTGACTACGTCTCCTCACGGCGGCACGGCTCCTTGTACGTGCGCAAGAACTTCACGGTCTCCGAGTATCCAGAGGACCTGAAGAACAAGGTCTATCTTCTCAAGCACTTCGAGCGGTACATCATGGACCGGTTGTACGGCGAGTACAACTACACGTTCGAGGACACGGAGCGCACGCGCGGGATGGACTTCGTGCAGAAGTACCTGCGGATGAAGCACGTGATCGTGTTCAAGCTCTCGCACGACGTGCTCCAGTTCAACTTCTACGACCACTCGAAGCTCATCCTCTCGTCTGCGGGGCACTGCATCACACACATCGACAAGAACTACCAGATGACGCGGTGGACGCTGGCGCAGGTGATGGCCGCGAGTCTGGCGCCGCCGAGCGAGGACGCGGACGAGGCGAAGTTCATGCAGCGGCTCGTGGACAAGCTCAAGTACTGCAAGGAGGTGCTTGTTTCGATCCGCAATGCGAGCGCGGGGACGACGACGGGCTTGGACGAGGGCGCTGAGATGCGGTCTGCGAAGTCTGGTGCTGCGCTTCGGTGATCTTTCTTTTTTCCGCTTCGAACTCCGTCATGAAACTTGCATAGGTGTTAGGCCGCCTTTTTTATTCGATAGATACGTACATTTTTAGTACATGGGATATCCGACAGGACATCGGTTCGTCAGTCAGACAGTCATGGTTTACACACGCCGCTGGAAGCATTCATTCCTCCTCCCGTCCATACCGTACAATAATCATCATGTCCACATATCCTTTTTTTTCGTATGGTTTTTTCCTCCCCATTTCCGCGAGCGGTTTGGTTGGTCGTCTCCGTGTTTCCGTGTTTGCAACATCTGTGTTTAATAGTCCATTCCAACGATATCGATCACGATCACAATGTATTTACCTGGATTGCAAGAATGAGGTTTTAGTGGATGTCCTATTCAACTTTGGCTTCTGCGACGTTGTGCCATTCCTAACATGCACACTCTACCCCGGGGGTCTAAAGGTGTTCATCATATTGCACGTACAAACCAGTCTAGTTCTAACCATCGGAAGACGGTGGTGGGTAAGACCCACGCGGATTCATCCTGAGGAAGCAATGTTTGCACACGTTATCACAAACCATCATCAGATTAGCCTCAATACCAAATCGAGCCTGAAATGACACCCAAAAGCTCGTCACCTTGCCCCTCGTGTGCGCCACTACTATCTCTACCAAATCCGACTTCGAGACCTAGTGGAAGATAAGGATCAAAGTGTTCTTGGCCAGAGTTTACTTCTGTCTCTTCATCACCATACTCCAGTCTCGCGGAATCGTAGAGATCGCCAACCGTCTTCGAAGGGCACTGTTCAGGCCGTGACACGGAAGCAACCGGGATGACGGCGGCAGACTTGTCAGTGCTCCTTGCTCCTTCTTTCATTGTCATGGTTTGTTCGGTTGCCTTCGATTGGGCAACGCTCTCGATTGTACTCCGCGGCTGGTACTCCTTCCACCCATCTCCACGAGAAAGATCCAGTGCCCAACATTCGCCTCGGCCACGCATGCCTGCAGGCTTTGGGACTGTGTAGAACATCATGTTCGTGCTGAGTATGGTGCGAATTGATGTCTACTCAGGATCATAGTCAGGGGCTGAACGAGCATTAATACGGAGGAAGGTAAGTCGCTCTCACCATTTTCAGGCGCTGGTTGCGACGGTCGCCCCACCTCTCGAAGTATCTCGTCATTTTATCACAAAGGTCTTCGACGCTGAGGCGACCTTTTTTGCTGCTTTTGATAGCAAGCCCAAGGAGAAGCACCAGTGGAACACGGTTCGTGATGACCCCCTTGGCCTGGAGGTAGTCCACATGGTCGAGGACGATATTGTAGTAAGCGGGGATGCCGAGCTTGTTGCAGAAGTAGACGTCCAGAGGAGAGGCCGGGAGGTACGTGTATTGCGGCGCTGGCATACAATATGAACCATACACTGTGGCAGCGTAGTACCACTGGGCGTCCGCCACACTTCCAGTTGAACAGGGCGATGCGAACTTTAAGGAAGGGTATGAACCAGTGTCTTCAGCCTTGACCTTTGGCACAGGCGATAGGGATTTGCTTGGGGTGGCTTTGATACGGCGGTCGGGAGACATGGTTGCAACGCAAACTAAGGGGACGGGACGGGACTGAAGGTTGACGCGGACGAGTCAGAGAGGGCGGTTGATGCACGGGGCGGGTTGAGGATGCTGGCCCGAGACGATGCTGTATATATGGTTGGTTTGCAGGGTCGTCTTCTTCAGCGATAATAATACAAGCGGTCGCTTTGGCCAGCACTCAGGCAACTGCTGAATATTGAATGTGAAGGGCTAGCACGATCATGCTGTACAATACATGTACGTACATGTGGAGGCCGACTTGCGGTTGACGTTCTTCTAGGGTCGCATGCTCCGAGTCCACCCATAGAGAACTGACAGCTCCAAATACATTTATTGACCGGCGCCTAGCTATGGGCCAAGACAAACCTATACATCTGTCAAATTAAAAAAGAGCGAACCTGAGCGAACCTTCCGAAACTAAGGACTAGGTCGGGATGCGGAACAGCTTGGTGCGACTTGAGCTTAACTTAGACCAATTAAAGCTATATGTTGGCGGCCCTACGCACTCGCCTCTACCTTGCTTGCTGGTGATGAAAATTCACGGGGCTCGTCCCATATCAATGGGCTGTGGATAGTCGAAGTTGGGGTGTCATGTCAAACGTGGCACTGGTCGATTTTTAGATTGACAAACATGAGTCCAGGACGCGGCCTCTCCCTTGTGGCCCCAAGGAAACCGAGCCATCAGATTGGACGGACAACGTTATGTTATTAGCGTACGTCTCATCGTCGAAAAGATATAACATTGTCAGTTGTCAGATGGAAGCAGCAAGCCCTCCCGCATCACCGCCAACACGTACAAAACTTGATCGTATCCCAGCATCCATGATCGCTCACCACACTGCTACTTCTATCTTGAATCTCCAGAGCTCTATCAGGCACCGTCGTCTCCTGCTGCTGAGACTCTGATGAAGTCGAAGAAATCGAGACATCGTCATCCGCACGTGTCTGACTACGTTGGCCTCGGGGGTTAGTTGAATCGCCAGCGGCGGCGATGAACTGTAATGCAAACGTATTACGTTAGCTACCGTTTATTTCGATGGGTACATTGGCAACGTTATACATACGGTCTTGCTTTTTGCAACGCTTACGAGACGCATCGCCCGTGGCCAACGATGGTGTTCCTTGCCCGATCCAGGGGCAGTCGGAGGGCCCAGAAAACGTGACGTGAGGCGAGCAACAAGTCCCAGCCGCGGACGGTTTGTGTCTTGCGTTGTCGCCCTTTGAGTGTTCTGAGCACGGGCGTGACTCAATTGAGGGTCTGTGCTCGCACGGAGACGAGCACGGGTGGCGTTGCTGAAAGCCGCAGGCATCTGGAGAAGGTTCAGCGTTCAAGTGCAAGAACAAGGATGAGCAGAGCTGATATACTCACATTCATGAGCGAGTCATCGTCAACGTCATCGACGGCTGCCTCTCTCTTTGAAGTTTCCTCCTTCTTATCCTGTGGTTCCATGCGATTATGTGTACATGAGAAACCGGACTAACCCCTCACAACCACGATTGAACTCACCTCTTCCATCGCTGATTGCCCGTCGCCACGCGGGAGTATCATCTTCCCTGTCGCAATGTCATACACCTTCATCGATCCATTCTCTAGCCCAATGGCGACTCTATCTCCCTGAGGCGCGAACGCAAACGTAGTAACAAGGCGTTGCTCTTCAAGCTTCCAAACCTGAGACCCGTTGGTCACGTTAAACAACTCCACCCCGGCATCAAGCTCATGATTACGCCAAATACGCAGAAAGGTCTTCCCATCGGGCGAGTATGAGGTCTGTCTTGTCCGCACAAGGGGAATAGAGAGACCTTGCACCTGGCGCGTAGCGAGATTCCAGACACCAATATGTCCCTGTTCGGAGGCGCTCAGAAGATGAAGCCCATCTGGCGAGAAAGACAGTGAATGGTTAAGGTCTGAGCGCCCAGAAGTTAGTTCAGCGGTAGCGGCCATCATTCGGACGTCGCATATGCGTATCTTGCCGTCGTTTTGGGTTGTGTACGCAAAGCTCTGACCATCTGGTGAGAATGCGACGTCGGAGATGATTCCGGTGTCCTGTATGGAGCGAATCGTGCGATTACCAAGAACGTCGTGTACGAGGTAAAGAGAGCTGGATTTCTCGAAGAGAACAGCAAGAACAGAGCCACTCGCCGAGAAGGATAGTTTACGGGTCCAGTTGTAGGTAGCCATCAGAGGAGAACCGTGTTGTTTCCCCGTAGCAGGGTCCAGAAGGATGACATTGCCCCCTCTGCGGGAGGATCCAGCGGCAAGCAGTGTGCCGTCTGGACTTAGCGCGACATAGCAGCCCCCTTGGGACAGCAACTCGTTCGACATTCGGCCTGTCTCGGCGTCCCAGACACATATGTAGTTGTCATCCCGTCCACTGCTCATGAAGTGACGGCCGTCAGGGAGCCAATGGATCGCTTCGACTCTGCCTTGTTGAGCACGGTGAAGCGCGGGGATTGGTAACTGCATTCCATGAGGCCGGTCAGCTATACCATTTCTGCTCGAGCAGATGAGAGGCACATACAGACGACAATGCGATTTTTCCCGATTTTACGTCCCAAATATTCACGTTGTTACTGGCATCCACGCACGCAATGCGTTCCTTGAGTGGGGAACAGGCCAACACTCGTATCTCGTGTTGCGATCTGTTTCTCAGGGGCCCAAGGGCGAGTTTTCCAGTCGAAGTATCCCACACACATATCGTCTTCGCATCTGAGCCATCGATCACCCAAGCAGCATCCGCCGAGAAGCACATACAGGTTGTTTCATCGTCATGACCTATAAGAGGACCGTTCAGAGGACCACGCGTAGAGGACCATATATGAATCCCTTCTGCGGATGCAACGCCAGCGAGCAAAGTGCCATCAGGTGAAGAAACATGAGGGGCGTTGAAGCGAGCGAAGGGTATGGATAGATGGACACTCGTATCTTGTTTGAGGATCAAATCAAAAGCACGGACCTCGAGGGGAGCACCAAAAGCCACGGCCTGATCGCGGTACGCGTAGAGAACCGACCGATCATCAGAAGAGAAAGCAAGCAAAGCCTCGAACCGCCGCTTTTCGGTCGCCTCGGCGACATCCTTAACCACCTTCCCTGTGCTCGTATCTTGCAACACAACGCGTCGCGACGTCATAACAGCGATAACCTTCCCATCCCACGAAAATCTGACCCCGTACGACTCAGCGCCAGCCACACGTTCACCTTCATACGCCGTCTCCGTCCGATCTACCGCCTCGTTGTTGCGGTCCTTCATAAGATCCCAGACAAAGACGCATGCCTTGTTTTCACGGGTGTGCTTGCATATTGCTGCAAAATGGCGTCCTGAAGGAGAGAACGAGATGGAGTGAACCGGGAGAGCAGGCGTCAGCAGCCAGAACAGCTTCCCGTTCTGAGAGTCCCATAGGTGTATATGGCCGTCACTGGTCCCTGTCGCGAGGAGCTGGCCATCGGGAGAGTACTCGATGCAGGTGACGTCCCTTGTATGACCAGCGAAAGGTTGAGGTTCCGTTGTGTGGCGTAACATGGAGGTGTAGGGCAATGGTAAAGAGGCGTGTTGTGGTGTGAGCGATTCAGGACGATGGCGGTGGTGCAGGCATGTACGGTGATAAAAGGCCCACGTTGGTTCGCAGTGGCAACCCCGTGCAACTTGAAAGGGGGTGTGGGTCCAACTCCATGAGATGACTCGGAGAACGCCGGAGGAAGGCGAAGCAAGCCGAAAACACAAGATTTAAGCGCCGACAGTCTGACAACCGCCATTACGCCAGGCGGAGTTGAGCGGACTCCGTCTGGTTCTCCAAGCTCGTCATTGTGCGGGTGACCTCGTGAACCAATGGAGCAGGCGTTTAGCTGAACAAGCCACCATCTGGTAATCCATGGACAAAGGATGGGCAGTCTATGCAAAGAAACTCGGCCAAACCCAGTCGTTCATGGCGTAGCTTAGGTCTGTTTCATTCCTCACCTTTGGGTAGGCGGTTTCACATTAACACCCTCCGTATAAGATGCAACTTAGTCACAATTTTGCAGCCCGAACTCTTCGAGTCAAAAGACTACGAAACGCCTCTGAAACACGACACATTTGTCGGCGTGGGGATATCACCTTTCGCGCCCCCAAGTCGTAGGTTCAGCACAGTAAAACTAGACCAGGTAATATTGCCGCGCTTTAGGGCACGGCAACGCCCGTCACCCCTCCCTTTGTGACCAGGACATGTAGGCGACAACTAGGCGACACCAAGTCGTACTTACATTGCAACCACATGATGTTGCCAACAGCGTCAAGTAATATATCATAAAACTACATGGGAATAACATGTTGCAAGGATAACCCAAGTTGGTAGAGTCGCTGTCTCAAACCCGACAAACATATCTTCAATTGGAACGCTGAGACAGCCAGACCCTTTGCGAAACGTCCCGAACTTGACTTGAACTTGACTAATATGGACCCTTTAATGGGATGGTAGCAACGTTGAAAACGCCGAGGGATGAAACACAAGAACTCAATTGTAGGGAGACAAGACGAACTTTGCAATAACATAAACAACATAGACATTCAAATCGTGTGAAGACAAAAAAGACGACTTGAATATTTGAGGAGCACGCAGGATGAAAGGAGTCGACACGTGCGACGAATGAAGGGAGTGAAGAGAGAAAGTCCCAGTGGAGGAGGTTGGGATGAGAGTATGTGCGGATACTGGAAGGGCTATAACCCATGGTGCAAAGCGCAATGTATGCTCACGATCCCTATGCGTAACGCGTAACGGACAAGAGCACTGGAGGTAGGCCAAGTTTAGGAAACGATAACGTGACACAATCGATTTTCTCAACTCCCCGCCAAAAAGTGGAAATAAGAGCACCCCTCTAACCCTGTTACCCCTAAGGGTAACGGGAATGTCAATGAGGCTGACGTCAGCGGAGACAAATGCATTCCGGACCTTTCGGAACGTCAGTGTGGGTCAGTGTGCTGCAGTGCGACGGATCTGTTCTTTCACCACAGGAACCCTGAGCCTGAGAGGCCTCGCTGCCCCAATTGATCAGAGCAAACGCGTTGACCAGAAGACGTGTACGCTCGGCACCCGCGCCCGAGCACATGAACATGTTCGGCAGCGAGCCAATTTGATCTCTGTGTTCTTGAGGCGCTATGACTCATGAGCCTTGGGGGATGGACACACATAAAAGATCAGTTAAACCATTCTCGATTCTGCCCAATTCGCAGCTACATCATAAATCACTCCAAAGTTTGCAAGCTTCTTTATGACGGCTTCACCTCAGGTGCTTGTTGTACGTACTTCTTCCGTTCCGCACAGATATGTTCAGTTGCTGACAAGGTGCAAGGTGGGTGCTGGTCCCGTAGGTCTCGTTGCTGCGCTGGCACTTTTGCGGAATGGTCTCTCTGTCCGCGTCATTGAGAAAGCAAGTACCCCGCATATTGGTCAACGTGGGTCAGGCAATTTCGTGAGCACACATTGGGCTTCCGGTGCGGATATTGGCGCTTTAACGTCATTTTCAGCCGCGCTCTCTGGAAACATATCATTTCCTCGGCGTGCCAGAGATTGACCAGGAAGGCAAGCCGATCCAGCTCGTCCACACACACAACATCGGTAGTCTATAGGTTTTGAATGAAGTTCCGATGACCCCGCACTTCGAGCCGACGCCAGCCATCCCTTTTGTGCGTGTTGGGTGAAGTATCAAGCTGCGCTTTTACGCTGATATAGTTTGTCTGGCTTTAGATGAGCCCGAAGGTCATTGGCCAGAACATCGTAGAACGGATCCTGAGCTCTCACATACAGAAACTGGACTGCGCTGTTGAGTACGGGACAGAGCTCCGGTCTTTTGAGCAAAACGAAGCGGGTGTGGTTGCTCAAATAGTGACTAAAGACGGCGACAAAGAGAAAACCACCACGATCAAATCTCAGTTCCTCGTTGGCGCTGACGGCGCCCGAGGTAAAGTCCCACTTTCTATTTTCATACATTTTCCGTCCAACGAGTTCCCCGTTTGTACAGGTATTGTTCGCAAGCAGCTTGGCTTGACCTTCCTCGGTGAGACTCGTGAAACCGTTCGAATCATCACCGGCGACATTCGTTTCAAGTGTCCTGGCTTGTCGAGAAACGTGAGTTTTCAACTGAAAACATAGCTTATATCATGAGTTGACGGATGTGCGCTTAGTATTTTGAAGTCTTCAAAGACGACGCCGCGGGAGACTTGTATGTGATTGGTTGTTCTGTGCAGATGGTGTGCTTTACTCAGCCACTTCATAGCATTGCTTTCCGCCCCACTGATGAGATAATTGGGGGAGACGGCTGGCAGCTTATCGTTTCAGGAGATAGATTTGATGTTGATACCTTGCTATCTGACAAGGAGGCGCTGTATTCCGTTATCAGAGAGACGCTAAATGCTCCCGTCGACTTCTTGGAGCTGGTTTGGATCTCCGAGTTTCGGTACGTGTGGAATTGCTGGCCACTTTCCATCAGCTCATCAACCGTTTGAAAAGACCCAACATTCGGATGGTGAACAGCTTAGGGCGCGTAAGGGTGTTCGTTGCCGGAGGCAAGTAAAAAGTCACCTGTTTCTCGGCTTAGGCTATGACTAAGAGAACGTGAACAGATGCTGCTCAGTAAGCAGTTGATTGTCCTTAACCGCTCACCTGCTAACTGTTTTCCAAGCGTACATAGCCCTACTGGCGGTCAAGGTCTCAACTCTGGAGTTCAAGACGTCGCAAGTCTTTCCATTTTTCGAAGCCTTCCTGCTGACATGCTCGTTTTTCTCACGTCTAGTTCAACCTTGCGTGGAAGATTGCCCTCGTGGCAAAAGGCATCTCCCCGCTATCCTTCCTCGAAACCTACACAGCCGAACGCCTGCCAGTCATTGCTCAAATGTTAAACATCACTACAGCGATCTTAGATAAGACCATCGGCCCGAACCGCGGGCCCGTCGAGAGCGCCATGGAGCGCGGTAGAATCTTATTCATGCTCGGCGTGAACTACCGCACGAGTCCCATCGTGCTCGACGAGTTCTCTGCCGGGATACCACCCGTACCCGCATATCAACTTGACAGAAGCGACGAGTTGGTCGCTGGCGACAGAGCACCCGATGCACCTGGTCTGGTCGAGGGAAGTGCGACGGTCAGGCTGTTCGACATCTTCAAGCCCACTCATCATACCGTGTTAGTGTTCGCCCCTGACGTCCAGGTCGCGGCCGACATCGTGAAGTCGCTCGAGGCCTACTTCGCCTTTGCTTGCTCTGTGGTTATTCTTCCCGCGTCGGCTATCTTAGGTTCTCCGATCCCATCGGCGAGGGTCGTCGTCGACAAAGACAACTACGCTCATACCCACTATCTCATCAAGGACGAGCCTCGAGTCATCATCGTGCGGCCAGATAGTGTCGTGGGCGCTATTGTGGCGGGATCATCAGGTGTTCATAAATACTTTGGCTTGATCCAGGTCTACTGAATTCAATTATGTCCAAATCATGTCGTTCGCTTACCTCTTGCTGATGTGTATGTAGTCTTGTTTATACCATCCCCACTCATTCAATGCAAAAACGAGCTAACTCAATGAGTGGGAGAAGTTAGAGAAGTTGGCGTGGCTCCCCGCGCAGGTGTTCGCCCATCTCCTAAGCATCCCTCTGATAGAGTTGCTTTACAGCGCTTGCTGGCTAATTGCTAACACCGCTCCTGAGATACCGTTGAATGACCTTTGAGATGTCGGATTTCTGAAATCAGGCTATGAAATGCGGTGTCCGGATCTAATCTCGATATGGACGTGCTCCCTGTCGTTGTCACCCTCGTCGCAGCTTTCAATAGTACGAAGCTCGACATCTGATGACTCGGTGCTACATGCTTTTATTTGCTACAATGATGTTCCGGTTTAATACATCTGCAATACATAAACGGCGGTCTCCGAATACACGTCTTCTACACGACCTCAACCCGCTGTGGCAAAATATTCGTTCCTTTCCGATCGTCATTCACACTTTCAACAGTCTTGTGTATTTGTATGCGCATCTATAAAGAATGATCAGTGGCAAGGCGGTCTAAGCTATGACCATCAGGTTACAATATTGTTAGATTCCGAAGAAGAGTCAGGTCCCGAGTTGTGCACAGTCGATAGACGAACATTGTCGGCGGTGGCGATGAGCATCCTGGAGCGGGCTAAAGTCGCTTTGCGCGAGTTGAATCTAAAGCCTTGAGTGAGCTCGAGCACAGCTACCACGTGGTGAAACATACGACGCCATCAAGGATACACTATAGACTGAGCCGAAGTTAGTGACGCGCTGACCAGTCAACGAATAGATTATACATACGTTTGACCTGGACTTCGAGGATACCCAAAAATGCGAGAGACGTAGGCATTGCAAGGAACTGAATTACGTGAGGTGATTGGAGGCTGGAAAACCAGCCATGTACTCACAGCTATGAGGACAAGTACTGCGCCAAGTCTGCCGCGCGACCAATCAGCACATCTAGGCTCCAGTGTGGTAGAGTACTTACGATGTTAGTGCACCGGTACTGATGGTATAGAGGACAAGACGATGGATGATGGTATCGGTGCTGTGATTTCGGCGGATTGTAAGGCAGGGATGTAATGAGAGCACAGACATTCTCACCGTCGCATCCCTGTGCGTTTGGTATACAAATAATACCACAGCACAAAGGCGATCAAAGCATCGACCGCTATTGAGAATAGCCAGCTAACCAGGACCGGTACCTGATTTCAAATATAAGGGGATCAAACAATTGAGGAAGTTTCAGAGTTCCTGACATATGCAGCCTTGCGAAAGTCGTCCCACGATGTCGCCCCAATTCTAGTCTACTCAGCGAAGATGTCTAAAGAGAAAAATGCCATGAACATACGCAAGGAACGAATTCGTCCAGCCTAGAACTGATTACATGAGATGACGGTTTGCAATCAGTTACCAGTAATTAAAAGACAGAGTCACGACAGACCTAGTCTTCCCAGAGCAAGAATAGACTATCGAACAGATCAGGCCCACTAAATGTGTGCAAAATCAGGTTCGTATTACGCACGAGGACGATAGGGCTCCAGAGATTGTTGCATACTTGAAGAGCGTAAGCGATATGATTTAGAAGGTAATACGAAACTCACGTCTCCAGATTCTCCATATGAAACACAAATTCACGATGAAAGCTACAGTAAACTGGACATGAGAAATTTTGAGTAGAGGAGCATTTCACAAGAGGTCAGAAACGTGCCCCGATCACGAAGGTTGCAGGCATGCTCCTACGAAATGTCAGCCTCTGCGCATGTTCTGCACACATATAGTAGGAGGTTGTAACCTACCAAACTACCTGAGTCAGCATGAATGGGTCTGCGAAGTTCTGGATAAGGTAGTGCTCCACGAAGAATATGGATAGCCCAGTTTTGACTGTCTCCAAAGCCCTACAGGAAGTTCACATCCAGACGATTTGCAGGTGTAGATGAATTTGCCTCTCACCATACAACGGCTACCTGTATGTATGTGTCAGGCGGGCCCGATTTCCAAAATTAAAGCAAATAGACTGTACCAGCACCCTGAGGCCCAAGGGATCGCTACTATAGTGTTGGGCATAGAAGTGCAACTGCATGCAGTTCATCCCATACAGCCCCATCGTGAGTAATGTGCCCATGAGAGGGCCCTGCATGTACGAATCGGCACTGATGGATGACATCTCCTGCGCGACGCTGGCGGAAGGATGATAGATGCAAGTGATCTCGTCAGACGGGCGAGCTCATCATTTTATGTATACAGGCCTATGGTTTATAATGACGCAGCTCTCACCACGGTTGATGCGGGTTGCGAGAAGTTGCACTGGGCATGCACACGCAACACATCAAAGTGATTTCAAGATAGAGCAGGGTACAGCCCTAGTTGGTAGCGGTTGGTGGGGATGAGATCTAGATCTCAAGAAGCCGAACGCACCTTGGCCGGATCTTTGACAGGCTAAAGATGGTACATGGTCCGTGAGGGTTGTGCTGGCCGCGAGCGGCGGAGCGAGACTGGTTCGAGTCTAAGTAAGGCTGGGTCAAACCATCACTACTATGGATAATGATGTTTAGCGCCCGTATGTTTCGTTTTACTAAAACTCATAGTCGTAAGCCATATGACAGTGCTATGCCTCGTACACTGCACCAAAGAGGCGGGGGGCGACTCTCGCATCGAACAGAACGAGCTTCCAAAGTCCGATCGGCAATCTCCGTCCGCATAGGACCAATTATGTCTGTTGTGAAAGACTTCATGCACATCAACTTCTTCGAAGTATATCTGAGAACCTGCATCCTCGGAAAACGCGGCATATAACCCACTTTGACCTACTCATCACGACCCCGGCAAGAATGTAGTGGCCGATTAGGGACTGAGGGTATACTCTAGTAGTTGACGCTCAAGGAGCCGTGATGAGATCTCGTGTTTCATTCTGAAGACAAACAGCGCTCAATCCGACAAGAAACATCAGAAGAAAGCTCACAGCGCTATGAGAACAGCCTTTGAGCTTGAAGCCCCGACTATCAAATGAGCAAGCGTGCTGTACTAGAGTTCTGAGCTAGGGTGATCTCACTACCTCACAAGAGTGCCAGAGTGCGGTGTCAGCAGCAAGAGTCTTTGCGCTATCGGAAGCGTCCGCCCCAAACGGATCCATCGTTCAATGACATTCAAAGTTGTGAGATTTACAGAGCGTAAGCTCCTGGAAACTATGGTCAGAGAAGGTTTCAGCGCTCGTAATAAAGTAGACGAAGAAGGCGAGAAAAACGTCCGATAGTATTGTGGTAGTAATCCGCATCCTTGGTACTCGAAACAGAAGTCAAATACGGTATCTGCCGTAACTGCATCAGCGCAGTGGCCATCAAAGAGCTCGAGGGTGCCTTACCATATCAGATTGGGTATATGCCCCTTCCTTTCCTCCTCTCCTCTGGTTTCCCAGAATCCTCAGGATCAACCACCACCTACTCAGTCTCACTCAACGCCCTCCGAATCTCCTCTTCGCTCACCCTCGGTTCGAACTTAACCTCAAACGGGTTCGGATGCACAATAGCACCATCCGAAAATGCCATCGTATCGATCTCCTTGCCCTCGATCTGCGTTATGTGGAACGCCCACAGCAACAACGCTGCATTGATGTACAGCGAGCGCGATGCAACCTCCCGCCCTGGGCAAACTCTCCTCCCGAACCCCCACGTGAAGAAACGCGGCTGTGGTTGAGCCCCGGTTTCTCCAAGCTGTGAGTCATTGCCAGAGGTAAAGGAAGGGACGGGCTTGGACGTCTTGGCGGACGGATCAGCCTCGCAGAGCTCCCCGTGCGCATCGATCCACCGCTGTGGGTCGAATATATGCGAATCGGGGTACGCGTCTGGGTCCTGCGAGATGGACCAGATGTCGCCGACGACAGTCGCGCCTGCCGGGATCCGGTATGACCCGTTACCGCTGATATCTTGTGGGATGATGATGTCGCGCGTGGCGGCATGGGCCATGCCGCCTGGTGTGACAGTACGCCAGCGCAGGCACTCGAGTACGAAGGCGGAGACTTGGGGGAGGGAATGGCGGTCGCTGAATGTTGGAGCTGCCGAAAGCGGGGATCAAACGGATGTGGGACGAGGAAATAGTATAAAGATGGTATGAAGAGAAGGGGATGGAGAAGCGGAAAATGTACGTACCTCGGTGGCGCCCGATGGTAGCGTCGAGTTCGTCTTGCACACGGACCTGGGCTTCGGTGAAGCAAGCGGCTGCCATAATCATAACGCTGATTGCTGGTGCAGTCTGTGTGGAATGAGACACGCTCATGGGCCACCGAGAATCCAGGGAAGCTCACCGTATCCGACCCGGCGCCGAACATCGACCCAGCGAGATATGCCAACTCAACGTTGCTCAGTTTGAGCGCCTGCTGGTTCTCGAGGAGATACTGCGCGAGGCATGGCCCTGCCTGTTCCGATGCCTGGAACGCATCGAGCCCCGCACACAAATCCATCAGCTTCATGCGTCCAAAAGCACAGATTGCCAGCCTTATGAACAAACTTACAATCCGCCCCTTTGCCTCATGGATCATCCCCTCGAACAATCCCCTTTCCTCCTCCCTCCAGCGCCTGAGCTCACTCGTGTACCCAGGCAAATACCTCAAAATCGGAAACGAGTCTACCAGATATGCGCCAGGAACCGTTGTCTTGCCCATGCGCGTGATGCACTGTCGGATAGCGATGACCTCGGGGTCGGTATACGACGTGGGTGTCCGCTTCCCATACGTGATGCTCATGATTACGCTCGCGGCGTAGCGTTGTGCGTGAAATTGGTGGCGAGATGGATCGGCGAGGATATCGAGAATGAAGTTATGCGCATGTTGGGTCTGAATGGACTCGTACGAGGCGGCCACCTTTGGTTGGACGAGGGCATGCAGGGCTCTATGTAAGTGAGAATATTTATCAACATTTACTTCCAATCGTGCCAACGGCGGGGTGGGATTATTGTCGAGACGTACTTGCGGAATCGGTTGACCCGCTCTCCAGCACGCATCGTGAGCAGGCGGTTGCCTCCCGAGAGAATCTCCGATGCAGCGATGAGTCTTGGTCTGTCCGCCAGGGCTGCACCCTCCTTTTCCAGTATGTCCAGGGCCGCCTACCATCCACTACATTAGCACCGCCAGTGAAAGTATTGCGATAAACGAGAACGAGGTGGATTTAGCGAGCATACCTGATATCGCCCAATGATAATGAACACGTTCTTCCCCCTCCTTAGCGAGAATACGGGCCCATACTCCTCTGTCCACTGGGCAAAGGTCTGTGACCTGTATTTTCCCGGGAATGTCTTCGTGCCGTAAAACCAGTGTGCGGGTGGACCAGGAGGGAGAGGTATTCTCTGAGAGCTCGCAATGTGTTTGTAGGAGACCACACCTACGAGGGTGAGCAGGAGAGCGTAGATGGAGGATGATGACAACATAGTATAGCGGAGCTCCAGCTGCCAAGGTTGGGTGGCCTGGTCAACTAGAGATTATAACCGTTCCAAACTGGCCAGGTTGTCGTCCTTCGCGAGGTGCGTTCCGAAGGTTGTGGTATCGGTAAGCTATTGGAGGGATAAAGAGGGGGAGTGTGACTTGTGCATGTCCGACTCGGACATTGAGGCACGGAGAGTCATAACCTGACCAACGCCCAACAGTACTTGGAGGGTATAGGAGAAGCTCGCTTGGGGGAAAAGTCGAACTTGGATGTATATGATTGGCCCATGAGGCCTCCGAGTCGGAGGGAGGAACGATCAGGATGATGTCGGTATGGATTTCAGGTGGTCTCGGTGACTCTCGGCGGACTCAAAGTGGTACACGACATTGCCTGGATATAGAAGGTTAGTCCGACTCGGAACGGTGGTTTTATACTGAATTCGCCAATGTCAGTACTTACCCTGAACAAGCCCTGCAAAGCTCTGCAAGCACTTACCACGGCGAGTACGAGTCAGATTAAAATAAGCGAAGTGTCGCAGCCGGAGACATCTTACCGTCCCCACTTGTGTAACTTGATTTTAGACTGGTTACCGAACGCTCGTGTACCACAATGCGCTCGCGGAGCGTTGTGTCGGCCCGGGGTCACGGTGCCAATGATCAAGTCCCCCTCTCTTCGAATGTTCTTCTTCAAAGCGTATGAACATACGCTGGCAGTGGATTACTGATTGACTTTACGCCACAGCCACTTATCCCACTGTGCGCTAAAATATTTTCACGCCAGTGTCCCATGTATTATAGGTACGCTGCACGAATTATTAGTCTCGTAAGTGGCAATCAAGTGGCAATCGCCGGCAAAAAAAAATCTGCTTACTCTCACCATCTCAAATGGGAAGACGTACCGCTAGTCAATCATGATCATTTGTATATAATTCCAGATGCTTACGATGTGTGACGCACAAGCTCATCTATAAGGGCTGCTGGTGCGTTGTGTATCCTCAACAGCGCAGTTCCTCGTTGACGTGCACTAGCGGGAGCTAGATATTAGTCGAACCAGGTACATTCATCAATCAACCGACCGCTAGGTTGCTACATAGCAGCAGTGGGACGAATCGCTGAATGTCCTACGGAACACGAATAAGTATATGCACCCCTAGTACGTCATTGTGAGTGAGGCTTGCGGAAAGCCCGACGGAGATTCCATATACTGAGACCCAGCTACTTACATGTACACACACACTGCCGATACTTCTCGCTCGCACCGCTTATCGGCTCCCAGGCGACATTACACCTTATGTGATGCAGGTAATACTAAGTGCCAGCGCCTGTGATGACAAATGCCTTGTATCCTCATAGTCGCCGAATCCATCGTTCATTTGAGTAGGTAACAGGCGTTCCATACACCTCAGGCGCTGACAATCTGACTTGCAAGAGCCTAAAAAGATTGATCACATCAGCTGGCGTATCAAGGCTCGTGTTAGCGCCTAGGTAGAACAAGCATCACAGAGCCGATCGTGCAGGAGAGTGAGAAATCAAGACGTGAGACTCAATGATTACCCATACTTCCAAAATCTATGGTCGCAGCTGCTAGCATTAGGGGAATAGCGGTCGGCAGATCTAGAAAAGCTGGACAGCTGCAAGCGTCGTTGACAAGTCGTTGATAGGTAGTCATGGTCAGAGAGAAAGATGCGGCTTTTATGTAATCGGTCAACGCGACGCGACGAACCGTATGCTGTCAGATAGGGGCTATACTACGACCTCCACAGTAACTTACGAAAAACTTGCGCTTGTTGTGTTTATTCCAAAAATTACAGACAACTAAGTGGTTAGATACGGAGGTAGTAGTACAAGGGCCTCTTGTTTAATCAAGGCATACTTTGACGTGAACGTACTGTACTTTTTCGACCACTCGCTCGTGGGAAACACATACCTAATCCGGTCTGTCCCACTTTTTGGCTCGCGGGTCAGGACCGACGTGGGACACATGGCTCGTCAGGGGCTAATTGTCCCGAAGTTGTGGGACATCCACTGGTTGACAATGTTCCCGACTGCGCAAATTGCTGTTTATGACCACAGCCTTTGTTCTTAGATTGTTCAAGACATGCTGCACTGGAGTGCAATCGCCCTGCCTTGGCCTTGGCTGGTTGGTGAGCCCGCATTTTTCAGGACATCTGTCCTTCAATGTTCTCAAGCTCTCACCACCCTTCACGAAGGAGTCGACCAGCAAGATTCGTTTGCACACCATGAATGTATTGACGACAACACTTGGCTCCAGCCCGAAGATGCCATGGCACAAATCCTCAATCCGGACGGGAGAAGCGGGATGGGTTTGTCTCAATTGGGTCCGGGCTTTGCTGATGACCTGGGGTCACCTCAACGCTGACTTGATAGAATTGCCGAGAAGGAAGAAACCACGCCGGGGGAAGCAATGTAAAGTTTCTACCAGAAAGTACGACGAGTTCTTGGATCACTAGATACTTTTTCACATGTCGTAGATTTTTTTATGATTTTATTTCGAATTTTCGAGCTATTTTACCGAATGTCCCACTTTTTGGCTCATAGGGTCTCGGGGAGGTGGGACAGTCCCACCCTTTTTGGCTCGCTCGCCCGGTCCGTGGGACATGGGACGAGCGAGTGGTCGAAAAAGTACAGTAGTCCTGAGTCCCTCCACAGGTCACGTCAGGGTCAGAATTGACGTAAACCCGGGTTTATCCAATGAACTGCGTCTCCGGGGCACCCTTGTGGGATCAACTAGCAACTCTCGAGCTCTACCGGTTTCCGGCTGGTTTTGGTCCAAGGTTTCCTGAGTGTTGACTTGCCAGTTCGGATTATAAGATGGCGGCAATGGCGTGGGGTGGACTTCTCTCATCGGCGAATCAAGCGGCCCCGCGTCTTCATCTCGAACGTACGCTGTGTTGCGTCGGGACACGGCGTCTTCTCCATCCGTGACTACCACAGACCATCCCCCTGTGCAGAAGAACAGAATCAGATTCTTTGAACGGATATCATGGTGTGTCACTATAGCACAAGCCACCAAAAGACGTAGGGAAAGGGAACACACCTTGGTTAAACACTCGCTTGTTCCTTTGCTTTCGTCTCCGCCACATATACACGGCGCCACCAGCAACGAGGAGAAGGCCCGCAACTCCTCCCACCGCACCCCCTACTGCAGCCCCGACTATGCGAGACGAGTGTCCACGATGGAAGTCGCCATTGTGGAAAGTGCTTGTCGTCGTCGATGTACTCGATGCGAGGGTAGAAGAGCCCTCAGAATTAATAAGCGTCGTGGGCGTGCTTAGACTCGTACTAGTCTGCGTTGGTACGCTGAAAGATGTACATACATCAATGAGCGCCCTCGTCTGTGGTGCAGGCCAACTCACGAATACCACTCTTCTCCCAAAGTCTGCGAGTTTGATCCCGAGCCCGAGCCGTGATGCCCATGGTGAAAGTCTTCCTCGTCGTCTCCAAATTTCCTAGAAAGTTCTTTGGAGCAAGGAACAGCTGAGACTCTATCAAAGAGACTCAACACAAAGGCGGAAAGAAAAAGAGTGACAGCCAGCTGTCGCATTGTGAACAAAAAAGCCTTCCTGGCACCTGTGCTCTGAGGATTAATCCTGAGGAAAGGGTGAGAATCGTTATCTAGGGAGACAACATGCAAAACGGGCTAGACATAAGATTTAGGGCTCTGACCACGCCTCATAAGGCAGTGCCTTTCAGTGCGAGGATCTTCTCTTATGAGGGCACCCTCGACATGTGGATGGGAACCGTCGCGAGGGTCGTGAGTACTGCAAGTAACGGATAAAATGAAGTACCTCGACCGGTGATCCCGAGAAGTTCAATAATGCGGAGCTAGATATGAGCGACCTCATGACAAGTCTAAAACTCTCAGGCCTGCAGACAGCGTAGCGCTGGTTTAGCGCTGGTAGCATCTCGCAGCGCAGACCAGTGATCAGAACACCACTGCTCATAATCGGTTCTTGCCTAGCCATTTCAGATCAAAGTCATTATCAGCATGATTTACGAGGAAAGTTGAAGCAATAACGAACGAACCTTTTTCATGGCCCAGTCACGGAAAGAGCGTCTGCAATCTCCTGGACGACGTAAACAAATACACTGAGATGGCATCTCAAACTTTGAAGTGTACAAGACGTCCGGGAATTCGCGAACGTTATCACCTTGACCCGGGCAACAGGTGCTTGACAATTCGACATCTGTTCGCTCGCCAAACCTTAAAGCAAGTAACGTCACGAAGACCTACGTCGCAGCAGCTTCTGGACCTAGTGGTTCCATCGTTCCACATTTCCTTGCTAACGAGCCTTCACAACATAACTTCGGAACACAACTGTTTATGCATGCCGCATGACGCAACAGCAAAACAATACCCTTGATTGTAGTGAGGGAGACACCTCGCCGATCAGAAGACGCCGTCTTCTTTCCTAGAGAGGGTCGAGCTTGCGCCAAAGGAACCCCCACCTCTCTGACGCTTTGCCACACATGTTTCGTCGTCGGGCAGGCGTGTTCTATTGCGACGCAAACCACAAATCGAGTCTATCCATGAAGCCATGGTCACTTGCCGTACTGCTCTCTTCTTCCCCTACACCCCGATGTAGAGTTGCATGGCCCATGACGGCAAACTTGAATGCTTACATGTGCCGATTATACTCTGAGTCCGCAACATAGCCATCCAGAGAAAACCATTATGCTTGGCCCACGCCATCCTTGCGCTCCTGCCTCGCTTTCTCTGCCTCGATGCTCTGCTCGCGCCACTCGCGACCTTTATAGATCACGAGCAGGGTCATGCCCTGAGAGAGGAGCATCAATCCTGCCCAGAGCGTGTACAGCCCGCCATCGCCTATCGCGTCCTATCAAGGCGATACTATAGTGATCAGTGCATCCATGAAACGAAGGGTGCAGGGAAAGACTCACCTGAAGCGGGATGGCGACCTCAGCTGCGACGAACGCGAAGACGCCGCGAAACAGGCTATTGCTCGCAACGGCGCTTGAGGAACGGCCGACATTAGCATCGACGACATAGGACAGCGTGCTACTGTATATCCATCTGCCACGCCACGCGTTAGCTCATTCCCAACAGACCAATATCCAGAGGGGGGACGGACATAACAAAGAACCCGCAAAGGAAGAGCATGACGCAGACCGCCGCAATGTGCACATGCTCCTGACACACCCATGCATACCCAATTACGGATGGCGGGAAGAATAGCATCACGATCTTAGTGCCGTCGAGGCGCATCTGTGCAGTGATAGTAATTAGCTCGGGTTGACACTGAAGTTGACGTGAGGACACACCTCGGCGTAGCTTACGCCCCCGTTCGCAGCTTTACGTCGGGCGAGCGCCCTGTCGGACCACCGACCACCGAGGATGCTACCCGCCATATTACCCAGTGGATGTCAGATAACTTGATGAGTATTTTTCATTGTGCTAAGAAGCTCTGACGTCATACCAACTCCAAAGGTGAGTAAGACCAAACCCGTTGTCATTGCGTTGTAGCCGTACGAGTCGGCGAGCGTCCGGGCGCAGGTGTACGCGATGCTGTAGCCGAAAGCGAAAAGCAATCCTGCACCGCGATATTACTAACGCATTCCCATAGGAATGGGAACTTACCTGAAGAAGTTATGATAACCAGGTTGTTCTTCCGCCTTATCACTCTCCAGTACGGAGGGAATGGATTGATGTCTGCAAGCGAGGGTTTTATCTCTTTCATCGCCTCCGCTGACACCACGACCTTCTGCGCCTCCAATTCTTTTGGCGATCCCTGCTCAGTCCCACTTGTCTTCTCGTTCGCGTGCTCATGTTCAATCGATGGTCGTGCCGTCGCAGGTGTAACATCGCCTGACCCTGACTTCCTTGCCTTCTGCTGCTCATGCTGCTGCCTCTCCCTTATCCGCCTCTTAAGCACATTCTGGTACGTTAAACTCCGCTCCTTCCTGAACGTATCCTTGAAGAGGAACGCGAACGCGGCGAAGATGACCCCGCCCCATATGCACAGGAACCAGAACACAGCGCGCCAACCAAAACCCTGCGTAAGCGCACCGCCAACAATAGGGCCAAGAGCAGGACCGAGGAGTGGCGCAGAGTAGTAGATGCCCATCATCGTCCCGCGCTGGTGCGGCTCGTATATGTCAGCGAGGGTTGCGGCACCAACGCTTATGAAAGGGCTGGACCTGGAGGCAGAAATGGGGGTAAGTTAATTGAAAGGGGCAAGGTTCTGGGAAGACTATCCGCACCCAGCTGCTTGCAGGACTCGCATGCCTATCATCATTCCTATTGTCTTGGAGATGGCGACAATGGCGGTGGTGATAATGAATATCGTGATGGACACAAGGTATACCAGCTGTTAGAACGCACCCGTAAACATATGCAGGGATTTTAATACAAGCAAGCAAGCTACTCACCTTCCGACCCTTGATTTCGCTAAGCGCGGTCCAGAATAACGGAGCACTGCCTTGTATGAGAATGAACATGGACAAACTTAAGCTGATGTCTTGAGCTGACGCATGGAGTTGCTGTTGAATCTGGGCGTTGGCAGCTATGGAACAAAAATTAGGTGAGATAGGAGAGCAAACTTCTGTACTAACGTACGATTTTGAATATTGCCTGTCAAGCCCGATATCACGGCCGCTCCTGATATTATGAATAACACCAAATTCTAGCCAACGGGATAGCCATAAGAGAAAGTGTATGAGAAAGACTAGAAAGAAAGCTCACCTTGCGGGTGTTTGACCACGTCCGAGGGTCATCCTCGACGTGTACGTGTTCTATGTCGACATTGACCTCAGGTTGGCTAGAGGGTGATGCTATTGTGACAGGCGTCGCAGTCCCTGGGCGGTGGTCTTCTGGGTTATTTGAAGTCTGAGCCAGAGCTGGTGATATGGCGTTCAGGTTCTGGGCCATCATAAGGAGGTGGAAATGGGAAAGTACAGCCGGACCGTAGACTTGAAGTACTCGGTCGTGGAGAGCTGCATGTTGACGAAGAACAATGGTGATATATATACCTGACACAAACGAGACGAACGAAAAAGTGACTGGAACGAGGAAGTCCGAGTCGGACCTGACTCAGTATTGTGCCGGTAAACCGATGGGGTTGCTGTCTTCAAAGGTGGAGTTATCTTGTGCGGATTGGCTGCTCGTGTTATCTTCTTGAACGCAATAGTCGGCCGATGTGTTTTATCCACAATGGCCGGCCAATGACTCGGACTTGTTGACCTTAGTCAGAGAAGCTTGTAGGCCCATCGAGAAAACGAGGGTCGTACATACTCGTCAAGAGCTTTGATGTAGACAGAGTCCGTCCAATAGAAATCCATCCTGTAGCTCAGCATTAGTTTTATTGAGTTCACGCAGCATGACGCTATCTTGGCTAACGCGGTACTTACCCGTGTTTCATGCGTGTTATTCCCGTCCTATCACGCGTTCTTCGAGCATATGAATCAAGTTAGATTTTGTTCATTCAGCAGCTATTAAGAAAACGACTGTCTGTCTTCATGCCTGCAGATTAGCATGAAGGAAACGCTTGGTGTTACTACGATGAAGGAAAGTTGCATCACAAAGCGCTGAAACTCGTATCCAGGATCTCATCCTTGGAAACTTGGACCGATGTGAGATTTGAGTTGAAGCCGACCTGAACGGAAAAAAGGAGTAGACAGAGGAACAATGTACACTGGGATTCGAAATCTGCAAACCCTGAGTGAGCGAAACGATACACTATCAATTTGTGTGAAGGCCTTAGCAGGATCATTGCCGTCCTGGTCCTTCAGCTTCATGGGACATTGTTGTCTGGCTGCACTGGCCGCGGCGTGGTATGCGCAGGTAGAAGAAGACTGTACCCTTGATCCGTGGTCGCTTGGTGAAAGTGCTCTTACTCTCTTCTTCTATACCTCCGCGAGGCGAGTTCGCGTGGTCCGCCTCGGCCGGCGGACGTGTCGGGAAAAGCCAAACGTGGATTGAAATCTTTTCCTATTTAGATAGGTTTGCAATCCCCGTTGAAAAGCGACGCGAACATTGAAATATGGAAATCCCATTGGACAAGGCTGACCCCCATCAAAAGGGTGTTACCGAGTCAATCCTATGGTAATCACCTTATGTAAAATTAGCTATGCCGGCGACAGAAGTTGCCCCGAGGTCGAGGTGTATGGCCAATGACGGCAAACTTGAATGCTTACATGTGCCGATTGTACCCCGATTCTGCAACATAACCATCCAGAGAAAAGTATTATGCTTGGCCCACGCCATCCTTGCGCTCCTGCTTCGCATTCTCTGCCTCGATGCTCTGCTCGCGCCACTCGCGACCTTTATAGATCACGAGCAGGGTCATGCCCTGCGAGAGGATCATCAGCCCTCCCCAGAGCGTGTACAGCCCGCCATCGCCTATCGCATCCTATCAAGACAATATTATATTGATCAGTAGGCCCGAATTGCATTCATGAAACAAAGGTTGCAGGGACAAACTCACCTGGAGAGGGATGGCAACCTCAGCTGCAACGAACGCGAACAGGCCACGAAACGTGCTGTTGCTCGCAACAGCGCTTGAGGAACGGCCGACATTAGCATCGACGAGGTAGGACAGTGTGCTACTGTATATCCATCTACCATACTACGCGTCAGCTCGTCACAACTAGAAAGGAAAGACACAATAACAGGGGGACTGACATAGAAAAGAACCCGCAGAGGAAGAGCATGACGCAGACTGCCGCAACGTGCACCCGCTCCTGACACACCCATGCATACCCAATGACGGATGGCGGGAAGAATAGCATCACAGTTTTCGTGCTATCGAGGCGCATCTGTGAAGTGATAATAACTAAATGGGCTCGGCCGACACTGTAGTTCACTCGGGGACGTACCTCGGCGTAGCTTACGCCCCCGTTCTCAACTTTGAGTCGAGCAAGTGCCCTGTCGGACCACCGGCCGCCGAAGATGCTGCCCGCCACACTGCCTGGATGCCATATAACTCAATGAAGACGTTTCATACGCGTAGAAACCTTAACGACATACCAATACCGAAGGCGAGTAAGACCAGACCTGTTGTCAATGCGTTGTAGCCGTACGAGTCGGCGAGCGTCCTGGCGCAGGTATATGTGATGCTGTAGCTGAAAGCGAATAGCAATCCTGCAACTCGATGTTACTAGCGTGCTCCTCATAGGAATGGGAGCTGACCTGAAGACGTTATGGCAACCAGGTTGTTCTTCTGCTTTATCACTCTCCAGTACGGAGGGAGCGGATTGACATCTGCAAGCGAGGGTTTTATCTCCTTCATCACCTCCGCTGACACCACGACCCTCTGTGCCTCCAAATCTTTAGGAGAGCCCTGCTCCTTTTCGTTCGCGTGCTCATTTTCAACCGATGGCCGTGCCGTCGCAGGCGTAACATCGCCCGACCTCGACTTCCTTGCCTTCTGCTGCTCATGCTGCTGCCTCTCCCTTATCCGTCTCTTAAGCACATTCTGGTACGTTAAACTCCGCTCCTTCCTGAACGTATCCTTGAAGAGGAACGCGAACGCGGCGAAGATGACCCCGCCCCATATGCACAGGAACCAGAACACAGCGCGCCAACCAAAACCCTGCGTGAGCGCACCGCCAATAATAGGGCCAAGAGCAGGACCGAGGAGTGGCGCAGAGTAGTAGATGCCCATCATCGTCCCGCGCTGGTGCGGCTCGTATATGTCAGCGAGACTAGCGGCACCAACGCTCATGACGGAGCTAGACCTGGAGGCAGAAATGGGGGTAAGTTCAGTAAAAGGGTAAGGTTTAAGGGAGACTACTCGTACCCAGCTGCTTGCAAGACTCGCATGCCTATCACCAGTCCTATCGTCCTGGAGATGGCGACAATGGCAGTGGTGACAATGAATATTGCGATGGACACGAGGTATACCAGCTGTTAGAACGCCTCCGTCAACGTGCGAAAGGGTTATGACACAGACAAGGTTACGCACCTTCCGGCCCTTGATTTCACTAAGCGTGCTCCAGAATAATGGCGCGCTGCCTTGTATGAGGATGAACATGGCCAAACTTAAGCTGATGTCTTGAGCTGACGCATGGAGTTGCTGCTGGATCTGGGCGTTGGCAGCTATGGAACCAGATTTAAGTGAGGTAGAAGAGCAAACACATATGACACCTATGCCAACGTACGATTCTGAATATTGCCTGTCAAGCCCGCTATCATGGTCGCTCCTGATATAATGAACAACACTGAATTCTAGCCAATGTAATAACATAAGAGAAAGCGTACGAAGAAGACCAGAAAAAAGGTTACCTTGCGAGTGTTTGACCACATCCGAGGATCATCCTCGACGTGCACATGTTCTATGTCGACCTTGACCTCAGGCTGGTTACAAGGTGATCTTATCGTGACAGGCGTCGCAGTCCCTGGGCTGTGGTCTTCTGGGTTATGTGAAGTCTGAGCCAGAGCTGGTGAAATGGCGTTCAGATTTTCGACCGTCATAAGGAGGCGGCGGCGGCGAAGTACAGTTGGACCGTAGACTTGAAGTCTTCGGCCGTGGAGAACTGCATGTCGATAAAGGATGACGATGATATATATATGTGACACAAAATAAACGGTGACTGGAACGAGTAAGTCCGAATCGAACCAGACTCAGTATCGCGCCGGTCGACCGGGGAGTCAGATGGTATTCAGATGGTGTTGTCGCCTTCAAGCGTGTGGTTATCTTGTGCGGATTGGCTGCCCGTGTGATCATCTTAAGTGCACCAATCGGCCGAAGCGTTATCCACAGTGACTAGCCAATGATTTCGTGTGAATATTGCCTTAGTTGGAAAAGCCCCTGTTGGCTTTGTAGGCCCCGCCGAGACAACGAGGCTCGAACGGTGGTACGTATTCGTCAAGTGCTTCGATGTGAACAATGTCCGACCAATAGAAAACCCTACTGTAGGTCGGGCAATTTTCATGAGCTCATGCAGCATGACGCTATCTTAGCTAACGTAGTACTTACCCATAATTCGTGTGTGATCCACGTCCTAATCATGCATTCTCCGAGGGTTGGAGTTTGTTCTCCGTTCAGCAGTTATGTAAGAAACCGACTGTCTGGTCTTCATGGCCGCACAAATAGCACGAAGGAAATGTTTGGCGATTACTGCGACGAAGGACAATCGCGTCGCAAAGCACTGAAACTCGTGTCAAGGATCTTATCCTCGGAGATCTGGACCAGTGGGAAATTCAAGATGAAGCCGACCTGAACGGAAGAAAAGGGAGGAGAGAGAAGGATGATGTATGCTGGGATTCGAACCGTCTATGTCCCGAGTGAGCGAAATAACACGCTGTTGATAGATACAAAGGCCTTAGCAGGATCGTTGATGTCCTGGTCCCTCCCTTTCATAGGATGTCGTCTAGCCGCAGCGCGATATTCACAGGCAGAAGGCTGTACTCGTCGCTTGGTGAACTATTCCTCTTTTCAACACCTACACCTGTACGAGGCGAGTTTGTGCGGTCCGTCTCGGACAGCAAATCTTCGGATGAAGCATTGCTATGTTCGTCCTATAACCTATCGAGGTGATCATGGGAGGGGCCTATGTCTCCAGTGGCAGCATTACGCTGAGGTGCAATAACGTCAGCTGTGAAATCTCTGCGCAGAAGGAAGTACGTACACAGTCTCACTTCGTACAATGCCCACAAGTCACATCGCACGCTGCCAGCAATCACAGCTGTCAACGTCCCTATCAATCGGAGGTTGGTTGCGCTTTTGCCGTGAGGTAAAGCGCGCTATGATCCCTGAGCGTGGACTCCTCTGTTGCCTTCTGTTTGCCACTTTAATTTCTTCGGCCGAGGGAACCTCGAGTTATTCAGAAAGCTCAGAGTGTCGAAACAATAGTGCTTCTGGGGACAGCGGAGATCCGACAACTTATTAGCCTACAACAGGCGATGAGTCTCATACAACCTACATCCATAAACGAGTCATCGTCAACGTCCGCGGGTCCAGTTGCCGCGCGGCTTCAGCGAACATTCAAAAGAGCCAACCGCGACATGGTCCACTCCTGGCGAGAATGAAGCCCGGTGGCGGCGATAGATGACTCTTTCACGAGCCAGAGATGCTTTCGGTGCTTGCATCATGCATCTCTACCGAATCTTCGTCACTGGGAGTCGTCTGATTGCGAAGGACCACGCGGCCTTTAGGAGAACTGTGCCATTATAATGCTCGAAGACGTATCCGCCGAGGCGATACTAAAGAGCTTCTTGCACGATGCGATGTCCCACAGCGTTAGGCTGGCGTGACTCTATCACGAGAAGAGATGACGAATACGAAAGGGACATGGTTGATGCCGATGATGTCTGGATGGTGATGGTTGGTGATAAACGCGTCGCGTCTTGGTCACGCCCAAGACTTCGAAGCTTCACACAGCAAAAACGAAACGCGTAACACGCAAACACAACGCAAACACGAACAGTCCTCGAGGGACCTCGAGTGAGGAGAGATTCAACTAATCTCGCCCGCCCTCATGAGATACTCAATGACAAGCTCTGCCGTTATCCGAAAGCAAGTCGAATTAGATCCCATTCACCCATATTACATCTATAGTTATAAGTAAATTCTATCATAGTTCGTCTACCTGGCGACCTCCAGAGTGCGATTCCCCAGGCGGATCTTCAGACCGTTCAGCGCCATCGGCGACTACGGCCTTTGCAGCCGCTTCGTTCGCCAGAACAGTGGTATCTGCAGTCGCTGCGCTGGAGTGAATTTTGCCCTGTTCCGCCAGACGTCTAGAGAAATTGGCAATTTCAGTGTCGTACAGGTCCCACTCAGGAATCTGACGAGCACGAGAGAGTTTGGGCTCTTTCTGTAAAGGCATTAGTTTCAAGGTTTCAAGAGTAGCTATCCGATGCTCACAGTAAGAGGGTTTTGGCAAAGATCTATTGTCTTCGCGCGATGCAGGCGATCCTTGCTACCTGTTATCCAAGTGCAATTAGCGGGGGTAAGAGAAAACGTGGAGATTACATACACCATGTTTCGCACTGGACATACATTGGTCAGTAAAGTGGATGAATACTAACGGCATCAGACGTACCCATAGCCAATCTTCGTCAAGTGAGAACTATTCGGGAATAATCAGGAACGAGCACATGTTTTCAGTAGAGCCAAGGGTACTTACAATCGGAACAGACATCTGTAAGTTATTCGGAAGATCTAAGAAAATGTTAGACAGAACTCGCTTTGTTTCATTCTAGCGACGTACCCTGATCAAGATTGGCCAGCGAATTGGGGTCCGCGGAAAGCGCATGGTAGTGTCCTCTCAGCATATCTCCAGCTGCCATCTACGACCACGATTTAGCCACAAAGGGAACAACAACAACTACATCAACGCACTGCTCGGAAACGGACAAGGTCGACAACATAAAGTGCGCTATGGTTATGTAAGACTTTGTCTTATAACGAGAGCACATGATCCTCACCTAATATGATAAGGTCGTCCGTTGAGGAAATCCGCCCAATAGCCCGTCTTCCAGAACCTGAAGCCTTCCATGTCCGTGTTGTCGTTACCCATGGGGGTGTAGCCATACGGGGCCCCATGCAGATCCAGGTCGACAAGCTCTTGCAAATCGGCGCGCACAATTTGATCCGCGTCAACGAAGATTACTTTCTTGAGGTCCATAGGGAAGAGGACGTCGAGGAAGAGGATCTTATAAGCCCAAATGATACGTTGTTTCTCCTTTTGAGCACGGAGCCACGAAGGCCACTTGTAGGTGACAAGTTCGTACTGGAACCCGTACTCTTCAGCCATGTGAGGAATGAATTCCTGAAGATTACAATGAGTCAGAATAATAAAAATACGGCCAAGCGGTATGCCGCTTACCAGGAACGAAGGCGACAAGAAGTTTTCAATAAACCAGAACTTCACAGTACTCTTAGTGTTTCTAAGAACACTAAGAATCATGATTGATGCGAAGCGCTGGAGAAAAAGTCAGCACTATTCATGAAGCCAACAACGATAGACATACCTCATACAGGTGACCGGACGCTACAGTGAAAATGTTGATCTCCGCTTGGGGCTTGCCACTGACCGCCAGATCCGTCTGCCTTGCCTTAGGCGACAGGAATTCCGATACCCTACGAAAACGTCATCAGTCCCGGTTTTTTAATCCCAGATTGGTAGACTCACTTGAACACGATGTTGTCGAGGATACCACCGGAATGCGCGTCGTAGGCTTCGGGCTGTTCCAAAACACTCACTCCATCCATGCCGGGCTTCCTCCCGAACCTCGGGTAAATCGTAGCACCTTCGAGACTCATCACCGCGAGCTCGCGGCCAACCTTCTCCACCGAGGGGCTATCCCAGCCTTGGGCGCCAACACTTTCCAACATGTATACCTCGCGCCCGCGGCCCTCGCGAATCCCAAGCTCGAAGACACCAGGCTTGGCTTTGAATTGGAAGTAGCCAAGGTTCGCGACGACGAGCGTGTCGTCAACCGGAACCGTTGTAGTGTTGGACTCGGATGTTGTTGACGAAGTAGGCGTAAGCTCGAGCTGAAGTCCGCTTGGTGGGCTGTCGGCGATAGTCTCGCGAGCATGACCTTCAATGACAATGTAATCCAGAGCAAAGAGGGCCTGGAGGCCAGTAGTGCGATCTTCGGGAGAAAGCGTGCTAAGTTGAATGTTGTCGAGGTCGTACATTGCTTCACGAGGACGAACGAGCCAGGACGGCGGAACGTCCATTGCCAACGTATAAATCGGCTCCACTGGAAGGCCTGCAAATTCGACGATGGCCGGTACCTCTTGCCTGAGAAGTTTGTTCAGTTGCATCCCGAGTATGGAAAATTAACAACCTTACCCCTGGCCGTTGTACTGCAATCGAGACTGGATATTACTGCGATAGAAACGCTTCAAAGGAATCTAGAGAATGTGATTTCAGCGTGATATAAGTGCAGGGTAGACTGAACGCATACCTCAGAATGTTGTGTCGGGTTCATGTATACTTCAAGGTATACGTCAGGGAAGAGATCAAACCAGCACTAAATCAATGTCAGTTCGCGAACATTCTTGTGCAACGGGCTCCGCGCACATCCAGTATACTCGACCACTTTTGCGCCATCTCGCTCAGGGGGTCAATTAGGAGGGTCATTTGAGTCTTCGAGTAATCCTTGGTCCCAATCCACGACTTGCTGCACCGTTCGTCAGCAACATGCGCCGCGAATTGATATGAACATAACTAACGTATATTGACCGCTTAACTTTCTATAACTTGCACTTCTGGGTCTTTGTGCAGCGTCGAACAACCCGACCTCACTAGGGTCAGGTTGCTGAATAGAGGCGACGATTGATGATATCATAGAAGCGAGGTGGGAGTAGGTAGCACTGCATGCAAATATTGTGTCAGAATCCTATCGTAGCAAACCAAGGAATTGACGTACGCATCGCGGGGCTTCTCACTGTCTTGCTCCAAGACATCGTCGAGAGCTATCTCGACGCGTTCGACGCGCTTCTTCAGTTCGTAACTCTCCAGGGTAGCGAAGTCTTCCGCGACAAATCCAGACTCCGGGGCAATGGGTCCGACAAGCTGTTGGAAAAATCATCGTCAATATTTGATTCACGGAAACGATTCCCATGAGCGGACTCACACGACCGTTGACCAAGATGGCAAGATCGCCAGGGGCAAGGCCCAACTTGCGTAGTATGAGTTTCGTCGGAGCACGATTCAGGGCAACGTCCTTCTGGAGAACATCGTCAAACTCTTCGATGCTGAACGATTTCTGGGAAGAATGTTCGAAAGTATGTGCTTCAAGGCCGAGCTTCCGGATCAGCTGCTCAGGTAATACTTGGCCCAAGACATTGCCGGCAACAAGCCGCTCGACAAGCATTCCTACTGACCCGCCTGCGACGTCGCTGTCGGTTGCGGGATTGTGCACGAACGTCACGCGCGAGCGTGAATTCAACTTCTGCACGTTCACATATGAGTTCCCAACTAATTGCAGGTCAATTCGACGACGTACTGTAAATTCCAAAGATTCCTTCAAGACCGCTCGGCCAGCGGGAGAGTCAAAGTCACCAACGACATACATCGTGATGGGATGTTTCTCCGAGCCTTCTGTAGAGTATAATCGGTATTCATGAAGATGATTGACTAGAGCTAGCGATACATACCTGGAACAACGAAAGCGTCCTTGCCTCTCGTGAAGCCAGACTCCTTGAATAATTCGGGTAGACTGAAAATCTTCGCATCTCCTTTGGCCTGGCTACCAGGCTGCTTGGCCATTCCCATCGGTGAAGCAGCAGCAGACGCTTGGTGGATGTACGGGTTACGCCTACTTGGTGTGCCCGGCAAGTCGTAGAAGAGGGTTGAAACCAGCGGAATGTCGGTATCCTTGAGTTGACCGGTGTATACAAGCTCCTGAAGGAACTGCAGGTGTAACATGGATTCGGTCTGGAACCCTTGCGAGAATGTAATCCACTAGAGTAATCGATCAATCTTGAGAAGATACGAAAACGCAACGAAAGGAAACGTACATCGTTTAACTCGATATATCGCCCGTTGACAAATCCATGCCCGCCCAGTCCATCATTCTTCGGTTGCTCGCCCTGTCCCTTCGCGGGAGGTGGCAAGACGCCGAGTCGTTTCGAATACTGGCGAGCCTTCTTGATAACGTCGAGTTGATCGTTAATAGCCTCTTCTTGAGTCTCGCCCGCTTCGGCCGGTTTGCTGAGCGGAACGACGCCCTCGGCAACCTCGTCGAACGTGTGGGCAGGTTCAAATGATGCAAAGACCGAGCGGACGGCATCCCAGGATACGATGTGGTCGTGGTTGCCAGCTTGGGCTTGAGCCAGCTGGGGGATAGTAACGGGTCAGCCAATGTCAAACATTAATATAAAGATAACGCCTACTGACCGATTTGATGAATCCAACCATGGCCTTGCTTCCATAACGCCCATGCACGTAATATACCAACCTTGCCATTACCATAGCTAATGCATATTGGTTAGAATTGCATGACAGGGAATTAGTACATAACGGACCATGGTCAGTTTCGACGGCGGGTACAAGACCCCAGCGAACTGGATATCCTCGCGCGACAATTCCTTCCACCTGGTTCGACAGGAATGCAAGGGAGCTCGGTGACGAGAGGTCGAGTACGAGTACCGTGTTGATGATATTCGCGCGGATCTGAAGCATAGGCGAGAACAAGGCGGCCGGGTGCATTCGCATCAGCTGTCGAAGGAAAATATTAGCAACATGAACGTATACACGATAGCGAATAAAACACACCCCTGTCAGCGCTGGTCGGAATGACTGGTATCGGTCCTCCGTCTCGATGTCATTCCACCATAGCACGACATCACCACCCTCGGGCCTATCGCTCGCATCGACGATCCCGTCAAGAGCATCGGCCCACTTCGGTGTGACTTCGAGCGCGAGCTTCCTGGGAGTTTCGCCTTCAGTTTCGCCCTCGGAGGCGAAGCGCTTCGCTGACCCGAACGAACTCGATTTATCTTGACCTGCAGGTTTGGAAGGCGATGACGAAATAACCTTGGTATAGGCGGGATGCATGAGCACCTCAACCGCTTGTTCTCCTGTTAAGCCGAGGTCCATGATGGACTGGACGAGCGCACGCTCTCGGCGTATGGTACGAAGGAGACTACAGAGACAGAACTGTTAGTACACCACTGAGCCTAACAATATATGCGCCACTCACCTGAAGATATTTCCATCCTGCCCGTCCTTTTGCTCAAGAGCCCGACCATTGATCCAAAGAGCGCCCACGCCTGGCGTTGCCTTCTCCCAGTTCTCGTAAACTTCGTCCACCACGCCCTCGGTCAACTCGACTTTGCGCGCAAGAGGGGTCGCGTACAGTGGGAAGGAGCGGCTTAGCACGCTCATGAGGGTCAGCTGGTCGGGAGGAGCCTGATGGTGATTGTCCCAGCAGGGATGCACGTAAAGGGAAGCATCGTGCGGTCGAGAGGAGAAACGAGAGATGAACTGGGTCGCCTTCATGCCGAGGGCTAGAAACATATTTCATTAGTTTCGAATAGACATGAAAAGATGATTCCAATACTCACCTGCAATCTCATCTTCAGTCAATGGCTCGTTCGCCTTTGCCCTCTCCTTCGCAGCCTCGTCAACATATGGTAGAGACTCGAATATGCAGGTAAGGATTTCCTCCGGCGTCCGCATAGCTTCGCCCTCCTCCGTCTTCAAGTCCTCGTCGTTCGTCGAAGACGCCGCATCGTCCGAGCGATGAGCTCGGTCGTCAATAACCAAGTAGTCCATCTTCTTGAGATCAAGCGCGACACCATAGCCGCTCAGATAGTCCGTAAGACTACCCTCGCTCTCGCCGGACCGAGCAGTCCGCGCCCACCGAAGGACGTACTCGACCTTGGGCTCCAACGACAGCAACGCCGCGTGAATCGGCGCGAAACCATTGGCCGTAGGGTCTGCATAATGTACGACCTTGAATGGGGGCTCGTCGAGCGAGGGCGGGAGTGCGTGTGCGTAGTCGAAGGGAAGCGACTTGAATGCCATGTAGTCCGGGTCGCCTGGCGCCGAGGACACCTTCGTCTTCAACTCCTCCGCATCGCAAAGCACCTCCCCATACCAGTCTACCCAAGACTCGCATCCCTTTCCTCCAGCCCTACCCGACGTCTCCTGCTGAAGTCGGTCCTCGTAGTGCTGTGCGCTGACCGCGAGCCTCGGTGCAGCCGCGTGCAGACCGAGTAACGTCCTTGCTGAGCTCAACGAGCCGCCATCAAGAAGCTTGTATTCTTGCGCGAGGTCAAAGACGCGTGTATGCGCGTCCTGGGGTGTGTACGACGATGGAAGACCAGAAAGGGGGAAGTGCGAGAGGAGGGGGAAGAGAGCAGTCGAGTTCTCAAGAGCTATGGCTTCCCTGTGCACACAAATCAACAAGGAATGCCAACGAGAATGCGCGAATACGTACAAAGCCTCGAACAGAGTGTCTGCGGCCGGGAACGCAGAACGTAACGAGACCTTTACAGGTGGGGACGCGCCATATGCGCCGTGCCCTGAGCCGAGAGCGAGGAGCACGCTCGCAGCGGCAAGGGCTCGGTTCACCATCGTCCTTTATGCTCCAACACGAGATAGAGCGAGCAGACGACAGCAAGGACAGGAACAGATATGTGAAGTTGTCGGGTAATGAGTGGTAGGCGTGAGCGTCACTGAAGCTCGAACACGTCAACGAGTTTTTCTCAATATGGCAAGTCGTTCTCGACGTCACCAACAACGACCACAGCCCTCGACTAATCAGACTTGAAGTAACTAACGACAGCCTACAAAGAAGATACCAAAATATGACATTCGCTATCACAGAAACGAGCTCAAAGACATTCAGGTAGATCAAGGTTCAGGCTGTACAGTTCTTGGTATCAAGTTGGTATCATCCCAGTTATATTGCTTTGGTCAAAACATTGTTATTACGTGAATATGTACTTGTATCGCAGTTCATAAACTGGACCGTGCATCCTACGCACATCCTCATGTTCCCCGTGAACACCAGGGACCAAAGAGCGCGAAGGTGAGAAAGACGTAAAGAAAATCTACATCAACGAGAAAGAGGCATTATGTACTAAAGAAAAAAACCATGAAAACGTAAACGGCAAACGGCGTGTGGAGGAGTCCAACCGACGCGAGCAGGCGGGACAGGGGTAGAGTGAGTTATAATATTATTATTGAGATGCAGAGCAAACGAGGGTAACCATAACCGAATCCTAAGCACATGTCGATCGCCCGGAACTAGAAAACAAGAGCCAAACGACGAGGGTATCCGATGCCAGTAGGAACATGCGAGTAATATGGACAGATGAATTGCGGGTAGTAGGTGGGGTAACGAGAGGGCTGACACCAGATGTAAACGGTCGAGTCTCAGGAATAATTTCTAGATTACAGGCTTGTTGTAGGTGTAGCAGGTGCGCGAATGCGGGAATGGGAACAGTCAGGCTCTCTATGCGGTGCGGCTCGGGTTGCGAGCCAAGGTTTGGCCAGTACGCTGGGCCTGGATCGACGAGAAGCGCTGGAGTTCCTCAGGCTTCATCGAGACTTTGCTGCCGAAGCCGACCTTGCGGGCAGCACGACGGATGAACGAGACACGGTTCGAGTACATCGACTCGTGGAGCGAGGCGACGCGGGACTGAGTGCGAGTGATAGGGACACCAGACTCGTCGGTGGCAAGCTTGGCAGCTTCCTCGTGACGCTGGCGGAGCTTCTTAATGACGGTGGCCTTCATCGCGAACTTGATCCAGTCGAGAGGGATGAACCAAATGATGTTCTAAAGAAAGAACGTAAGTATATCGTAGAAGAGAAACAAAGTTGAGTAGACATACCCAGACCCAAATAACACCGATCCAGCCACCAGAAATGGCGCGGAGCTGAGTGAAGCCCCAGTTGGCATACGCGGAGATGATCGAAGACACAAGCTGAGCAATGCAGAAGGCGACCATGAGGGCAACCGAGGGACGCTCCATGAAGAAGAAGCCATGCGAACGCGTGACGAAGATGAGAGCCTGCGAGATGATGGCGACCTGGAGGTAGACGATGGAATGCAGCTGGTAGTCGTTGGCACCGGTGGGAGTGGGCGAGCCATCGAAGGTGACGCCGAACTTGTCGTAGAAGAACGAAGTCTTCAGGATGATAGCGACAAGGGCAACACTAAAACAAAACTCAGTACACTGAATATGATTGTAGTGCATATGAACTTACGTCGACGCGGTGAGCCAGAGACCGTAGGCGACGGCATAGGCGAAGATCTCGGCGAGATCCCAAGAGTCGGGCGTCAACGAGGGCAGGACGCGGTCAACGGAGAGGGTCATGATGGTACCATCGTTAAGGAGAGCGATGATAAGGACCATGAACGGCGGGAAGTCGAACTTGAAGGCAAACGCGAGGATGGCGAAGCAGACGACGATACGGATGGTGACGGCGCAGGCATAGATCGAGTAGTTACGCATACGCTGGAAGATGACACGGGAACCGCGGATGGCGTGGACGATGGTGGAGAGACCAGGCTCAGTCAGGACAATGTCAGCAGCGCCGCGAGCGGCATCGGTGGCACCCTCGACAGCAATACCGACATTGGCACGGGAAAGAGCAGGGGCGTCGTTAGCACCGTCACCAGTCATGGCGCAAAGGTGACCGAGACCCTGGAGACGCTTGACAATCTCGAACTTGTGCTCGGGGAAGACTCCAGCGAAACCATCGGCGTCGAGAATCATGTCGTCGAGAGACATGTGCTTGCTACCGGGTGCAGGTCCGTCCTTGAGCACCTTGGCCGGGTACATGTGGTCACCGAGGCCGAGACGACGACCGGTCTCCTTGGCAATAGCGAGCTGATCGCCAGTAACCATCTTAACCTTGACACCGAGAAGGAGAGCGTCGTCGATGGTCTGCTTGGTATCTTCACGAGGAGGGTCGAAGATGGCAAGGAGACCGATAAGCTCGAAACCGTTGCCCTCACCCTCAGCGTCGTCACCATCGAGTTCCTCGTAAGCCACAGCGAGAGCGCGGAGACCACGGGTAGCGAACTCCTCGACATCAGCCTCGAGTTTGTTCTCAACCTCATCGGTTTTGTTGCGCGTGCAGAGCTCGATGATGATACCGGTCATACCCTTGGTGACACGCTTGAGCTTGCCGGAGGATTCTTCACGGTAAGTGATCTCGGTACGCTTGTCAACTGGGTTGAAGGGCTTGAAGTCGAGGAGCTTGATACCGCTACGAGCGCGACCGACGTCACCGAGGGCCTGAACAACGGAAGCGTCGATGGCATCCTGGTTCTCGGTACGAGAAGCGTATGCAGCGAGGAGGACAACGTCGTCGGCGGAGAAGGGGCCGTAAGTGCGGATGGTCGACTTGTCGATGGTCAACTTGTTGGTGGTGAGGGTACCAGTCTTGTCGGAGCAAAGGATGGTGACACCAGCCAACTCCTCAATAGCGGTGATACGAGTGACGATGGCCTTGTGCTTGGCGAGCTGCTGAGCGCCGACGGCAAGGGTGACGGACAAGACAGTGGGCATGGCAATGGGGATACCACCGATCAAGAGGACGAGGATGTTGTTGAGACCACGGCGGTAAGTGTAACGGAAACCGGCGTAGAGGACGAGGATCTCAGCAATGACGAAGATACCGATGGAGATCAGGCAGAAAGAACCGATTTGAGCGAGAATCTTTTGCAAGTGACCGGTGGTGTCATCGTCCTGGCCGACGAGAGAAGCGGCACGACCGAAGAAAGTGTTGGCACCGGTGGAGATGACGACACCCTCAGCCTCACCCTGCTTGCAAGTGGAACCACTGCGAAGTACTGTCAGCTAACGATCACTCAGCCGATGAAGACGAAATACTCACGAGAAGCACTGGTCACCCTCCTTTTTGCTCTGAGGGAGCGACTCACCCGTAAGGGCAGCCTGGTCGATGGAGACGTTGATGGCCTCAGTGAGACGGCAATCGGCGGGGACGATATCACCAATCTTGAACGAGATCATATCACCAGGGACGAGGATGGAGGACTCGATTTCGGACCAGGAGCCGCCACGCTTGACCTTTGCCTTGGGGGCAAGGGAGTCCATGAGGGCCTTGACAGCGTTACCGGCATTGCGTTCTTCGTAGAAACCGATGGCCGAGTTGATGAAAAGCAGCAGGACGATACCGATGAAGTCTTCCCAGTCGGGAGGTTGACCCTCACCGTTGGAGAGAACGATAGCGACCAACGCAGCACCTTCCATGACCCACGAGAGGGGATTCCACATGAAGCCCAAGAACTGCGCAGGTCACGTGGTCAGCTCGGAAAATCTTCGCAAGATGCAGATATCTCACCTGAAGGAAAGCGTTCTGTTCCTCCTGCTCGAGCTTGTTAGGACCAAAGAGACCGAGACGGCGCTCAGACTCCTCGTTGGAGAGACCGTTCTCGTCGCACTGGAGGAGTTTGAAGACATCCTCGATGACGATAGTTTCGAGATCGACCTTCTCCTTGTCGTAAAGGTCCTCCGCCTTCAGCTCAATCTGGAAAAAGCGGCGTTAGAATAAATGCGCCCACCGGCATTCAATGGGAAGCGGGCGCTTACAGTTGACATGTCGACATTGGCATCTGAGCAGTACGAACGACAAGATAGCGCGTTGAGTGTCGCGGTCACTGAAAATGGGAGGAGACGACTCACGAGTAGGCTTCTCCTCTTCATGCCCGAAGTCCTTGTACTCTCTCTTCCTCTTGGGTTCCTCGTTGGGGGTCTGAGCGACGGGAGAGTCCTCGCCCTGCGGGCCGGGCTCCTTCTTTTCTACGTCGGACATGGAGAGTCTAGGCGGGTGTGGGTTGGGGGTGGGAGGAGGATACCGGGGGAGGGGGCTGCCCTACAGCTGATACTCTATAACGTATGAGCCTTGAGAGCGCGGAGAGACAGACGGTGTCGAAGAGGTGGAGGGAGGTGGGAGAGTCTTTGCCCGAACGACCAACGGACTTTATATTTGGGCGACAGAAATTCAGAAGATCAAATGCGCCAAATAATGCCAAGCATACAGCCGTCTCAGCCGCGGTCAGCCCAAACCCCAATCCAGATCTCGCCCACAACCCCATGCGACCCGGGTCTCATCTCCTGATCCTACTGATCCGTCTCAGCCCGCGACCCCCGTTCTCCTCGTCGCAATCCCCAGCTCTTGCTACGCTCTATCCCCGGGCCACTCGCCCTCATGGACCCTTCTCCTGTTTCCCTTCCTTTCCTCGTCTGAACCGAAATGGCCTACCCCTCACTGACGTGCTGATACGTCCCTGGTCTTCTTCATCACGCGAACCCCGCTATCCGTCGTCGTAGCTAAGGAAGCACTGATGGATGGGATCGATATTATTATTCTGTGATGTCTTTCCGCTCGCTGCTCGTCTAGCCGACGTCAGCACCACATTAGCGAGTTGCATCATAGCATCTCCAAAAGTAATTAGTCCGCCGAGACCGACACCCGTTCCACGTTGCCCCCGTAGTTAATACATAATGTAGTAAGTGCTTGAGTGGCTTCTTGCAGTGCTTCTCGTCAAGGCCAAGAGTCGGTAGATCTGGCGGGGTGCTTCTTCGCTCCCCCGTCGCACCGCCCATTGGCGGCGCCCAGTAGTCTAAGACTCTTAGCCTAGTGGCTTAGCGCGCTGGGCGAGAACCTCAGGGTTGTGCGTGCTGCGCGGACGATGAGCCAACGGAATGTGTCTGCCACCTACAGATAGCAGTGAAGATCGCGCGTATTTACTACCTTATGTCCACGCATCGCATCACGTCCCCCAAGCGTCATGAGAATTTCGCTACGAAAGCGTCCCGTCCCCTCGATCTCATCAAGAGTCTGGCCGAAGGTGGGCTCAGTAGCGGAAGTGATAGATCATTACACAGACACCCCTTCTCCCAGGCCTCAGGGCGGCAGATATGTACAACATCGGACGTCACATCTCGATGAGGTTAATCTGCTTATCCCACATCCAGCACTGCGAGCATATGCACGCTCGACGTCGCACGAAACGTCCGACATGGGGCTACGCACGATGCACCTTCCGCCTTCCTCTGCATTTCTCAGCATACCCTTCTCCTGCCGACAATTCCGACCGGTCCGAAGTACGATTGGAGCCATATGATGTCTGCGGCGCACCTCGCGCTCAACTAAACTCTGACACCATTGACAGAGCTGACCTCGGGACACACTCACCTCCCAGTTTCAGTCGAGGACTTCCCGTCATCACGGATAAACAAGCTTCGTCACCGGAACCAGATTTGACCCAGCTGTGCATGCAGCTGTATTCTATTCATCGTCCTCGGGGCACGGTAAGTGCGCCCTTAATGCCATAGACCCCACACCCCAGTGGCATATACGCCCTCTCAGATACTTTCCCAGTGCCAACCCGGGGGACCCAATCACGAGCATCTCTCTCTCCGTTCTCATCTCGGCGCTCACAGCTTGCCTGTTTCTCGGACAAGGCCTGTGGGTGACACTGCACCCTTGACCTCGACGTAAATCGGCCGAGTGCCCATCCTAGCGTATCGCCACGGTCTGACGGTATCAGACGGTATCCCAGGGAATCCGATGGAGAGGGTCATCCTCACTCCGTAAACGCTCATTGCTGCTGATCTAAGAATAACTCAGCGAGTCCGTCCGTGTTCTACCGCTCGATCACATCGCAAGGTATAGACATCTCCCCCTTCGTACATTTACGCATCGCGCCCTAACAGCCTGACAGGTCTAAAATTGTCTCAGAGCGGAAAGGGTTTGTCTTGCGGAATGACTATTTTCGATAGCCCAATCTCAGACGTGCTATTCTTGGCCTCGTTCCGGGTCTCCTAATCACTTGGCTCGTGCAGTGATCTGCGCGGCGCGTCCATGTCTGGTGCTAGACCTTCCCATCACGAACCTCCTAACTCTTCTCATAGTTGGAGGTCAAGCTATTGCACCCGCTTCTCTCGGAGCATAGGTTCTCTATCACATTCGAGACTTTCATATGTTCATGCTGGCTCAGTTGCTTCTCTGCCTCGAGGCTGCTTGCTCGGCGATAGACTCTTCTGTCGCCACTCTCACTCATTATCTATGCTACGTTACACCCAGTCTCACTCTACCTAAAGCTCACGTTCGTGCTTATGGAAGGTCTCGTTCGATCCGTTTTGTCCCGTCGGCAATCTCTCGACAGGGCACTTGCGTAGTTGGGAGCTACTCTCTCAGAACGAGCATATCAATACTCGGTACTCAGGCTTTGGTGCTCCAGCTAATTGGCATCGCACCCACGTGCACCGCGAACTCACATATTATCTACTCGAAATACACCTCGCCGACCTTTGCGATAACTGCGCATGACGTATGAGTCCGACTTATAGCCAGGCACTCAACCCACCTCTCAACCACTATACGACACCGCTCGTTCTGGCCTGATTCCACGGCAAGCGGATGATGCACAAGGCTAACCCAGCGGAACCTAGGATCTCGCGGCCGAAATCCACCACCTCTCACACGACCATCTCAGCTTCAACCAGACGCATCATCTATCAGACACGGTCAACTAGCCAGGTACCAGCATTTGTGATCCCAGTATCCTAGTTCTGTGATCCTAGTTCTAGCTGGTCTTTCAGAAAAACGGGGGCGCTCGCGGCCCCGCAAGCATCTGCCGTAGCAACAGTTGATCCCGAGCCTTCTTCCGCCGACTTGTCTATTTGTCGCTCACCGGGCAAGGTTGCCGTCCGCTGCTCATTCGGCCGACTTCTCACCCACATGGCGTCTATACACTCGGCTTGTCTCCTCGGATCGACCGACCTCAACTTCTGCCGTCACCGACGCTTTGGGCTCCGAGCCTTCTGAGGTCTTCTGCAAGAGCTCTTCTATCAAGGTCAGCATGCGCTCACGGAGCCGCTAGCCCCTATGATATATTCATTATTGGACTAATTGCAGTCTACTTGCGACTCGCATGCATCATAGTTAGGCATCATTCGCATCTCATCGTGGTCTCGCAAAGATCCTGTTGCTGCGCAGCTGAGCCCTCGTCGCGCGAGCCCGACAGCGACCGACACGGCGACAAAGATAGCACACCTCGGCTGATGCACCCAATCAGCAACGCGGTGCAGTGCGACAAGAAGGGACCACCTCGGGCTCTCGTTGTCCCGTACCTCCCAGCACTTAAGTCTCCGACGTACTCGTAGCCTTGTCTGGTTTGTTTCCCCCGCGCCTTTGTCTAACGATATCAAGTGGTCCTGGTCCGTGATCGCCCTCTCCTACGTCCGTGCGCACATGCACCCAGGTTCGCCGTAGGGCACTCCCGGAAGCCGGGGTCTGGATAATTGGAACCGCTCGCGTCAAATTCGTGCCCAAAAGATCTTTCCACGCTCCACAAAGCCACGTTACGGCCGACCAAACCCCGTCGAGCGCGCCCTGATTGGACAGTCCGCCGAACCGGGTCCATTCTGCCAGCATCTGCCGCCGGTAGCGCCTAATCCGCCTTGTTGACCCCTTCGGCTTGGTCAGTGCTCGGAGGGTGCTTGGTCAGAGTGACTTCTAGCCGAGACGGCTTGCTTTGTGGTAAGGTCCGTTTATTGACTGCAGTAAGGACACCAGGCAGGATTAAATCGGAGGAGGTGGAACGAGGTGCTTCTTGATAACGTGAACTTACGACGGCGCCGGGCGCAAGGGGGTGTTGGTGCTCCATAGGTCACCGGTGTGCGAGCTACGCGGGGCAAACTGGGTGCTATACTTTCCCTTCTAATCAGTCTTCTCGTGTGCACGGCTAGTCACACCGGAAATGGTAGAACTGCCGCGGCCCCCCGAGCATCTGGGGGGCCCGAGCGCGTAGAATACATTGTGAAGGCAAAGGCTAATAATACATGGTAAAATATCATTACTCGTAGACATAAAAGAAACATAGCTTTGCGAGAGGCACGATGCCGGGGGACGGAGGGTGGGTGCTCGAATCTGACAGAGCGCGGGGATGAGCGACGCACTCTGACAAAAGACGACATTACGACGGGCTTACCTGGCAGAGCGCGGGGATGAGCGACTGAGGTGCTCCCCACGCTCTGCCGGTGTACAAATACTCAGACTCCTCTCACTGGGATGGACCCAGGTGAGATAGGAGTCGAGATGACGATTTTCTGACGGCGTTGGACGATCCGCCGCAGAAATCGGCTGAGGCCCAGTCCAGGTGCTGGGACTCCTATCGCTGGCGCGTCTGCGCCAGACGCCGGCGTCATCCGAGTTACGGAGCTGGCGCGAGAGCGGGCTCGCGGGCGCGCACGTCGAGTGCGCCGGCGTCAGGCATAGCACGGTTCCCGCAGGCAGGTCGCGGGTGACACGCGCTCGCGCGCGCTCGGACGGGTCCGACTGATTAGACTAGAGTAAACAATGTTTAAACCCGAGTAATCTGTTCGAGGGTCCCTTCACCCTTAGGGTTTGATTCATTGTAGATGTGGGGTCGTGTGCCTAATACAGCGGAACAGCCATGAAATCTCGAACATGAACACAGCTTTCGCCAATACTTTAGAGTAATTTAAAGAGGGACACGCAAAGCCTCACATCTGTGATGATCACTGACCTTGAGTAAGTGAAGTGCGCCGTATTGCGCCCTTGCACGCTCGCAATCTATTGCGGCGAACCGCTGCCGCCGCGGTCGCCTTCACCCGGGGCCTTGGCTCTTGGAACACGTCGAGAAGGCTGGCCAGCGTGGAGGTGAAAATTTCCGGGCTGACAGTGATCGCTATCTTTCCGATTGATCTTATCGTTCCGTTCATCCATCCGGCTAACATCCATGACCCGCCCACCATCCCGAGGGTTGCAATTCGTTATTCGCTCGGGTTTCGCGATGTCAGGGAGTTTCCTTCTGCGCAGAGGGATTTGCATCCTCCATGTACCGTCTCCGGGCTTGAGATCATGATCCTCGTGCGGATACCCAGGTTTCGAGCAGAACCTGCCAAACAGGGGCAAGGTCGGACCAGTATCCCATGGCGTCATTGTCATTTCGTCCGCGACAGCAACACTCGGCCTAGTGCCTCCTCCGAATGGCAGGTGGCGTGATTTCAACGTCGACTTCTCGATGTTGTTCAACCAAGGCTGCTTCGAAAAACCGGAAGCACTCTGCAGTGCATCTTACGCATGAAGTGAAGTGGGTCTTCGTCCTTCTTCATCAGCGCGTTGTGCAGCGGTACAATTAAGGGATGATAATCCGGGACGGATTCTCCAATTCTCTCGAGGACAGATGAGCATGGGTCGACCGGCCAACAGCTGTCAACACCTGGGTCAGCAGGATTCTGTCAATCATCCGACGCTGATCGCATGGATCGCGTGGATGACCGCCCAGCATGCGGCTGGCTGATTCACGCTGGACAGCGTTGGACTAGGCCAGTACGCACGCCCTAGGGGCTGCTAGGGGCTGCTTAGGAGAACATGCCCGTATGTCTCCGAGCTTTGGGACGAGGAAATTTGTCAAGGCGTTCAGATTTCTCTGGGATTTCATCGCGATTTGGGCGGCTGCAACCTGCTACAACCTGACGTTGACACGACAGCCGACCCAACTGTCGAAAGCTATTTTTATTTAGTCTGTTTCGTCTGAGTGTGGAATGCTCTATTAGATGGAACTTTCATGCCGACATCAAGAGTGACTGAGGTGACATACTATAGTATGAGAAAGGACGTCGATGTTGGTCTGGTTCATAATGCTCAGGCGCTCAGGTGCTCCGTCCCATGCACTGCGAGAAATTGTCGGGGCGTGGCCGCGCATCGCCGTTGTGTGTCGTCACCCAGGAATGAATAGTAGCGGTTCAGTTCGACACGAGTGTTTTTCGGGAACGGCAAAGGACCTTATGTCGCCAAATCGCATTAACCTTCGCAAAGTTTATGTAGGATGGCTAGCCCCTATATGTAACCCATCCGAGACACGGCAAGACCATCTCGATCATTGGAGACAACAAGGTCGTCGTCTTAGGAGTTGCCTCCGCCTAACAACTCAGGTATCAACGGATAATTCACGAGGGCTACTTGACTATGAAATTGTTCATGCCAGCCACATGCAGCCGTGACCCAGGAGGAATCCCGCACAATCCCGAACATATCTGCCGCGTCACACGAAGGGAGCTTACCCTGGCTTACCATTGACATCGGGTACTATGGATGCACTCGGAGGCCACGAAGGATGTGTGATAAGTCATAACAGACCCTGTGTGCTACAGCACCGACGGAAGATCAACGGCCGGATGACTGAAGATGATTATGGCGTGCAGCTCCGAGTCCTGCGTCGAGATAGCGACTTCGAGCCCCGCCGCTCAGAGAAAATGCGAAAGGAACAAACAAGGCACGGGCACGGGGGACTTTGTAATCTCTGACAGGTCCGACGTCAAAATGCGTCGGACGTTCGGCACGGCTTATTAGCAGTGTCTGTGGAGACTTGGGAAGGAATCCGACATGATCTGCCGGAACCTCGATATGTTTCTCCCACGGCCCGAAAGGCAGGCAGCGGGAAGACCTGGGTAGGCCTCCATAGGAGAGGGGCAATCCCGCGTTCATCCGACGTCCATGGCCTTGGAGTGCGGATTCTGTATACAGGCTTTGGTTTTCTCATCGCAGACAAGCCGCGCAGCGTGGAGGACGCACCGAGGGCGGTGGAAACCTTGATGCAGGCTTCGAGGGTACGAGCCGCGCATTTGAAACAAGCCTGAAGGTTGATACTACACCCAGCACGAGAGTCCAACCACGGTCCTCAGGAGATGAAACGATGGAGCATCACGGCAGACAATAGTAGCGCGCCTATAAAGTATGCCACTCGGATGTCACCCCAGACCGAACCAAAACGGTATGCTTCGCCTCATAAGAACGCACACTTCGAAACCCAGACTGTGCACCAACAGGGACCAACAGGCACGCCGTGCCGGGGAGTTGATTTGCTGATAGAAAGTCAGCCAATCACAAGTAAGCTTCATCGCGCACGCGAGCGCAGAGTCCTCCTGGGATTCGTTCGGCGGCGGGCGGCTCTGGAACGAAGAAGACAGGGCTAAACATAGAAAAGCGCGACATTAACGCGAGGTCAGCGTCTCGGAATGTTCTTTCCGGCCAGAAGACGAGGGCGTGAAAACGCGTGGGCAGCGTATCGTCCAATGCTAGACACCCAGCGCGAACGTGAGCGTCCTGCTGAGCAGGCGGCGGACCGACTGCAGCCAGGGCGAAGGGAGAGATATGGTCGAAGCCAAGGTCATCTGCAAGAGTTGCTACTGTAACAGGGTGAATCAAATTCATGAAAGTTCATTACCACGGGCGGAATAAACTACCTTCATCTGTATCGCGGGGATGCCATTCATTTCAGCCAGGGGCTCCGCGTTAAAGACAAAGGCACTAAGTTCTGGGGTATCACAGTTGCTGCATTGCTGCAATATGAGCGGTTGTTAAGATGAAACGTGTAAGAACACGTGAAGACCATGGTGATTGCCATGCCAGTACATGCCCTACCTCCTAGAAACCATAGTCATGTCTGAGCTGCGCGAAAACCTTGAGGCTACAACGCCTTATGATTGGCATGCAATGCGATACGAGGTTGGTATTTGCCTTGTCTACGACATCGGGTACCGACGAGGTTCTACCAAGGAAAATCCACAAAGTAGAATCCAAACTCCAAAGATAACAGAGACCGCGAGGTTTCGGGGGATGCGCAGTGTACGGTGGATAGCAGAGTAGATTCGTTTCCCACCCGCAGGCCCTGCGACCTGAGCGTAGGTGGGCTGGTGGCGTCCGGTGATCGGAAGGAGGACAGGCCGCCATGTTCCGTCATGGCCTCTGAGCTTTGCGGTGCTTCTCGCCCCGGGATAAATTGTAGATTTTGGACGCAACTCCAACCGCACGAAACGAGGTGGGCATGTGCACGATGGAGCAGGGTCATGGATCTCTACGGCCCACTTGGTCTAGGTTCGTTTCCTATGAGCAACCGCGTTTTTCTGATACGCCCGCCATTTCGAGAGGATGGGTAAAGGAACGGAGGGAGGGTCCCGGCGGAAGCAGATGCAGTGATCGGCATGAGTGGGTAAGTGTGGGACTAGGAGCTGAGAGACCTGTCATGGTCCTGCGCCCTCAAAATTGGCGCTGTGGTCGTCGTTTAGCTAACAAGCGGTATGTGAGGCTCCTCGCACTTCTGGAAATCTCAGGGCCCATGGACGCCGATAGCTACAGAGAGCAGAGTGCGGACCACCACGATGAGTCTATCCCCGCTGTGGGGTTAGGGAAAGATCAGGCCTCAGGAACGACAATCCCAGAGGTCTCAAATTACTCACCTCCTCCAGTGACATCACAATCCTGCCCCTCGCGATCAATTGCTGGCATGCGCTATGTATCAGCTAGTGAGCGTCTTTCATCCGCGACGACGTGGAACTCTTCTCGAAGTCGCTGTACACGTTCGAGACTAGGATAAGCTGGGAATAACGCCTCGAGGCTGGTGTTCCCCTAGATCATGCCTTGGTAAGCCGAAGCGCCATAAGGCCTTGATTCTTGGAGACGAGGGGTGAGAGATCGTCGGCGAAACCTCCGAGGACAAACCGTTACGAAGAATCCCGGGGTGCTGCTCCAGGACGAACGCACACGGTGTTGCACATGGACTCGACAGATGCCTGCGGCAGGTAAGGGACCGTCGGTACAGGAAGTGCGAGAGAGACGGGGAGTTTAGACGGAGATGTACAGTAAGTAGCAAGTGGTGGACGTCACAATTGCTGGCCGCCAGCGCGCCTCGATAGTGGATGGCCCCTGTCTTCTGATTGACGCTACTGCACACCTTTCAGGCCATCGGCCAACAGCATCGTAGATTTTTCTCTGGTCAAAACTCTACCACCCTGTCCAGAAGGCTGTATGCAACCCTTACACACTAGTTGTACGGTAATGCTGTCCCAGATCGAGGCCTGAGACAATATGATCTAGTCTTGGTTCTAGTCGTGTCCAACTTCCGCCCTCTTCCGCCTCCTTCATGACCATAAGTGTACTACCGCACATACGCACGCCCTTCCAGTGAGATTGACATGCCATTCATAACATCTCGTGTTTATCCTTGCTGTACTACCACTCTTGTCTTCGCAGTTCCCTGGCTCGATAGGATGTTGAGTATAGCACATGCCAGTACCCGTGAGACCGTTCGAAGCCACAGGCAAGCAGATCTTTACGACATCGACATCGCTGGGCGCGTATCGATATCTGCAGGCCTTCAGCAAACACCCACTCAGCCAACAAGCTTCATTCCTACATAACGTGTAAATCTTCACCATGAAAGACTCCCCGGTAAATGAAGATAAGGTGTTCGACAAGGCGAGGCATAGGTGCAATAATCCAGCATGCTACGCCAATGGAGCGGAGGTTAAGCTGTTCCTCTGCACGGGGTGCAGAATGGCAAAGTACGGCTTGCGTGAGCGATAGACGACTTCAACGACAGCTTATCGTTTCTAGGTATTGTTCGAAAACTTGTCAAAAGGAAGACTGGTCGGTTAGTGTTCTTCCGCTCTCGAGCTTAGGGGCATACGTCCTGACTGCTTGTACGCTCAGAACCACAGGAAACCGTGCAAGCAAAATGTCCAGCACGAAGCAGCCCTTCGAAATCCCTTGAACCCTCTAAACCTCCTCCCTCTTCCAGATGGTCTTACACCGTCGGAGCTGGACTATCACTTGGAGAAGTGGATCGCATTTCACCACCAACCGACCCTTATGTATGCGGTCATCAATGCCCTCGACCTCCCCAGCGACATCTCTAGAGCCAACACCCACATTCTCCGGATCCGCCTGTCTTTTCGCATGGGGCACATCAACACTCACCGCGCCGATCCACAACGCCCGCCACCTAATGATCGCAAGGAGACGCATGCTAAGGACTTCGTGGTGGTGACGGCGGAGGCGATCACCATGGAAGAGGCGCGCAAGCTTAGGGCTCCCTGGCCCGAGAGCATTGCAGACCTTCAGAGCATGCAGATCGAGAGCGAGCGCAATAATCGCGGGTCCATTGCGGTCGCCGCGATCGAAGCATTCCCGCTCGGGATGCAGTGCGTTCCCTGCGGAAGTCTCAGGGCCTCAAGCCTCAAGACATGGATGACCGACGCCAACTGGAAGGCGACGCTCATTGATCAGGTACAGAAAGGTGAAAAGCTTCATTGAGGGGTAGAGGCCTCGAGGGGATTGGGCGCACGTATTTAGTACATTGACGCATGTAATGTTGTATTGGCCTTTGTAATGTTGAAGTCAAGTACTCACGATTCCGCAACGGAAGAGGTTGCATACTCAGATAAAGGACAGCCTACTTAAGGGTGAACAGGAAGTAGTCTAAGTAAGCGGCGCGCAACCCTGCCTTCCACAGTATCACCAGACAAGCTAGTCTCCTGTGGGTAGACCTTTATAGATAGCGGAAGATAGTCGTTCACAGACAAGCAGGCTGAATCATCTCTCCGCAGAGAAAGAAAAAAGAAAGAAGGAATAGAATAAATGTGGGGGTTAGCGTAAACATACATAGATATTGGATACAAAACAAAACAATCCCCAAGAAGATCGCCCCCTCGACAACGCCTACAAGATATCCTCCACCTCATCCAAATCTTCTTCATCCTCCTCTCCCTCTTCGTCCATGATCGAGTCAAAGCTTGTCTCGGCCACGCTGCTGATAGTCGCGGCACTAGCCCTCGCCATAACAGGTCTTGCCTTTGAACCGTGGCCATTCACAGCCGGACGAGATGGTTGACGGCTGTTGGCCCTACTGTTCCCGCTGACGCCTTTGGGCTTAGCCTTCGAGGGTGGCAGCTTTGGTTGTCTGGAGGGAGGAGGGGAAGCGGCTTCTTCCTCTTCTTCCTCAGAGGGAGGGACGACAGAACCTTCGTCTTGTTCTTGTTCTTCCTCATCATCGTCTTCTTCATCTTGCTCTTCATCTTCGTCTTCATCGAAGATTTTCTGTAGCGGTGGTGGCTTCTTCACAGAACTAGAATATTCAATCAGTCAATTAGGCTGATAACGGAGCGGAAGAGGATACTCACGCAGCTCGACGAGGCTGAGTCCGCATGGGCGTGATGAAATCTTGTGCAGGAGCAGGATCTTCATCATGGCCCTCGTCTCCTTCACCTTGCTCTGAGCCCGAAACGCGTCTCCGTCTGTGCAAGCTCCGTTAGTAAAGGTATACCAGATAAACAAGTGAGGGTGACGTACTTCGCAGGTTGTTTACTCCTAGTCTTCCCCTTCCCTTTGCTAGCCTTGTGTGTCGACCCATATGATGCATTCGAGTCGGCATCTTCTCCTCCACTGCTGGTTGGAGTGTCCGTCATAGCACTCTCTGAGCGCCTAAAATTATCCAGAATATTAGCAACAGTGTTTGGCCAAGGCAAAGACAAAAGCAAGCGCACCGTTTCCGCGAAGCCTTAGTTTTCGAAGGAGGATCGTCCTCATCATCATCCTCGGGGATAATATCGTCCAAGAATTCAAACAGATCCTTGAGGGTCTCAAACTGTCGGTACTCTTCCTCGGAGAAACCTTCGAGTAGCTCGGCATATCGTTTCGTGACGGCTGCGTCGAATTTGTTGAACGCATTCCTGGATGTCGTGTCCCGCAATGGACGCCTCTAATTATCGCAATGGTCATGAGTAATCGTCGCTGAAGGCTAGAACGGATTTCCTTACGGATTGAAGATTGTGCAGGAGAAGCTTGAGTGTCCGGACTTTGTCGGCGTCCACTTCGTCAGGGAGATAAAGGTGGCCAAGAATTTGGCAAAGGACCTTTTTGTCTTCGCCTGTTCAATGTTATGAGGATGCGTGTGCAAATGGATGGATAAAGTTTTACTTACGCTTCATCTTGTCCTTGTAAAGGGTCTTAACGATATCTGATGCTAAATCGAAATGAATCATCTCGTCCGTGTCGGCGCCTTCAATCTTGCTGCATAATTAATTAGTAGTGTTGACCAATGTCATCTCAAAGCGCTCACAATGCTTTGTCTGGATTCGTCCAATCGGTCATCATACCCGCAATTTGCAGTGGTGTAACCATTTCCTGGTCCTCATCCAAGTCGCGCGACGCCTCTGCTAGTTGTTCGAACATCGGGATGAAGATCTAAACGCACAATACGTTAGGTAACACGAAAATATCCCATGGAGGATGAGAGAAACATACCTGCTGCATTCTGCGCTGATTCGTGCAGCTGGCGTAGCAATATGCAGGCAGGAAATACGACAAACATTGGCGCAGCTCGAGATTGTCTACCGTGTCGGGGGAGACGTACGCGGCGACAAGGCTCTTGAGCACCTTCTCGTCGCCCACCATTCCCGCGAGGACAAGCTTCGCTAGACCGATGACGAGGACGGCCTGCACGCGGTCGCTCTCCTCGGCGGAAAGGATGTGCAGCAGGAAATCAATCACTTTATCGCCCTGTCATATGAAATTACTATTAAAAGTCTCATAGGACAAGAGCATTTGCCACGTACTCCAGAGTCATCGCGACCGAGGAAGTCGCGGTCATGCACCATCAGAATATCGAATACGATGTGCAGGACTTGGATCTTGAGAACCTCGGGTGCGGCTTGGATTTGGCCCAGGAAAAGTTGGAACGAGTTGAGAGCCATGCGCTGCATTTATCAGTCGTGGTTAGTTCATGCTCGTCTTTGTACATTATTTATACACTCACGCGAGCGATAAGGCAACACAACCCAAGTGCGACGAGACCCTTCTCGCGAAGAACAAGTTCCTTGCGTTTCACAGCGGGGATAATTAATTCGCCGAGGATACCTTCTAAAGTTGAGTTTTCTTCAAACGTCTGCCGAAGAAACCTTAGTGAGTTCGTTCACGAACATTTAGACGGCGACATACCCCGTTGACACGTTCCAGCATTCCGATACACAGCGAAAGACATCGTAAATCTATGGCGTCGGCGCGTGCACGTTCTTCGGGCGTCATGTTCTCGCGGGCGGGCATACGCGGTAGGCGGTTAAGGACAGCAGCGTCGTCGTCTTCCAGCCCTGGTGCAACGCTCTATAAAATCCACGGTGAATCAACAAGTTGACAAAAGTATAGTAGCAAACGTACAGCAGGCTCTTCCTCCTCCTCCTCTTGATCTGTGTCCTTGGGATCTCGAAGTTCGTGCACGACTTCGACGACAACACGGATGAGGTCACGTTCACTTGATGAGAGCGTGCGTAAGACGTCAAGGCAAACCGAGACGAGGGAGTCGGGTAGACTACTCTGGGAGATCATCTCACCTGCGGGCAATGTTGAATTAACGACTGTTTCTCAAAGTGACGAGTGGTAATCAGACTTACGAACGAGCGAAAACATCTTCCGTCTACCCATCTCATCCGTATAGTCCATGTTCACCGCCATTCGCAGCATTTCCCCGATGACGAACTCCGCGTCCATCTGCTTCTCCTCACGACGCGCCTGCGCATCTTCGTTGAGCGCGTTGCCGAGGTGATCTTCGTCTTGAGCTCCGGTAAGGTCTTTGATGAGGTCGTTGTACGTTTGTTGGATACGGAACGCGAGGAACATGACGACAGGAATCGCCGCGTCCAGATGCGCCTCGTCCTTGATCGCGATGCAATGATCGACGAATACGCGCGTGAGGAAGGTTTTTTCGGGAGTAAGGGTGAGCCAGTACGGTTCTGTTCTGAATGGTTAGTCCTCTTTCGATAATATTGATATCGAACATGGGAAGATAACACAAACCTTTGAATTCAAGCTTGTCAAAGACATCCAAACGCGTGGCAAAGATGCTGAGTAGCGCGTTCTCCGCGACTTTGTTCTCCACAAGGTCGAACATCCTCAGGAGCGCTATGAGCCGATCCCGCACCTCCTCCTTTTCTTTTTCTTTCTCTCTTGCCCTCGCCTCCTCGCTACCGGCTGGGGGCAGCTCCTCGTCCTCGGGTTCGCCTTTAGGCTCGATTGTAACGTTGTCAACCCACTTCCCGAGTAATGCCGCAGCTGCTTTACGCACGCTGGCGTTTCGGTCGCCGAGGCCATTTTGTATCACAAGTTCTCGCTGGGCAATGGATAGCGCGCGTGGGTGCGTTGGGCCCATGGGATTTGGAGCATTGTTGCTGTCCCCATCTGCAACTCGTTCTTGGCCAGCGACGGTGATGTTGGTCGCGAGAATGATGTTGTAGACTACAGTGCGTATCGTGTCTTCCGTATCGCGTGTGCGTCCAAGTACGCCAGGAAGGGTGAAAGGAGAAAGTGGTATATTCATGAGTGTGCAACGTCGAACTTCGCTGTATCCGGGTAAACCCAAGAAAGCAACAACTAGTGAATGTCGACTTACCTAGAAGGGTCTCGAGCGAGAGTGTTAAGCAAGACCTCTATTGCGGACTCCCCATCTTCGACGTCGTCCGGTGACTCGTTTCCGCAGAGTTTCGTGATCGCTTGGACAGCCCGAATGCGGACTATCGCCTCCCTGTCTCGTATCCGGTCGAGTAGAGCAGATCTGAGTGTAACGTACAAGTCCTCACTGGGGTATTGCAGTTGAGGATAAACCACAAAAAACAAGGTCGCATTACGCACTCAAGCTCGCCAATATGCGAAACACACTCGTTGAGAATGTCGACGCAACGAAACCGGGCAATCTTGTCTTTGGCCGTCAGCCCCTTGAGCAAGTATCTGAGCAACTTGTTGAAGAACCGGCCAGCAGTCGAATCATCTTCATCTTCATCGTCCTCCTTCTTGATTTCCGCAGCTAAGGCTCGAAATTCAGCTAGAAATATCCAAGGGGCCGAGTATACCCTTACCCTTGTCATTGATGAACTTGATATACATCCCGATGAACTTGACAATTTTGTCGGCCTGTGACGTTCCCTTCTTGACCACCACCACTCGCAAGACCATGTCCTGAAACACGTCTTCGAACATCTTCTCTCCCGTCAGCTTCATGCTCGCGCCATCGTCGACTTTCTCGGTAATTGTTGCGGCCTGAGCATGGAGTTTGTGGAGAGCAACGAGGTTCTTCTGGTGGTTGGCAGCGGTATTCTGAGCCTGGTCAAATATGCGCGGTATCAATGTCGATAGTTGTTCTCTGTCCACAGTAGTGCGGGCAGGCATTGTGTGGGCGGGACGGCGTCGCGGTGTCGCGCGGGGATTGCGCGTGAAGGGAAGTGGGCACTGGGGACAGGACAACGCCAAACGCGTCTCCCAACCCCTGGCATCACGTGCTAATCGCGTCTAGCGCGCCATGATCTCCTCGGACGACAGCCACGAGTGCCTTTGTGGAAACTTTCACCCTTGAATTGCACCCCACAGTCCCATTACGACCTTATGGCTTACATGAAATTGAACGCAAGTGGAAGAAGATGTTTCATGAAGCAACGTTAAGCAGCCTTCAGTCAACACTTCTGTCCCTACGAGAAACCACACCATAATCGTGCCACCCAGGGCATATCATAGAAAGTTCGCCAATACTTAACCCTTTAAAAATCGATGCACTGTAAAACTTGCAGCAACTCATACCTCCGGACTACTCAGGGGCCTTCTAGAGTGTCTAGCTTCACAATCTCGGTCGTTTACTGACGCATCGACGCGCCTTATTCGGTTCTGTTCATTTCTCTCGTTTTGGTCATATGGGTCCTTGTTTTCTAAGCGAAAATAAACAACAGACGCAAGCACTCTTTCTCTTCCCCCGCTTTCGCACTTGTTGTATCACCTCCGGCGCTGGTACAGTTTCGAGCATGCTAACAGGCGAACAGCCCTCCAATTTTAACTATGCATGCCATCCACATAGCGCGTATAGTCAAGGCTCTGCACTTCCTGCGATGAAGCGGCTTCCTGGCACACTACCGGGCTTTTCCTTGAGTGTCTGCAATTCATGGACATATAACGTGGAACAAGTGCGAGCTCGAAAGGTAAGTGTATTGTTTACTCTCCGAGGTGGCAGCCTTTGACAGGGAGCAATCAGCGTAATGAAACGGCAACCCTGGCTCAGGGGCCGAGCCAACTTGAATGTAACTCATCATACGGTTACACCCAGCGAGTGAACGAACTGGACAACTCGGCCGGCCAGCGAGCCCCCTTGCAAGTGAAAGTCGAGGGTGATCGTCTCTGCTTGTTTCCAGTACGTGGGTGCAAGCTGTTGATCGAGTCAGCTTCTATAACCTCAGCACAGCAAACTTTGACTGAGAACGTTATAAATCGTCCCGAAGACAAAGCGGGCACCCTCACCCATGTAACGCGCAACGGACTTCCGATACCCTCGGAATTGAACCCGAACACACAGTATATTGTTCCTTCCAAAAGGGATCTCCCCGACTACGAGCCCACGGACACCGACAACCTGATCTGTCTCATGCTAAACATCAGCCCACGGTATAAAGTCGACCTATCCATCCTACCTAGAGAGAAAGTCGGGGACATACCCTGGTGGCTCTACGTGGCCCTAGCCATCAACGGCAACCCCTCCAAAAACCTTTTCCTGGTCGAGATCGCAGACACCCTCCTCAAACACTGTCCCGCCGAAGCCGAGAAGAACACCTTCCGGGTATGCCTATTTCATCCCAAAAGGATGCGAGACTGATCAGCGATCGTCGTAGAACCTGGTTTCGCATACCCTGTGCCACTACAAAATCTTCAGGTTTCGTAGGTTTCATGGCTCGGGCGTCGGCACCTGGTCCATCGATACATCCAGCCAGGCTTGGAAGCCTTTGAGACGGTATCATCTTGATAGGGTAAAACCCTACAACGAGGTCATTTGGCCTTGGGATCGCCCCGATGAGGGCAAAAACAAACAAATAACACGCAAACGGGGAGCAGGTGCAGAAGCCATGAAGGGCGGCGGCGCCAGCAAGGCGATGTCAAATGTCCGTCGCTGCGCTTCATCAAAGGGCGCCGTATCAAAAGGCGGGGAAGGAGCTATAAGGAACAAGAGGAAAGGAGCTGCCAGCGGAAATGTGCATCACCATCCTTATCAGTCCGATGGGATTTTCGCTTCGCACGGATACTAGACTCGATTCAGTCTGTCTGATTGAACTGATGTCCACCAACACATAACCGCAATACGACCATGTTGGTGGAACCCAATTATTGATACACGTCGCTGTCTAGAGTCCTCGAGATCTAACTATATGATACATCAACGAAACGAATAGTAACATGGTCAATGTGGAGGGAGAGGATACAACAAAAGGAAGGGAATCAAATAAAGAGGGGCATGTGCGTTCAGAGTGTGTAGATTACAAATGGATCGAAGGGAGAGTATCATAGTCCAAGGAGTGATTAATGTACGAATGCATGCGCATATGCGCGTAGTGTGTTACAAGGAATGGGTCCATCATGCGATGTGTGTCTTGAATCTATAACCCGCCGTTCTAGCTTTCTCCGGGGGGATTATCGCCGCCTGCTACTGGCAACGTATCGTTCACATCAGGAATCCGAAAGTCTTGAGCACTACCAACCAGCAACGTCAGTTCCCTCATTCACCCCAACAAATAGCCTGAGAGCACGTACAACAGAATCTGCGCCTGCCCGCTCGCATTAAACTTATAATTCGCAATCACCTTCTGCGTCCTCGCCACCGCCCGGAAATGCGTAATGACCGGATAAAAGATAAACAGGAACAGCAAGCCCGTGATGAGCACGAGCAAAAACCCGACATTGAACAGCCCTCTCGCGGACACACCAAGTCGGCCTCCGGCCGCGGCGCGGTCGACGCCGTCGTCGTCGTCCGGCGCGGTCGCGCTGTCGTCGTCCAGCGCGGGATCGTACAGGTACGGCACGAACCGCCGCGGGTGCGGGAACGTGCGCGACGGCAGCGAGCCGAACGGGTATTTGGAGTCGGACGAGAGGGGCAGGGAGACGGACGCGGTGAGCGAGCCCGACTGCGACTGCGAGCGGGAGTGCGCGAGGGAGTGCGAGTACGAGAGCGAGGGGATGACGGGCGCCAGCGTGCTCGCGGTGGCGGAGTAGGAGAGCGAGCTGGACGAGGGCGTGGATGCCATCGACGAGCGCGGGTTGCGCGCGCCGAGGATGTGCGGAGCCGTGAGCGGCTTGCCGCGGTTGGCTGAGGCAAGCTTGTATAGGATCATAGGACTGCTCGCGCGGCGAGTTGGAGGGCTTTCGCCCTGCCTGCCCTCGTCTTGTTGGACTTCAACTTTTTCGTTCTTTTCGTAGCTGCGCTGGGCGGCGGCCGAGGCGAGGACTTGAGATTCTTCGGAGGCGATGCGCGTGAACATGAGTTGCGAGCGTGACGTCATGAGTCTATGGCCCCTATTTTTGGGCGGCGTCGATGACGAAGGGCCATAAGGCGGCGGCGGCGCCATCGATAATGAGGAAGAACCATTGGGGTTGAGCGGGGAGGGGATGTACTGCCGAGGCGACTGCAGACTGGGGAGGGCGACAGCCGCCGAGTCATTGTAGAGCGCGACCGGATCGAACGCTGGTGGCTGCGAGTCGGCGTCTGAGTTGGGCAGTCCGAGCGTGCTTGACGACTTTCCGTGCGTGTATGGCTTTGGCGGCGGTGGAGGCCGCTCCTTGGAAGGGACGGGAGGGCCTATGATACTGGTGGTGCGGGGCGGGAGCATGATGAACTCATGGCCGGGTGATATATCGCTGAGCGAGAGCGACGTCTCCCGCGAATCCTCCGTCGATGAACCAGGACTACCCGTATCCATCCCCGCTTCCTGTGCCCGCGGCGGCGTTGACGTCGATGCCATCATGCGGTCCGGCTGGCAAAGCACCAGCGGTAGAAAAGGTACAGACGACCGACCCCGGGTCGAAGCTTAAGTATAGCAGAGTGGAAGGGTAAACTAAAGAAAAGGCGTGGCGTGGGCACCCATGAGCTCAACGGCAAGTTATTTGAAGGAGAGATACATCTACACGATGCACCCAGCAATCGCCCTTCGAGCCCCTTTCCGAGCCGGCCGGCGTTCCAAGACCGTAAATGCCAAAGATAACGGGCCATGTGAGCTGCCAGAGGACGCCCAATGTTGCCTGCGCGTCTGTGCGGGTGCCTGGTGGCGTTGAGAGTGTTTGACGTTGTGAATCGTACCGTCGAGAACGCCGTCCTTGAGCAGAGGGCGGAGAGATGAACGAAGAGGAGGTGAGGGTGAGTCGCGTTGAATGCCATGTGTGTCTGAAGGCATGCATGAGATCCAGGGCCGGAGAACTGCCATTCCAAGAAGTCATGCTTCGATGCGCATGCCTTGCCGCTCGCAGAGGAATATATCGGGCCGGATCCAAACTGCATCATGGGACAGGCGTGAAAGGTTGTGAATACGATGAAGACCTGGGTCGCGAGGCGAAGATGGGTTGCTGACTTCAACACTCACAGTGGTTTTCTCAACGACTCCAATGATGACGTTCGAGCTAAAATCGCCGCTGGTGTCGTCAATGCTTCTTTTTCTCGTCGTGAACACAGTTTCGCATGCGCAAGAACGGACTCGTCGAACTCACCATCGCACTATGATTGGCAGCACAGTCCTTCCGAACACAGCAAGGAACTCATTGCGTCTACAACCTAGCGAAAACAATCCGCATCAGCCGGTCAATAGCACAGGTTCTATGAGACGTACCCTTCTGCGAAAGGATACGCCGCAGGAACCTTACCTCTATACAACACTTGATACAACATGTGCCTGAGGCACGAGCTTTCAGGCTTGAAGCCACAGGACTCGTGCTGTTCGAGAGCGATCGATGGGTGCTATGTTTGGTGTGCAGGTGGCGAGGACTTGACACAGGATAACAGAAAGCTCGCCGAAGGTAAACGCGAAATTGCAGTCGCTCTAAGGCCGTTGACAGGTACACATACTGAGCAGAAGCGCTCAACAACACTGAAGTTGCTCCAAAAGAGGAAGCGCCTTTCACTCTATCTCGCGACGATAGGTTTTGAAGATCATATGAGGGCTTTGAGAGCGCTAGCCCTGTCAGTGTTCTGATTTATCGTGCAAGCCTGAAGGACACGTACTACCGGGAGAAACTCATCCACGCTATCCGACCACGACGGTCAGAAAACCTACCTCAGCATCCAACATCAGTGAGCCTCCACTACGGTTTTGACATTGGTGGCCGAAAAATGTCGAAAAGGGCGAAATCGTGTGTGGTTCAATAGTTCAGATCACCATGTTACTATGGTTAGCCAATGTTGGGCTGCCTACTGAAGACGGTTGCAGGTATAGAGTAGACGAAGGATGGTTACAGGCCAGGCTGTCTTGGTGAAGCTTGAAGGAAGCTAAGTGAATTTTGAGAACCGCATCAGTCTAGCGTCATCTGGATTTGATAATGTGTCAGTGGACGCTTGGTAAGTAAGTTCTCTAGTGGCCAGGCTGTAGCTCGCCATTGGGTGGTGTCATGAAGTAGTCAGCGCACATCAAGAGGTTGTCACAAAAGAATCACGACATGAATTATCAGATAAAGCATCGTTCCCACGTCCGCACCATCATTGGTAATCTCTTCGGCCGTCTCAAGCCGTTTCTTCGGACGCGATGGTTGCGGCGTGGCCAAAAATAGATCCTAGCTTCCTATTGGCACGGTGTTGTTTGCGCCTTGACTAGCTGCAGCGCCACCTGTCTCACGACCGGTCGGGTCCTCGGCGCGTCAATGCTTGTTCCACACGAGCTTACCCCTAGGTTGTACAACACACTTTCCCTCTGTCTCTTCTGCAGCTGGCTGAGCGTATAAATATCACTGTCATGTTTCCTCATCATACAATCCTTGACGGTACGGTCTCGAACACAAGTGACTTGAATCCGTCTGGTTTTACGAATACGCGTTCTTCATCCTTATGACGACACCAACCGACAGCCCGGGGCGCAACACTCCAGAGGCTTCTACTCAAGTTACGGCGGCACCAGCCAAACCCGAGGTCAAGCTCGACATAGAGCATGTGCACGTAGAGGACGACCCTCGAACATGGTCGAACATACGGAAGGTGAGCATGTTTTTAATTCTCGCATTTCTCTAATAACACTATTGGTGAATAGACCACAATCCTAATCATTATATCGGGCGCGTCCATGATAGCAGGCTTATCAGCCAATATTCAGAACCGTAAGTTAACATAGTTCGTGAAATTCGAATAACCCCTGAACTGCTGTTCCTTCACAGCTGCCAACGACCAAATAGAATCGCAACTTCATACAACGAGTCAAGATATCAGTTTGAGCTTGTCTATGTTCATTCTCGCGCAAGGGAATTTTCCCTTACTATGGAGTGTGCTCAGTGAAATCAAGGGTCGCAAGGTACGCGTTTGCAACGTCCTAGTCCTACTCGCACTCAGTGCGCATCCAGCTCGTGTACATCGCTTCGATCACAATATTTACTGTCGCCTCCGCCATTGTCGCCATCGCGCGTTCAATAGGCCTTGTCATTGGCATGCGTGTTCTCCAAGGAGCCGGGTACGTCTGCTCGTCAAGCATTTATCCGCCTCTCCTCCTAACTTATACGCGTATTTCGGCTCTAGCTCAAGCTCCGTCATCAGCATCGGAGCAGCGACCCTCGCCGACATCTACGAGCCGCACCAGCGCGGCACCATGATGGGCATCTACCTCTCCGCGCCCCTGCTCGGACCCTCGATCGGCCCCATCGTCGGTGGCGCGCTCACGCAGGGACTCAGCTGGCGTGCCGTGTTCTGGTTCCTGTGCATATGGGGTGGCGTCATCGTCTTCGCGTTCGCCTTTCTCTTCAAGGATACATTTAGGAAGGAGCGGAGCATCACGTACCAGAATGTGCTCAAGCGGCGGATTCGGGAGAGGCAGCTGAATGAACAGAAGAAGAAGGACCAGCTGAGATCGGGAGACGTTACGCCTGCGTCTGCGGAGCGTTTGCCGGGTGGGGGAGCACAGGTGGAGAAGCAGGTGCAACAGACGGGGGACTTGGAAGCGCAGAGAACGACGTCTGTTAATGTGACCGCGGATGCGATGAAGGAGGTCAAGCCATCCTTCGCGGATATCAACCCCATCCCGCCCTACCTGAGGGTGCTGAGGCGGAAGAATAACGTAGCAATTCTGGTCCCATCAGGCAAGTATTCATGACATTATGCTTTTCGTGCTACATTATCCAACACCAACTGTCTCATTTCCAGGGCTCCTTTTCGCCTTCAGCATGAGCATCACGTACACCTGTGCACGAACACTCGCCAACTCGTACGGCTACAACGCACTGAAGACCGGTCTCGTTCTACTCGCATACGGTATCGGTAAGTACCCGTCATTGATATTACCCTTGAAGTGACTAAACAGCAACATCGAACGCCTGTGTTTTCAGGCAGTATGGCCGGCAGCATCCTTGGTGGCCGCTGGTCCGACCGAACCCTCAACCGACTTAAAGCTGCTAACGGTGGTGTGAGCTACGCTGAAGTATGTCTACTCTCATCAAACGTTCGCATGGACATTCCCATTAAATCTATCGCGTAGATGCGGCTCGAGAGCACCAAACTCGCGATGCTCTGGTTCCCGCCCTCCGTGATCGGGTACGCATGGGTGTGCCAGCAGCATGTGCACGTATCCGCCGTCTGCGTCATGCTTTTCCTCACCGGGTTCTTTTCCATGTGCGTTCTCATTAGTTGCAATCCCGATACACAATCGAGGAGCTGACTGCGTAGTGTGGGTTACCTTAGATGGATATACAGCAGCACACTTGCGTACATCGTCGACGCCAACGTCGGCCGCTCCTCGAGCGCCGTCGCGACCAACAGCTCGTTCCGCGGCATCTGCGCGTTCGTCGCGTTCGAGGTCGCCGTTCCGCTCCAGGTGCGCTCATTTCGTACTGCATGTTGAGGCGATCAGTTACTGATATTAGCCGCATAGGATGCGATCGGCGACGGCGGGATGTACACCCTCTGGGCAGGGCTGATGCTCATCGCGGAGGGGGTTGTTCTGCTTGTCCTCTACAAGGGCCGCGTGTGGAGAGAGCAGGCCGTTGAGGCGGAGCGGGTGCGGCAGGAGCGCAAGGACTTGGATGCTGGTGACAAGGCGTAATCTTTTCGAAGCGTAATTTTTAGATCTATCATTATTACATGCTTCATGCTTCACAAGCCTCGAACGAATGGCCTTTATAGAACCGTAGTACACTTTGTTCTGTAACGTTAGACGTGTCGACACACCCACTCAGTTAAATCTCATCCTAGTGTTTAACCAACTTGCTTGAACTTCCACCGTAAGATAGGGGTTGTGGCAAACGTGTGAAAACCTTGATGAAATCACATGACCGACGCGTTGCGCGACCCCTTGCTCATCCTCTATCGCGACGAACGGGTTCACGCGCACGTCGAGGTATAGCCCCTGCTCGCTAAGTGGTGCATGAGCTGGAGCTAACCCTGGATAATCAACAGAATACCAAGAACCTCGGCTTTTCTGGCGGTCTCAGCCCGCGTCGACTTAAGACGATCAACATGTCCATGTCATTTGAGCTGCAGGACGAGCTTCAAGATTTCCAGGACTTGAGCACCTACAGCATCCCCAACGAACATGACTTGAGCTCAGAGGATCCTGGGGAACTACTTCAAGGTGCGTATCTACGTCAATTTTCATGTTGGCGCTTGCGTTGAAGCCGCGCCCCACATTCAGAGGCTGTTGGTGCCGTGGCGGCGTCTTCAGACGCGATTACCGACCCACAAACGTTCGACATCTTCCGGAGCATTCTCAAGTATGCGGATGAAGTACCCGGAATGTACATGAACAAGCTCTTGGACGCTGTTACCTCTGGGTTTGCGGCCGAACTGGACTCTACCATTCGCGACGTGGAGCACGAAGAACAGGAGGTGTTCATAGCCCACAAAATGCCTCTGGAGATGTACGCATTCTTGATTAACTGGTTCGTCATTGCTGCGGACAAGGTCAAGGCGTCGGAGGACGAGCCGGCACCAGCACCAACGCGAGCTCGTAGGGGGAGAGGAGGGAAGGCGGGCACAAGTCGGGCAGTGGCAGCAAAGAAAATCGCCGTCGAGACATGGAGCTGGGCGGACCATGTAGAGGGTGTTCTCAAGCTCATGAGCCGCGCATTGGCCAAGCTCAAAACCCATCGGATATGGTTGACCACGCCGGAGAGAGAGGCCCTCGTAACGTGCGTCCTCCTTTCTGATCGAAGTTGTTTTATAGAGCTAATATTGCAATCATACTGTTAGATGCCTCACACGTCCAGCATATCACGTCGCCGAGAATGACCAGCACATGAAATCCCAAGCCATCCGGGCGAACGTCTACCGCGTCGTCTGCCTCGCTGTGAAGCACCACTCCCACCAAATGGCCGCCCAGGTCAACATCATCCAGACCCTCCAGTACCACGAACACCTCTCCGAGCCATGGGCCGAATGCCTTCAACTCCTCCATAGCGAGTATGACTACTCCCAGCTTGGGGATGAAGTCCTACGCGACATCGCCTCAAAGAACTTCAACGCCCAAGACACTCGCGGTCCACGCGCGTACTCCAAGTTCCTCACCCGCCTAGCGGAGCTCGCCCCTCGTGCGGTCCTCAAGCAAATATCACTTCTGCTCAACCATCTCGACTCGGAGTCGTACCCGATGCGCATGGCACTTGTCGAGGTCGTCGGCTCGCTCATCCGCGAGGTCGCAGTGGCCGCGGCGCAGGAAGAGAGCACAAACGCGCAGGCGATCGACCATGACAATGAGAAGCGGAGCCAGCAGATCGAGCGGCTCTTTGACCTTCTGCTCTCGCGCACGCTCGATCTGTCGTCGTACGTCCGGGCCAAGGTCCTCCAGACGATATCGAAGCTGTGCGACATCCGTCAGGTCAAGTTCCCGAAACAGCGGCTCAAGGCGACGGAAGCTGCGACGGATATGCTCGGTGACAAGGCCGCGATCGTGCGGAAGAATGCGCTCGCGCTGCTTACGAAGCTTATCACGACGCATCCATATGCGGTTATGGAGGGCGGAGAGCTGAACGGGCCGGAGTGGCAGGTAACCTACAAGAATGCGACGGCGGAGTTGCAAAGAGTCGAAGGAAAGTTGGGCAAAGCCATCGAACGCGAAGAGGAGGAAGAGGAAGCAGGTCAGACAGAGGCGGACGGCGAAGAGACGGATGGAGAAGAAGACGAGGCAAAGAGGTGAACATTTCATCATGCTGTCTATAAGGCGCTTCGGCTCACCTTAGAGCTCAGGTCCGACGACGATATGGAAGTCGACGAAGACGCTCAGGATGGCAATACCGAGGCAGACGGCTCGGATGAGGAAGCCAGAGACCCGGACGATCCGGACGCAACTCCTAGGAAGAAACACAAGAAGTCCAAGAAGCTCAAGAAGAAGCCTCGCAAGTCCGAGCTCAATATGAACGCGGTAGTGTCGGAGAACCTCGCAGTCGCAGCGCTGGAGTCGAATGAATACATGTTCATGAAACGGCGCAAAGAGTACTGCACAGATGCGCTCGACTTCATACATAGGCTCGAGGGCTCTGTGGAGGAAATCGAGAATTTACTTGGGAGTTTAAGCAAGGCAGAGGTGTTGGAGGCGATGGAGTTTTTCCGGGTTGCATATGCGTATCGCTTGGAAGGTGCTGAGGTACGTTGTTAATGCGTTATTCTGACACCCGATTATTGAAATTCCTATCCAGATTGGTATCAAGCGTATGGTTCATCTGATCTGGAGCAAGGACAACAGCTCGACGTCGGAGGATGACAAAGAGCTCAAGGGCATCAGAGCACGCCTGCTAGAGTGTTACAAGAGCATCTACTTCGAACCTCCTGGGGACCTTGGCCACAAGCAGCAGATCAACTGGATCGCAAAGAACATGATTGAGTGCGCTGAAAACTACTTCGCTCATATTGTCCGTGCTCATCATGTTCTCTGTTAGGTTAACGTACGATGCAACCCTTGCTGAGCTGACCAGCTTGGAGGAGATGCTGAAAGCATTCATGGAGGATAACCAAATTTCGTATGAGGTCATTTCGAAACTTTGGCAAGTCTACGGTGCGTAACTAGCTCTTCAAACGCACAAAATTGTCAACCTAATTATTTTATTAGGCTCCTCGAGGCAGCTTCCTCGATCTCAACGGCGAGGTGCCATAATCATTCTCGGGATGCTCGCTGTCGCGAAGCCAAATGTCGTTAGCGAGAGGTTATCAACCTTACTGCAAGTCGGCCTAGGTCCAGTGGGCAGGGTGCGTATCTGGCGGTTGCGTGAATTGCTCGAGCGCTGACAGTACTTCGTATATCATAGTCTGACCTCATGCTTGCCCGATACACCTGCGTTGCACTGCAGCGGCTCACTGGTAGCGCAAAGAAGGTCAAAGGTGCGCATTTCTTCGCTAGCCTTGATTTCAAGCGGAAACTGAGTTTTTCCTTGTTTTAACTTCAGGTTCACTTCATGACAAAAATATTCGTCTCGAGATGAACCACTCGATTTTCAAAAAGTTGCAGAAAACGATCGAGTACCCCTGCCGCTCAAAGGACTGGTTCGGCATGGCTGAGCAGGCGATCAACACCATCTACGCTCTTGGCATGCATCCGGACGAGTTGTGCAGTGCGATCATCAAGAACCTTACTCGGCGGGCATTTACCAAGCGTCCTCCAAAGCCAGAGCGGAGCAGCTCCGAGGAAGAGGCGGACGAGATAGCTGCGGTGCTCGACGAAGATAAGGCTCCTCAGGAGGAGAAGGGCCAGGGCCACGACGAGGATGAAGACGAGGACAGGATGGATGAAGATGAGCCGCCTGCGTTTGCGGCGCCTGCGCAGTCGGAAGAGCCAGCGTCGCAGTGGCCCGGATCGAGTTCACCCAGCCGTTCCCAGCCTCCAAGCGACGACATGGGCGACGTATTCCAGCTTAGCCAACTGCTCTTCGTCGTTGGCCATGTCGCCATCAAGCACATCGTTTACCTTGAGCTCGTCGAACGGGAATGGAAGCGGCAGAAGGACGAACGGGAAGCTGGTACGTTTTAATGATTCTTCGCGAAAATCTAAATTTGACAAATAGGATTTTATAGCTGAGAAACTCGCAGCTGGCAAGGGCTCGACGGAAAAAGACTCCAAGGACGGCGAAGAGCTTGATCAAGTCGCTGGTAACGCGGAAGACGAGATCGGCGAACGCCTTGCTGGCGTGCGAGAGACCGAGCTGCTTTACGGCCCAGAGTCGCTGCTGGCGGTGTACGGCCCACTTCTTGTACATGTGTGCGGAAGCCCGCATAAATTCAAGGTAAATACCCCTCGGCCTTCCGTATTCCAGAAGAAATTTCTGATGCCTGCGCTATCACAGAATCGGACCCTCAAGTCGGTGGCCACTCTTTCCTTCAGTAAATTCCTTTGCATCAGTTCCCAGTTCTGCGATGCGCACCATCACCTCCTCTTCAAGATCCTCGAAACCTCGCGCGACCCCAACCTACGCGGTAACATTGCCATCGCGCTCGGTGATGTTGCCGTGTCGTTCAGCACCATCATCGACGAGAACAGCAATGAGCTCTACAAGGGCTTGTCAGATGATGACCTCATCGTCAGGAAGAATACGCTCATGGTGCTCACACATCTTATCCTCAACGGCATGATCAAGGTGAAGGGCCAGCTCGGCGAAATGGCGAAATGTCTCGAAGACACAAATGTTCGTGTTTCGGACCTCGCGAAGCTCTTCTTCAAGGAGCTGTCGACGAAAGAGAACGCCATCTACAATAACCTTCCTGATGGTACATCCTTGTTTTATCCATATATTATCTTCATTACTCACGCGCTTTTCATAGTTATTAGTCATCTTTCGACGGGAGAGCACGCCGTAGAGGAGGAGATATTTCAAAACACAATGAAATACATTTTCACTTTTGTCGAGAAGGTGCGGAATTTTCCAAATATGACGCCGGAGCGCTTATCAGCTTGTCTTAGGAAAAACAATCGGAGAGCATCGTCGAAAAGCTGTGCCAGCGTTTCCGGTTATCCGAAGACCCCCGGCAATGGCGCGACATTGCGTTCTGTTTATCTTTGCTAAACTTCAAGTCGGAGCGCTCGGTCCGGAAACTTATCGAGGGTTTGCAATATTACCGAGACAAGTTACATGAAGAGAAGGTGTTCGAGCGCTTCCAGGAGATCCTTCAAAAGGTAATGGTCTGTTTCCCGGTCTTCATGATACTATATTTATCTGGGTGTAGGCTCGTTCGAATAAGGCTGCCAACAAGCCAGATAACGAGCTCAACGAATTCGAAGCCGTGAGTGAATGGACTTGGTTCAGTGCACATGCTTGACTAACGACATTTATAGATTCTGGAGGACCACAAAAGGCAAGGCGAGGAGGATAATGCCCTGGAACGGAGAGTGGAGGGCAAGAAGGCCGCGGCAAAGAAGAAGGCGACACGGAAATGTGAGTGATTCCGCGTCTGATCACTGTCCACTCTCTGATGCATCAGATACAAAGCAAATCGCAAGAAGGGTGGAGGGACTAGAGCAACGAGGTCTCGCGCGGAACCCGAGGAGGAAGCTGACGCTGAGCCTGAAGTGGCTGATGAGGACGACTTGTATGAGTAATTTCTATTGTTATTATCATATGGCCTCTTCGGCCGCCATTGTATCAAGTGTTATTATACGACTCCTTGTAATGGGTATTGCACACGGGTCTCTTCTATATCCCGTTGCAACTAATGCTCTCCGGTGCGCACCAGCATCGCCGACTCCCGCGCCTCCCAGCGGCCCTAAGCTAAGCATGGGCGCTTAAGTGCTTGCGATGCAGCGTTCGATGACGTTCACTGATCGGAGCTAAATTTGGCATGCATGTCCATCTGGCGTGATGGACATCATGTCCGCACATCCAACGCACATCCATAAATAATTTAAAACCCCAAATCCATTAAGGAACGTATGGTGCCTGTAAGGTGCGTCCACAACGATAGTCCACAGAGGTACCTTCGTTGTCCGCAATGCGTACGTGGGCCCCTGGGCGTATCTGCCATCTTACATATGTGGTGTAATAAGATGCCGGTTCAGGGATCTTCCTCGTTCGCAGCACCATGTCGGCTATGGTGTGGACAAACGGAAAGCATAGTGCGTGCCACGGCTCCACTACACTGTGGCACGTACATGGGCAGATTGTGTCAACGTATAAAAAGACGACTGAGTACTGGCACTGCGTCACAAGCATTCGAGGGGCATGATGGGGTTCACTCTCGCTCTTGCTTACATCGTTTTCTTCTCGGCGGTTATGGTAGCTCTCTTCGACAAGCTTGTCTCTATCGTAGGGCGTTCACTGGCAGTATACCGTTTTTTCCGATACGGTCCATCGCCAACGGATCTTGAGAGCAGCGGAACAGACTCGGATATGTCACGGTGAGTACTCTTGCCAAAGCCTATTATCTTCTTCTCTCAAACTTCAAGTTATTTAGCCAATACAGTCAAATTTGGACCGCTGCATCCTTCGGCTGTCTCCCAAGCCTCTCAGAAACACCGAAAAAAGCAGTGTCTTCGTCACGTCATACTCCTGATCGAGCAGATCTTGATGAGAAACGCGAAATTCTGCATCACCTTCACACCTGCTATTTTTCAACCCACCACTGTCGGTGTTTGAACAGGACGAAAGCAAAGGATAACCCTTCTCCCTAGAGGAATACAATAACGTTAACGTTAGTACTTTAATACTTCACTTTTGACTGTTTAAAGCTAACCCCAAGCTAATCCATGCGATATGTATCCAGTACATCATGGCTATTCATAGGATACCTTGCAAGGACAGCCAAGGTCCCTACTTCGGTGCCGTTACAAAAACAATGAGAAAGTTGTGGTTCACGGCGTTCATCGGTCTTGTTACAACTTTAGTGTCAAACTTCGTGATAGTTAGTTTTTTGACTGAGGCAGGCAAGAGACAGGTTAACCTAGTAATTCAATAGCTCCCACCATTTCTCATCTAAGTAAAAAGGCGACTGCTAGTCTTGTTGTTTTCCATCGCCATTAATGAGTTTGACGACAAACCCTCATTAACATTCGGGCAGCCCATTTCCAAGTAACTAAGGCATGAATCTGATATGGTAGGTGGTACCGCTGGAGACATTGAATCAGCGCATTCATGCCATGTGCGTTGGTCTGGATTTCAGCGACTCAGAGCGAGAATATATACATGAAGCGACAAGCATATCAGCTTGAAGAGCGATGAAGACTAATAGACTCGGGGGTTGACTCTGTCCACAAGCGTTGATTCAGAGTCGCGTGGACAATTTGGCTAGTACTACTCCATTATTATGTTTGTGCTACTCCTGCAATATCAGCAACATTGCTAACTGAATAACCTAACATGGCTATAACTTGAGCCAGATGGTAGCCCCGCAGGTAGGCCACAAGGGCCACTTCTCTCCTAGATGCTTCTTCGAGCTTCGACCGCAAACCTCATCGCATTTGATGTAAGTGTGTGGACGATAAAGACTGCACGAATTATACAGTGGGCTCCGCGAGTGAAGAAGTCCATTAATATTTCTAATACAAAGTACGGGACACATGATTAATCACTTGGGCTCTTAGCAGGGCGCAGAATATTGGAAAGCAGAAGCAACCCGTCATCTTCAAGTTATACCATCAGTCAATTTATCGACTGTCAAGAATTGTAGTATTGTTGAGTCTGTTAAGAGAGAATAAGCCCGTCGACCATTTCCTAAAGCCAAATATAGATATCAATTGTCACGACCTACGATAGTCTGCCAGTAAATTCAATGCCTCAAAAATGGAAACAAAAAACAACGCCTCCCAATATCTGTCTGCCCAGCACCGAGCACCATGCAATCATGGTCTGCGGAAACTAAACAGAGAGAAAAGAGGAGGCGGAGGGAAGAAAGAAGATCCCCCGACGACACAAGCCGATACTGCAGTAGCAAGGCCATCTGCGATCATAATAGTGGTTAAACTATTAAGAACAGATACTACACTTGATCTAAGCCAAAAGGCCAGAGTGGTAAGGATTCATCATGTCCGACGCTGGTTTATATACTTCCGCACACTGGCAGCTGGCAGATGGGCGTCGTGAGAGTCGCGACTCGAAGTGAAAGTGGCGGACATACCCTTTTTGGTTTGGTCAAATCTTGCGATAGACTCAAACCATGGGCAACCTAGCTTACAGCCAGAGCCATAGAAAGTCGTCAATGAGGTATTGTCAGTTACCAAAATTGGACAGTACTCAATGCTTGGAAAGCAATTGGAAAGAGTAAGAGGATACAGCTGATCGTCAATGATTTTCATGTTATACTGCAACCTTTGCCTGAATTCTCCATCCAAAAGATTTCTCTATAGAACTGGAGGACAGCCTCTCGCTCCAAGCAACACCACTGACTTGTTTGATACAGCAAGATATAGCACCAGCATATGCGGGAGAAGGCGACGAAATTTTTGACCCAGCGAGGTATCGACGAAGCCTGGCCGGCCTGAGAGCCAGGCAACGTCGACGTAGATAGATTGCCGATGGTCAAGTCTCTGCGGCTGGGTACAATCATTTGTGCGTGCTTTCATCCTGGACGCGCATGGACTTGGCACATTCCTAATGCCGCTCCGTAGGGACGATACGCACCACATCGTACGACCTACGGAACGGATGGTCAAGCATGGAGTAGCCCCAACACGCGCGAAGGCCATCAGGTAGCGAGCCACTTCGAAGATTGCTGCGCCCGTCCGTACTCGTGTTCTTTCCTAGGTCATCCGGTACCATTTTTGCGTAGTTAGTAAAAGGGTTTAGCATGGCCATGTCTCGGTCGTACGAAGTCGTGAGCACGGGGTATGGCGTCGCTCGCAGAACGCGATGGGGTAAAACGCCCAGGCTGGTCCTGCGTTTGTTTGGTCTGTGTTTTGAGTGAAATAGCGGCAGAGAAGTGGACGTTTCTTCCATACTATTTTTTGGGTGTCCACACGTGTAGTATCCACCGACGTCGATAACAATTAGACGTCGTCGCACAGGTTGTGCGACCTTGAATGTTTGTCCAGCTTATGCAGTACCTTCTTTGCGCGAAACGCTCATGATACATAAAGAAAGGCACGTCCTTCAAGATGTGAGTCTCGGGTCCCGGACGGGCCGCCACTTCGTGCGCTTGTCTTATAATTGCACGTTCAGTTGTCTCAAATGCGCAGGATCATCCTTGATTAGACACAGGCATAAACGCCGATTATACAATAGGACATACGTTTTCTATGACCAGCTAATGCCAGTAAGGCTTAAGGCCTGTCCGCGTACCGCCCGAATCAGAAACCTGGAGGTTGCAAGGGCGCGACGATGATGGTGGCAACAAACAGAGGAAAACACCAAGCTTCCCTGAGCAGTACCTGACTCAACCGAGTTTGGAAGGGCATCTGCATCTCGCGTACTGGTCTGTGCGCGCGCCCACGAGAGGTATATAAGCCAGCGTCGGACATCGTGAATCCTTACCACTCTGGCCTTTTGGCTTAGATCAAGTGTAGTATCTGTTCTTAATAGTTTAACCACTATTACGATCGCATTGCGATCTAATCTGGTTATCAAATTTTTGCCGCCCTCGCCTTTCGAGCTCTGCTTGCAACTCGAAGGGCACGATGACCTTGCTACTGCAGTATCGGCTTGTGTCGTCGGGGGATCTTCTTTCTTCCCTCCGCCTCCTCTTTTCTCTCTGTTTGGTTTCCGCAGACCATGATTGCATGGTGCTCGGTGCTTGGCAGACAGACATTGGGAGGTGATTGCACTTGTTCCGAATTTTACTTTGTTTTCTTCATTGGACTTATCGTGAATGTATGGATATTTCGGTTTTTGCATCTGGAATTTGTTGTAGAAGGCTGTATTTCAGAGCGGTACCTTGTCTGGGTTTACGCCGGCAGAACTTCGAGTGGATCTGTGTTATTGCAGTCATGTAATTTGATGGAGATGGAGGTTTCAGACATGTATGTCGCTAAAAAAACGGAACAACACTTGCTAAACGTTGGAGCCGCCTAATCGAGCAAATAAATAATAATGCCACTATTATTGACAAATGCTTTCAGTGAAAAGAAGCCATCCATCAAGATGATGCCGCCGCTACCAGTGTCATAGTGAGACCCCCGACAAACTTCGAGTGCTTGAGTGCGTGTCATCTCTTGCATGACGCGACAGACTGCGAAATGGCAGACGGAAACAGTGGGTATATACGCCTCAGTAAGTATATTAGTTTTCAAACTGTGTCAAGTACTAGGTAAACGAGCGGGAAGTTCCATGAAAATCTGATCAACGTACAAACACAAAACAGCGATGGTGATTCCCACTGCCACAGCGAACCAAGCAGTGGATCATAGCTTATATGGCCTTTGAGTCGGCACGCACCAACACGGTTTGATACGGGCATGACCTACGTTCATCCGCGAATGCTTACAATAATGACCAAGTCAACTGGACGGGAATCGTCCAGGGTATGCATATTACATTGATATGGAAGGTCACATCTAATGTCTCGAAGACCCCGAACGAAGGGGGAGAGGGGCAAAAAATTGTTGCACTGAGTGCCTTGGACCAGCTCGAGAGTAGTCTGAGTCGAGTTTCACACTCCCAGAGAGATGTGAGCCACGAAGTGCGCTGAAGGACGCAAAGAGATGTGTGACATCACCAAAGCCTCTCCGTACACACTAGAGCCAGGCAGCGCCGATGCTCTACAACCCTGGCAACATCGAAGGGTCCACTCCGTGGTACTCTCAACGACTCGCTGTCGCATCGGGCAGATAGCGACAGGCGGATACATCACCTCTTGCCCTAGGCGCCGGCTAGTCCCAGTGATCAAGAGGCGACGGGGCAGAGCCCATGACACCAGCGATGTGAAAGCACACCGCTGGCGTCCCGCCCAGGGTGTCGGCGCAAATGCATGGGAGCCAGAGAGTAGAACGCATAGTTCTACTCCAAGCTTCTCCGTGTTCGACCGGTGTGTGGTTGAGGCGAGTCACAGACATCTTCCATGCATCCGATCCCCGCGATGCTTTTCAAAGCCAATCCTTCCGCCCCCTCCCTGCTTATCAGAAGGGGTCGTGGGGTTATGTAAGGGCGCCTGTGTTTCTGGTACATCGCTCAGCCATTGTGGCTGGACTCAGCTAGAGTCGATGGAAGGGGGGAATATACTCAGACCTTATCCCGCTCGAGAGTAAGAATCGCATACTGCGTCCTGTTCGTGTCGAGCTTCGCGGCTTTCGAGCTGGCCGTGGTGAGAAAGAAACAGATGACGGTCATCCCCTCGCAGCGCTAATCTAAAGTACACGTGACGGGACGCGACCCAAACAAGCGCGTGTCCGAAAGCATTGTTCGGACGTTCACCCAGCACACTCTGCCACCTTCAGTTTGACCTACTTCAGCATTTCACCATGCCAGGACAAACCGCACGCGCCATGCAAGCTAAAGCTACTTCAAGCCGGACAACACGGACGGCTGACAAGCCATCCAGCACGGCTGCAAAGGACAAGGCTACCACCTCTCGGGCCACCGCCGCGAGCTCAACCCGCGCTGCCGCGCAATCAACGTTGGCCAAAGTTCGCCATGCCTCCGCTAACTCGCTGGCAAGGGATGTCGAAAAAGGCCTGAAGATTTCCTCGGAGTCCAAAGACAAGCAAAAGCTCACTCCCGAGGAGACCAAAGTCGCGGCGATGCGTTCCGTCAATAACGCGTCTCAGGCTTTATCCGCCGCTATTCAGTCCGGATGGAAGCATACGTCGGAGAAGGCAGTCTCGAGGCAAGCGGATACCACTTCAAATACTGTACGGTCTGCGATCTCTTTAGCGACAGCATCTCTGGAAGAGTTGCGATCCGTTAGTCAGGAGGACTTGAACGTAGAGAGAGCTGCGTCGAGTATCGTCGGGAAACTGGTCACTCTGGAAATGGTGAGCACATTGCTTCTCTTTCTATTTCCTTACCGCTGACTTTGCTATAGTATGACGACGCCACATCTATGCTGGAAAGCATACATAGACGGCTTCAAATTCTCGTCCTGAAAGAACCCCCATCGCAGCCAACGCAATTTGCTGCAATGACGCTATCGTCACTACACCTAGCCACATTCGATGCTATCACCCTGACACTACTGTCATCCCATCTCTTATATGCGATCATCGCAGTCGCAAATCGCACGCTCCTGCCCCCGACGAACCCATCTATTGTTGAGCAATTCGCTGATGCTCTTTCCACTACATCTACGCTTCTCACCTGGGTCCCAATACTATCTACACTTCCCACTAAACATGTCGATGGCCTCCTCACCCGCGCATATACTGTGCTGACGAAACTATGCTCTTTACCGGACCTTCCTCCTCAAGCCGTCCTTTCCATACGTACCTATGCCCTGCGATGCCTTCTCTTCGCAAGCTCAGGGACGGTGAAGCCCAGCACCTTCTGGGAACAGACGCAGAAATCATGCATTCTCTTCGTTCGCACCTCCAAACTGGAAACTGCTGCCACGGCCGAGTTCGTCACGTCCAGGGTCAAGATGATTGTCATGGACGCGCAAAATGGGACGTTCCTCACGGACAGTGCGTTCGTCAACTTCTGCGACTTTTGGATGAGTATTGCCAAAAAAGTATGTCGCCACCAGTGTTTAGGAAATATACGCTTATGCTCATTTAGGATCGAAACATCGCGGTATTGGACGAAATTACGACACTGATGCGAGGTTCCCCATCTCGCTCGCCAACACCCGCATCATCGAGTGTCGACCAGTTGATCGAGAAAGTAAAGGATATGAACGTATCTGAGAAGACAAATATACAAGCTATCTTACGTGAATCTGCGAAAGCCTGCGCAACATTAGTGAAGTCAACAGCTGTCATTGAACAGCAACCAACAGGTAAGCTGATAGTCTCTTATAACAACGAGCGTAACATTAATCATTCTATCCAGGAGACGGCGATGAGGGATTCGAGGAGCGTTTAGCGGAGGGGAGGTCAGCGGTGGCATCACTTGACGACCTTCGTCAGTCCCTTACTCAAGATGCGGAAGCATCAGAGGATGCTCAGCGGACAGCGGGAAAGTTGGACCGTGCCCTTGAACGACTGCGTCGCGCATGTATACGCGTCGTAGAACAGCCTCCGAAGAACAGAGCAGTTACGGACGGAACGCTCCTCCTTTTGGAGATGATTGTCGCATTCCTATCGAAGCGCTGTGCGTCAGAGGTGAGTGTCTGGCACTCTGTTAAAACTGCATTAATTGATCAGACATTTTTAAGACGTATAGCCAAGATCTATTCACACCTACACTTGACACCCTGTTTGTCTTGGCCCGGAAACGGCTAGACTGCTGTAACCCCGATACCTATACACCTACATTGCAACTCCTAGGACAAGCCACCAAGCTCGTCGACACAGCGCGAGGCGCGAGCCCAGCTCAACTTGCCAACTATATTCGCTGTATATCCGGTGCACTACACAATCTCGCCGGCACCCTGTACCAGGCGGACCGATACGGAGGCGCGGTGCGCTTCTTGAACGAGGGCTGCGCCCTTGGTGTACGCGCTCTGGCTATGTACTCGCCTGAGACCCAGATGTCCGCGAACAAACCAGGGGAGGCGGGGACTCCAGCCGAGGAGAGGGAGAGGGAGGGATGGAGACAGTTGCAGGATCAGCTTTCGCGGCGTTGGGAGCTTCTTGGAGTTTGTCATTCGAAGATCGGCGATCGGAGGGTATGTGTCCCCTTACCCCGAGTTTCTGATGGTTTTCATTTATTTGTTCTCCAATAGCCTGCCTACGACGGTTTTGTTCAAAGCGTCCGATACTTCTCGTATGAGACGTCCGCGATTGAGGAAAACATCAAGAAAGGTGCTATATCAGTTTTCGCTGCAACACCGGCCTTGAAGCACCTTGGCTCTATCGTCGACAAGCTCACCTACGTCGGTGCCTGCGAGCTCTTCATGAGTGGCCGAGAAATTTCTCTTCGAACTGCTCTTCTGGACAAGACGCCAGCTGTGGCGGGCATGATCGTCGAGCGCCAGCTGGACACATTGGAGAATAGCATATGGAAAGAGGGTATCAGGGCAGTCGTCAAGGACCTATTGGACGAGGTGCTTCTCATATACGAGGCTGGTAAACTTCCGTTGCGACGATCGCGGGTATTGCTCCGATGCATGGAATTCTTGTGGAAGACTCCTGGTGTCGACAGTTTATGGGATGGCGCTACTCTGGGTGATGAGGTGCTTCGCCTAACCGGTACCGAGGTTTGTCCCCGTCATCGGATTTCTCGTGTGTTTGAGCCTAACCTTTGTATTATAGCCTCAGGATGCCGACAAACCTTTCGCTCAGTATCGTCAGCAATATGCTGCCTCTGCTCACTTCTGGCTTGGGCTTCTGGCGTATCGTCAAGCGGCGGACGACCAGGTTTCGCGTGTCGCTCAGCACGCCGAGGAAGGGTGCATGATGCTGCGCAGCATTCTGCATCCGCCAGCACCTGCTTCTGAAGTGAAGTCGAAGAAGGCATCTGTCGCTGCCAAAGCCACCAAGACGGCGACTAAGACTACCAGGCAGGCATCTATCGCCGCGAGAACGACTACGAGGACCGTGCGTACGAGGGTCACGAAGAAGGCGGAAAAACCGGTTACCCCTACTTCGCGACAAGGTGCATAGTCCCGAGCTAATCATTGCAACGCCTGTTAATCTTCGAGCAGCTCTAGGGTCCGTGTCACTTAACGTTGATCAAGCAGACAAGACTACGTCGCCTAAGCAGGTCACGATTCAGGCACACGAGGTCAACGTCGAGAATCCGCAGAGTCTCGCAAGGCTACTTCGTGAGCTTATCCTATCTTGTGTATTCCCTCTGCTTTTTTATCAAACCCGCATTTTAGATCTTTACGTTCACATCCTCAGTCTGTTGGATCTTGGCCCCCTAAAGGTCAAGCTCCTCGCAGCGACCCAGCGGTTATGCGTAAATTTCCACCAAGACTTGAGCGATGGTCAGTTCTTCAAGTCTTCATCGAGGGAATTTTCGCTGATATCATATCAGTGCTGGTTTCCGTTTCCGCTGATTTGGCCTGCGAGTACGTCAAGCTGGGCAAGATTAAAAGGGCGGCCAACGTCTTTGCTCAGACAATGGACGTCAACAAATCCTCCGCTGTTTCGGATGATGTCAGGGTCCGATATCTCTTGCGGTACGCGGAGACGCTTGCTTTGTCTGATAATATCATGGGAGGGTAAATGCGATACCGGTCAATGCGGATTCTAGTTTCTGACGGTATCATAGGGCCAGCGCATATTGCGAAGCACTAGGCTATTCGGAAATGATACTTCCTGAAGAGAAGCACATGTCCACTGCTGAACGGGTTCGACTTCGGGTCGGTCGCGTGGAGCGAGCTGCGATGGCAGCGTACGTTTTTGCTATCATCCAATACTCCAAGGTAAGTAGATGTTTTTATAGAAACGGACTTGCTATGCTCATATTTGCTAGGATAATATCGTTGAGGCCATACAAAGCCTACTCCAGGCTCTAAGACTCTGGAACCGAGCCATCGACACTTTCCAGCGACTGAGGCCAACCCCCGCAGCCTCGAAGTCTTCAGTACAAGCTGAGGAAGAAAATCCCTTCAAAGCCCCTGCAAAGAACGAGGAGCCCGAAGAGCCGCCAAAGAACCCTCGACGTCATCTCATGGACGGCATCGAATGGCGGGTCGCTGACGGCCTCTCGGACACGCTCTTCGCGCTCGCATCCGCCTTCTTTTCGCGGGGCTCACCACGCGAAGCGGAGTACTTCGCCCGGCAGGCAATTGATCTCGCGGAGTCCCTTGGAGCACCGGCGATGGCGAGTCGTGCGCTGGCGCGGCTGGGTGAAGTGCAGCTTCACCAGGGTGCGCTGGACGCAGCCCAAGACACGCTGTCGAGAGCGGCGGAGCTCCTTGCTGGGGCTCAGGGCGCGGTCGTCGCGGACGTGCAGCGCTTACGTGCGCATTGGAGCCAGTTGAGGGAGCAGGAAGAGGACGCGCGGACGATGTATCACGAGGCTGGGAAGCTGTTGGAGGAGCTCAATGGAGTGTTCGCTCAGATGGATGGCAGGTACGTATCTGTCTTTCCTCCGAGTTTTGTGTTTGACTGATTATGGGATTAGTCGGAGAAAGTCAAGCATTGGCATCTCGCCTCGAGCATCGATTGGTGGGACAGCAACTGAGTCGGCCGTACCAGCGCTTCTGTCTGCTATCTTGCGGAAACATAGTGAGTCTCGGTCTCTCCCACTCAGCATTGAAGAGCTCTGAAGTTCCTCTGAACAGTTTGGCTTCTTCGCGATGAGGGCGGCGACGAGCCCAGGGCTTTGATAGACCAGCTGCTCGCTCTGCCACCATCTGCGGAGGTTAAGGTGAGTTAAGTATCCATGTTGCATTTTCCTACCTAAACTCCGTAGGCCGCGGAAAATGCGCTCATGGGCAAGTTGACCCTTCACGGCGTCTACGAGCAATTCCATTCCGATATGGCCTTGATGTCTCTCGCAGAGTCAAGTACGCTTTTCAGAAGCACCCCATCAAATATTTACTAATTAATCATTAATCATGCAGCCATCGCTCTTCCGACTGGTATATCGAGCGACAAGCCTTTCCCGCTCACCGCAACTACCCAGGAGGTCCTAGCGACGCTCGAAAATGCCGACGGTCTCTTCTCGGCCTACTTGTCCTCAGCCGGTCGCAAAGGCTTGGTGTCAGACGTCCGGGAAGCAGTGATGAGTCGAGCTATCATTCGGGCTTTCCATACCTCGCTGGGGAACCCGGACGGAACACAGCTCACTGTTGGGCTTCTCGGTAAGGCGCATGTATGTAGCTGATTCTCGCCGAGTCACTGATGTTTTGGGATGTAGATGCGAGCGCTGCAATTACCCTGCACCGCGAATTACTTGATGCTATACACCATAAATTCCCCGCTATGCAGTTCAGCGACGATCTCCTATGGCCACTCATGACTCCCAGCGGCTCGCCGCTCACTCGCCCTCCCGTGCCATCTCGTTCCTTCCCCAAATTGATAGGCCGACCATCCCGCCGTGCCATTTCCCCTTCGCCCCTATCCGAATCGGATTCCGACGACGATGAAACACCTACGCCTTCCAAAGTGCTGGAAGACTACTGGGCGTCCCTGAAGAGAAAGTATGCGTCGATTTCGCTTGACGCTGCTTCACTATCTACGCCCCGCACGAATACCCTCCCCGCTCACTGGACCGTGCTCCACCTCGTGCTCGCCGAAGACAAGTCTGCGCTCTTCGTGAGCCGGCAGAACCGAGGTGCAGAACCGATGGTCTTCCGCGTGCCTCTCAAAGGTCGGAGGCTCGACGACGACGAAGATGAGGCTGAGGTTGAGACCGGGGACGCAGACACCGCGTTGCCAGAGGGCGGTCAGTTGTCGTATGCGGCTGCGGTGCGCGAGCTCAAGGAGATCGTGCGTCTCAGCGACGAGGGCACGCGGGGCGCGGTGAAGGTCCGGGCAGATGATCAACAGGCGAGGGCCGCGTGGTGGGCCGAGCGGTCGCGGCTCGACAAGCGGATGAAGACGCTGCTGGAGAGCGTCGAGGAAGGGTGGCTCGGCGGGTTCAAGACGCTGCTGACGAGGCCACTGCAGACACCCGAGGCGGTTGTTTCGGATCTCCGGGCAAGACTTGACAAGGTGTTCAGGCCGATCGTGCATCCGCACAAGAGCGTCTCGCGCAGCGCGTCGCGCTCGTCGAACCGCTCGACGAAGTCTGCGTCTGAGGGAAAGAGCAAGGCGCCGACTTCGTCGAAGTCGAAGGCGAGTGGGAAGGGCAAGTCCACGTCGACGCTTCCGCCGCTGAGTGACGAGCTGCTTGCGTGTCTTTCGTCGCTCTCGCCTAAGTGTAGCGACGGTGCGCTGCACGACGTGCTTTACTTTGTTTTGGACGCGTACCATCTCGCCGGCGAGCCTGTCGCGATCGCGGAGGTGGACATTGACGAGGCGGCCGTCAAGCTGCGCGCGGCGCTCGAAGAGCACGCGGGGTTCGCGAAGCGGTTCTTTGTCTCCAATCCTGACGAGGTGCGGCAAGGTGACGAGGAAGAACATTTGTTCCTGGTGCTCGATAAGGATTTGCAAGGAATTCCATGGGAGTCGATACCCTGTCTACGGGGGCGCAGCGTCTCGCGCATCCCGTCGCTGGAGTTCTTGCTCGACCGCGTCGAATGGTCGAAGGTCCATCGCAAGCTGTCTGGTTCAAATAATTCTCGAGACCCGGCGGACGAGACCAGGCTATCGGTCAACGCTGCCAAAACGTACTACGTGCTCAACCCGTCGGGCGATCTCGCGGGGACACAGTCGCGCTTTGAGCCGTGGCTGAACGACATGCGCAGGGAAGCGAAGTGGGACGGCATCGTCGGGCGCGCGCCGAGCGAGGGCGAGTGGGTGCATGCGCTGGAGAACTCTGAGCTCGTTCTGTAAGGCTGTTTAATTTCCTCATTTCTCTAGATAAAATTCTAATTTATTCAATCGCGATATAGGTACTTTGGGCACGGCGGCGCCGAGCAGTACGTGCGCTCGCACAAGGTTCGGCACGTCAAACGGTGTGCGGCGACGATGCTCTGGGGCTGTTCGTCTGGCGCGCTCAAGGAAATGGGCGAGTTTGAGCGGACCGGTACGGCGTGGAACTACATGGTTGGCGGGTGGTGAGTCCCTTTCCTTGTTTGCTCTGGCTTCAATTTGTCCCTTCTGGCGCGTAATATCATGACACGAGCTGGGGTGTTGGTGTAAAGCCCCTATTTTTAGAGACGCGTCGCGTCGCTTATCGTGTCCACCTCGCGCGGTCTTCACACAGTCGTGTCCAGATAATTACCGCTATCCGGCGCAGAGCACCTCCGGGTGTGCTATTTGTTTCATACACGCGTCCACCCCGGATTTCTTATTTTTATCTCTTCGTTCCATGTTTATCCTCCAATCTCGAGGGCGGGACTGCACTCGGACGACCACATCGGTGCTTCGGGCACGTGGGGGTCGCTATTTATGCTCGGCCGCAGTCGGGGGCCATATGCTTCTTTGCTTTTTCTGTCTCATGCTTCGCTCTCTTTTTGCCTCTTGCGTTGTGGTCTCATCATTGCTGACGTATTGATCTCTATCATTCTTTCCCATTCCCGTCCTCACTCATTCGCGGGATCATCTCGGACCACGGAATGGACACCTCCGACGCGAACTTCCGTTTCTTCAAATCCCCGGGGCTTCTTCGGCCGCCTTTCGTCCTCGCTGGTGGATCGCGGACGGACGACCTGCTAAAACGTTGTGGACCATCCATTTGCACTGGGCGGGTCGGAACAACCTGGCTAACTTGGCGTCGTTTTGACGATGTGGAACAACAACGGAACATTTGCTGTGGATGTGGTGCCTGTGGATCGTCGGACGTTTTTTTCTCTGGCGAATTGGCGGTTTGTGTTTATGACGTGGTGCCTAACCGTTCCTAAAACGCAATGCTTTGGCGGACTGGCCTTGTCTTGTCGACGCGGCGGCGCCTATCGATTCATCGATGGGATGGCGCTGCCCATGATACTGTGGCTCTCGACCTTTGCGGTGTTGGACTGGTACCCTTTTGCCGTGCTTGGCTGACTCTTTGTGGTCGCCTTGGCCAACGAACCTCGGCTTCGGTGTGGTGCACCCTTCTTCAACATCTTTTGAACTTCCCACTGCGGCATCGACACGCGGACATGCACCACTCAGCCCCTCACTGGTTGCGAACCTATGGGACGTGACGGACCGGGACATTGACAAGTTCGCGCAGGCCGTGTTCGATAAGCTCGAGTTAACGCCGGACCGTGTGGGCCGCGCGAGCGTAGCCGCAACGGGGAAAGCTCAAGACAGGGCGTCTACAGCCAAGTCTACCATCAAGGCCAAGATCAACGGGTCCGGTGCGACGACGACGGAGGCGATGGGCACGCGTGCACAGACGGTGTCCGTCGTAAGCGCCGTGGCGCGGTCACGGGAGGCGTGCAAGCTCAAGTACCTCACGGGCGCGGCGCCTGTGGTGTATGGTATCCCGTTTTACGTGTGATCAGCGTGGGGTGGGGCGGTGTGACAGAAAGGGTCAGTGCGGTGGACAGTACAGGGCGCGTTGGGTGACACGTTCTTGGTGGTCTGGGTCTGTGGGTCGACATGGATGTTGGTTTGGGTCAGGACAGTTCTGCTTATGCGTCGCGGATTATTGCAGAGTCTCGCAGCCAGATTTGAGGGTTGAGAAGGAGGTCTATTTGGAGGTTACACCGAGGTGTCCGACACGGCCAGAAACGGACGAGGACACCTACACTGTGGAGGTGTCTTGGCCCAGATGTGCCGGACGGCCGGTGCATTAGATGATCGCTATTACGACGATTACTATAGTACATCACTAAACGGGTGGGAAAAGTTTGACCGTTATACCGAGTGATCACTGTTATAATATCGTCGTCGAGACATTTGTGTATGATCACGGATGGTGACGCATTCCCATTGAGTTAACATATCGTTACGGTGTGGCAGTGAATTTCGGCCGAACACCATGTCGCGGACACTTTACCATTGATCGAAATTGATGATCTTGCTCGTACATTGGTTAGTCGAATATAAAATACGGAGACCATTTCAGAAACAAAATTATCATTGAGCGATAACTTCAACTGCATATGGCAGCCACCGCTTGAGGTAGACACGAACACTAACGAACAATAAAAGCGGTAGAGATTCGAATACCAGCTGACCTTTACAATGATGCGAACCCGGTTGCGTTGGTGAGAGCCTCGTCTTCACCCAAAAAAACTCTTGTATCTGTAC